CATTCTTTTCTCCAGCACTGTGGATTTTCCCATATGCTGGGGTTAAAATTAGGTGGCTGAGCAGCCTTTTAGAGCCATTAAGATAACAGTTTGGGATGCTTGAATACCACATAAATGCCTTTCTAAATTATTATCCTTCTTTAAAGCATTTTTTCTCTACCCAAAATTTTTTCCGCACAGTATTATTGGAATTTTTGTATCTCTCACTGCTGAAAAATCAGTCCTGTAAAAGTGTAAACATTAGTGAAAAGGAAATAGAGGTTAAAAGGTTAGATTTGAATAATTTTAGTTGCTATCCCCCTCCCTCCATTGTAAACTAGATATTACCTAAACCATATAGTGACCACAGTGGTTTTTGTGGTACTGAAGTAAGGCCTTAGCCACAGTTTTATAATTTTTTATGGTACTTAAGTGCATCAATTGTGGTCATTTTGGTTTGGTCTTGTTTTCACTGCTGTACCTAATACCTTCCTGAACTTTTCGATTGTCATGCCTCCTACCCCAATTTCCTATCTGCACTTATCTCTTCTACTCATCTTTTCCCATCTTTCACCAACCAATGAGACACTGTTTTGCAACAGATTTTTCTGTTACAACCTTCTGGCTTCAATTTGTTCTGTATCCTGTTCCGGTGGTGAAAAAATTGCCATGACCGATCAATTCTGGGAGGGCAGGAAAAAAAATTTAGGAATTCATCCATTTATTTTGTGGTTTCTGGCTGGTATAGGGGTGTAATTTGAGGGAACTGAAATTCTTCTAAATTCTTGTATTTGATGACTGTTGTAAGAAAAACAAAATGGGGGCAAGAGGGCAAGCAAAAATAAACATTGGGGTGGGGGGGAGGATTGACCATTTCCACCCATGCAGATAATATTACATGCATATGAAATGAGAGTATGATAAGAAAAGGTATCATTTTCATATATCCCTGCATGATGATTTTTAAATTTAGAATAATTTTTGGTATTGTAAGTTCGAAGTTGTGAAGAAATTAGAAATTTATAAAGCAGATACGTATACCGTCATTGTACAAATTTGAATACAATAAAATGGTTCAAAAGCTACCATATGAAATTGAGAAGCAAATTATTAAGCCAAGGGCCATTCTTTTCATTTTTCCACCTGATAATATAATTGTAACTAAACTACTGTATGAATGTTTTATTAATGTTTTCCATCAATGTTAGATTGTTGTTTGATACCTCCAGTTTCCCATGTTAGGGAATGTGGAAGTAGTAATGTGGAAGAAGATACAGGCCAGACAAGGCTGTCTTTGGGGGACTCAGCTGTTTCATGGTATTTAACATCTCAAGTATGAAATGCAATGAGACATAACATGCAGGCTACAGCATAGAGAAGGCACCACGTATGTGCCTTTGGAATTTGAACACCGTCAGGTCTGGTAACATTTTCCCACACTTGGGAGAAGTATCACTGAAAACTAGTACAGACGGCCACACAATATCGTGCATACTGCCAATAGTGTACCAATACTGGATTGTATATGCACCTGTAATTCTAAAGCAAGTCAGACAGGTATGTAAGAGTTCTGATATAGAAGGAAATACCACAGCTTCTTATTCCTTAAAGTTTCTTTTAAAAGCTGCTACTACTATATCTATAGTATATACCTGGCTAGCTTTTGTAATGGTTTGTATTTTTGCAGTGAATTGTGTGGTACAGTATCTGAGCTACCTGTTGTTGAAAACTGTCTTTCTGATTTTGTTTTATAGCTGATTGTTCCTCCCCCTGAAAATGTAGCAAAGGTGCCCCATGCTTGGTCCTCCCCAGAGGCCCATCGCTATGAATCACACACATGGCGGAAACATTACCCTAGATAGGGTGAGATAGGGTGAAGAATTCCATCATCATGATTCTCGCCACAGATATTTTGGGGTTTAGAATTTACCAAGCTAACATAGTCCAGTACTGGTAGAGGCATCTGAAAACAACCTAAATCTAGGTTAGATTGCAACTCTTACCAAATGGAGTCTACGCCTTTCTGATTGAGTCCTGGTGCAAAGAGTGGTTTGGAAAAACTAGAGCTAGAAATATCTTTTCTTGTCAGGAGGGGTAACAAGGTCCATATGGGGAGGGGACAGATAGTGTGTCCTGATTGTCATGTTTATCAGGCGCCCAGGTGTGCAGATGACATATCTTGGGTCAGTTACAGTCATGGATAGCCTGGGTACCAGCCTGGTTAGGGGAGAGGGATTTGAGAAACTGGGGGAGGGTCAATCTGTTTCAGATGGTTTCCAGGCTAAGTGGCTTATGGTTCACAGAAAATATATTTTTACCTGCCTTTTTGAGCATGAGCATTTATTTACCAAACAAAATAGTTTCTGGTGGAAGACAGTAATACATTTTAAGATTGATGAACACAACTAAAATTGTGTTCAACAATCTTGAAGTTGAACAGCGTTTTGGCATACATCAAGATAGATAAAAGTTATCTTTTACAAGGAAGCAGACCCCATGAGGTAATTATTACCCATTAGACTGTTTGGATTTCCAAGGTCTGGAGTAATTATGTTGGAATTATTGTCCAGATCAACCAAAGTAATGGGAAGGACCTCTTCACTTGGGGATGCAGTAGTGTATTCCTAACGTTTAAAAACTGCATAGTAAATTTATCAGCCTTTTCGTTCAAGATAGATGGGGGCCCGCAAGCCCTTTTCCGTAGAGCGTAATGGGACGTTTTAATTCTACGTAGAGCGTAGACGGACCGCTCTAATATTTTTGCTTAGAGGGTATTCAGCGTTTTAATTCTACGTAATATGTTGTAGCCTCTTGGAATTTATCGTAAGGCGTAATCGAGAGGTTTTCGAATTCAGCGTAGAGCGTTGTCGGGACCCCCCCTTGCAGGCCCTCAGAGATATTTTTTACACGTGCTTTGATCTTCACATCAAAGAAGTACAGTGTGGTCAAATGCGGTCTACCAGTAAATGAATGATTGACATGCTTTGACTAAAACTTCAGTAATCTTTTCTTTTTTGTAACGTCCTTTCCAAATAGTGATGGTCTCATAAACAACTTGATTGTCCTTGTAACTGATGACAGGTTAACTTTGTAGTTTGACCCCCAGGTCATATGGATTACCTTTCCCATCATACTAAACCAAAGAATGTCCTTTCCTTCACTATCCCTGCTTTACAACAAGGTTACCTTTTCATGTGTGTATTATGAGAGCAGTCCACGTGTCTATGAACAGGATAACTCACGAAGCTATGAATAGAGTAAAGGCCTTGGCTAAAGTGATTAGATTATCAATTTTTGTAAGACCTTGATACGAGTCCAGGAATTTTTAGAATGAGTTCCAAGCAGATAAGTTTGAACGGTGTTCTTTCCTGGGAATGCCTGTCATGGTGCAAAATGTAGGTTACTTGTGGCGTGGCCTTGGTCAAAGGAAAAAGTAATTAAGATTACAGATTACAAGCATTTAAATCCTATAAGAGAAACTATTTAGCCTTGGGGGAAATGTGTTTTTTTTCTAGCTGACCTGGTTTTGGTTCTTTTGCTTGTTTTGATCACCATATCAAATCTATACCAGCTTCCTGACCAAATCCCCTGTGCAGAAAATCTAAAGTTCAGAGTCAGCAGCTTATTTCCTGTTTACCTGGTGCAATGCCAAACACTGCTAATGGAGGAAACCCAGTCGACTGTACAGGGGCGTAACGTCAGAAAGTGTGAACGCACTTGATCTTAAAATGTCGTTGAGCAAAAACAGTATAGCAAGTACATGTAGCAGTTATTTACCTATCTTTAACCATAGAAATAATGCTGAGGTAAGTATGATATAAAAGACAATGAAGCACAAAAAAAATTTTTTTAAATTAAATAACGGTAACTTTTTGCGTATATTATTGATATTATGTTGTTGATTTTCCGGCCGTGACATTAGCATTAGGGTCACAAAATAATGAAATCTTTGATTCTATGCTCAAACAGCTATGAAGCAAAATCATGAAACATTTTCAGGAAACACAGTGTAATCTCCAAGCAGATCATACAGTGACAAGGCAGTATCCATTGGCCAGAGGAGTGTCCATTAGCCACTTGGTTGGTGGATGTATTCCTCTCACTAATGCCTTGCCACCGTATGATCTGCTTGGAGATTAACACAGTAGTGGTTAGAACATAAACGTTGTTTATGTGTCTGTTAAGTCTTGACCTGTACCTAGCCCGTCGTGGCATGAATGTACAATAAAGGTATTTCATTTTCATTTCATAAAAGGGGGAGGGGGGTTTACACACAAAGAACACTGTACTGAGCTATGTAATCGGAGTTGCAAAAAGAAAGGTGCCTTCTGGTCAAAAGGAATTTTTCTTTTAAAAAATTACGGAAGTGTGGTAGGAAGTTGTGCGTACAGATTCTTGTTACACTGGTACTTGGACATGTCATATTATTAGTTGATGTGAAACAGGACATACACACTGCAGCCTTTTAGAATGTTGTGGTTTCTCCGTACAGTTTCCAGTTCCAGTCTAATAGCTAGGGGTCGTCCTGGAAGGAAAAGTCCACTTCCGTTCAAATCCCAATACTTCTGAGCAAAAAGGTTAACTGAAGGACTGGCTAATATTTTCACCAGCTTGAAATTTTTTCCTGTATTGTGAAAAGGCCAAGTCTACATTTCAGTATAACCGTGAATTACAGTGAGTAAGCTGTGTAGGTGTGCAATGCTAAAGAAATTTACAGAGCTACAAAGTTTTTTTCTTTATTGTGTGTCAGCAGTGTATTAACTTTCTTTTGAGAATAGTTAGCCATTGGTTCAGGTCAGTTTTAAATTGATTACCACTTCTTGTCTCAGCATTTACAGACGCGTACACACACACGCGTACACACACACACACACACACACACACACACAAAGACACACATGCGCACACACATACACCTTTTTTGTCACACTGTGTATAACGAAAAACAAGTTACTTGAACCCCTTTAAGTGCAGGTGTATGCTATGACAGCTAACGTTGTTGCTTGTTTTTGTTGCTGCAGTAACAAGAATCAACGGTCACAGCAAGCACGACCGCCACCGCAGCGGCCATGGCTACGAGAGCTCGTCGACGTTGATGAGCAGCGACATCGATACGACCAGTTACTTCGATTCCACAGACGATGATAGCAGGTAAGAACTTTACTACTACACCTTTCTTTTTCTCATCATGCTTGCTGTCAAAGTGATCCACGGCAAGTTTGAAAGATTTAGTCACAAAGACACTTTTCTTTCATGGTTCCTTTCGACATAACATGAAACTCGATGGAACAGCTTTCAAGTACCAGCTCACCTTTCCCAAATTATGCAAAGCCATTCTTGGCAGGGACCGAACTGGCACCCACCAGTGTTATATACACTAGTTGTGGCATTAAAAACAACAATGGCTGTGGACAGCTTGACTTGTAGTTTCCGTCTCAACTTCTCCCCATCATGTAAGGAATGCTGTTTTGAAAACACTGGTAATGACGTGTCTCTCATCGTGACAAAGGAACCGCTTTTTTCCCTTTGTTCGACAATTCCGCCAAGAGGCGATCCTTGGTAACCCTCTATTTGAAGACAATTCGGTTGATGAGTGGTGATGCTTAGTGGTGGTATCTCCAAGCTGAGTGCCATAGCTATGGTCAATTTCCACCCTTACAGCTTGGCTGAACCTAAACATAGACTAAACAGTGACTCCTGACATAAACTCTGAGTCTAGCGAAATTGTAACAAGAAAACATCAACGAAATTCTATTGCTTGCTCATTTTTTCGGGACAAAAAGAAATGAACCATATTTTGTTATTTTTAACTGTAGTAACAAAACAGGATATCAAATGACAGCAGGAGGAAGAAAAGAGAAAAGTACAAACTAATTCTGTGGCACACGAACAAAAATATTTGTTGGAATTGAGTTATGTGTGTTGACATGTTGGTACAAGCCTTGTGCAGGTGACGAAGACATCCCTCCAGTATCAAACATACCAAACAATTGGGTGTTAACATGCCTGGGAAAGTTAGAATAGGTGCTCAGAACACTTCAACCATTGTGTGTAAAGCCTGTTATTACTATAGACATGTTTTGGTTAAACCTATGCTGTCTGAAAAAAATGAAAAAGCACTCACTAGGAAAGAGTGTTTTTGAAAACATGACAAAAGCATTGTACATTGTAATAAGACAAGTTCTAAAATTGATGGGGGGATTTTGTGAGGAAATTACCTTTGTTACAGGTAGGACTTGAGGAACAAATGAAACTAATAGCTATCAACGAAAACTTTTTTTTAAGCAGCTGTGGAAAAAAATTTTAAACAGGTTTTTGTTCTCCCCTTTAGAATTACAAAGATGGAATCATCCACATTTAGTTTACATTTCCAGTTCCCCAAAAAGTACCAGTTTGTACCAGTTTTCAAGGGTCTGTTCCTTGTGACCTTGTGGTTCCTCTTAGGTTTGCCCTTGGCAACTTGTCAGCAAGTCTACCCAGCAGTCCCAAACATGAAGGCTCACATGCAGGACAATGTTTAGCCAGATGGAATCAGTATCACCTCTGATGCCTGTATATTTGTCTTGAGAAAGTGGTCATGACTCTCGGCAGGGTAGCCGACAGGCAACCCAGTTTTTACAGCCTGGTTTTTTAAGACTCCCACTTCACCTTATACAAGCTTATCTAAATTCCTAGTTTTAGGGGCGAAATATTAGCTTACACTTTTTCAATCATTAAAGATCCTTACCAGTAGGATATCCTTGGGCAATGTCATTACCTTCGGTGGCAAAGATTACAAACAGGCCTGCGTTTTTCCCCGAAGAGCCAGTATAAACATAACATGGAGTGGAAACACAGAACACTTGGCGCCAGCATTGGCCTCGGGTTCTATTTAAATCCAAACTTGAACTTTTTACCATGAAGCGGTTTTTAGAGCGACAGTCGGAAATGGTTGTCAAGTCACGATTTAAGGCGCTGACTGGACTTGAACCTGATCACCATCAAGTAAGCGTGTTGTTTACGAGCCGTTGACCTACTGACGTGAAAGGAACTTGTCTCAGAACTAGTACTTTCTGTTGTTTCTCACATGGTAAAGAACTATCCTCTGGCCTCCAAGCTAGACCCCCTTTCCCATAGACGAAATGTTGCCTCTCTATTGCTCTTTTACAGATATTGTCATGGTCATTGCTCTGCAGAACTCACCCAACTAGTTCCACCACTCAGAACTTTTAAGCATTCCACTAGGTTCTCCACTAGCTCCCACAACTTCACCGTCCGAATTCCTTGTTCAAAATCTTTTTACAGTGACAGTTTCTTTCTCTGTACGGCCAAGCTTTGGAATTCCCTCCCTGACAAGTGTTTCTCACCAACCTACAATCTACAGGCTTTCAAATCAAACGTTCACTGCCATTTCTTGACATAGCCATGTTTCTCTTATCTTTCTAGTTCACTGCGGTCGTATAGGCCTTGCATTGAACCACTCTGTTAAAAAAAATGCCCCCCTCCCACCCTCACCTTAGTATCCCATAGTAGATAAGAATCTGCTTATTCAGAAGGCTCAGAAGAAGATAATGGTCCCAAATTCTCCAGGTGCGGATGATTACGGAGGATACAATGCTGTCGCCAGTGCAGGAAAAGGAAACGATTTCAGCAAATTACCACCGAAACTGGTTTTCAGCGACCGCATTTTTCCCATTCATCTGACATATTACATTACACTAATAGGGCCCCCCAACGTGGTTCACCAGGTGTTAAAGATTCAATCTTCCATCACAACACTGAATATACATGTCAAAAGGAATGAACGAAAGCCGACAGATTATTAGAGATTTAGTTCATTAATTTCTATGTCATACAAAAGGAGTAAAAGTTAACAATATTTGCCTAGTTTAAGAAAATTTCTTAGGATAAGATTTCTTTTCACTGCAAGAAAGGCCCCACATGTGAGCTTTGGTAACATCTATAATTAGTGGTAGGCTAATCTACCTGAAGTGATGATGCAAGAAACACAAAAAGATGCCACAAACAGCATTCTGTACTCAAGACATTCTTTGGAAAACTCAGCGGTTTGCACAAAAGTCTTGCTACACCCAGTTCTACTTTAGCCTAACTAGTGTCATGACTAAATTATGATAATTACAGAAATTACGCAATTGTACAAAATGCCTCTTTGAACAATGATATGAAAGCCTGATATGTTGTTGGCCACCCATGGACAATCTAAAATTGTTATTTATTCTACCCATGCTTTATTTTTCCACTGTTCAAGAAAAGGGCTAGATGTTGTTTTAGTTTGGACATGAATCATCTGGACAGGGTCCCAGTTTCTAGGATCGTGTACTCACTTAAAAGAGTAGGAAGAATTTCCCAGGTACAGCGAACATGTACAGACTGTATATAGCATTTATCCTTGCCGTGACCAAAGGGAGGATAGTTTTTCAGTAAGGTAAAACTTGACTGTAGATAGGTATCTGTTTTTTTTAATGTAAAACCTTGGCCGTGTTTTCAGATTTAGCAGCACGACAGAGTGTACCACGTCATCGAGATTGATGCGAGGCACCAAGCATAGACGGAGGAGAAGGCGACCGCGTATGCCACGAGTTGCACGGGTACGTACGCTGGACAGCAGTCTTTTATTATAATATATACATTGCAACATGTTTTTTACATGCAGCCATTCTGGTTTGATTTGACAATTTAGTACCTGTTGTTGCAAGCATGTCTAACCCCCAGTTTTGGGGAAAAAAGATGTTTAACTGGATAGAGAGAGAGAGGAGGGGGGGAGAGAGAGTGTTTCACATATACAGTAACTGGGCAACCTTGGCTCAAGAATTAGGTTGTCCAGTGAACTTATCCAATGAGGCTTTGGAACCTGTATTTTCAAATACCAATCACTGCTAATCTTTTTATGTGGCTTTTGTTATCTGGATTCTGATTGGCTGAGGGCCAAAGCCATCTAAACCAATCAAACCTGAATGGCTGTACCGAGAACTGAATGGTGGTTTCTGGCTATCTATTGCATTTCTGCCAAGCTTGATAATTTTTATACATTCAATTGTGGTTTGTATCAGTAAACTCTCATTGTATGAAAACATATCATATCAACCCCCTATTAACGGACTGATTTAGATAAAATAGTTACAGGTTTTGTTACTTTTTATTCAAATTATGTTATATGTGTAGGTCGACAAATGATGGAAAATCTTTACTTTTGCCTCAACCCCCTAATCTATTCAATTCACCATGTTGGTACCAGTTCAAATCCATCCCGCATGTTTTTGTTAGAAGCCTTAGAGACCAAAATCAAGGACGCCTTGCATGGACAGGTTTAGTCCAGGATTTAAGCCTACCTTCTAGGATAACTAAGGTCATGTGGACTGAGGTAAACCAACCTGGCACATCAGACATTTCCATTCATAACATTAATACAAATTTCATGTTTCAATTGTACAGAAAAACCCAAGAAGGAATTTATTGATATTCAGGGCTCGAAATACTGGGTGCATCCTTAGTGCACCAAAAATTGGAGCTGTGCACCCAATTTTTTTATGTGGGTGCACCAGTGCACCCAAATTTTTTTGTAGGTAGTTTTGTTCATATAAAATGTATAATAGTATGCAGGATATTCTTGGCATACAAGTGTAAAGAAAATAATAAAATCTTTGTTGTAAGTTTGCCCCCATTTCAAATTTAAGCTCAGAAGAGGAGCAGTAAGATTTGAAATTAGTTTTTGTTTTTGATGGTGCACCAAAAAATGTTTTGTGCACCTAATATTTTAGGTTGGTTGCACCAGTGCACCTATTCCCAAAGATAAATTTTGAGCCATGATATTAAAAAAATTAGACCTGTAGAATACACCAACCAGTCATATGATACAGGACAGGTGGTTCAAAGGTCATGGTAAAAGGATATCCCCCAGATCGGATGTGTCAGACTCCATTTTTGCAAATCCTGTGTATATTTACCTACAGATGAAGTGTCTGACACATGTGGCACCTGCATGCTTACAGGAGATAAATTTTAAGGTTTTGAAAAAAAAAACTAAGCTCAATCTGACATTATGTCATGTCCATCTGATCTCTGAAAAGGAAGAATGTGGGAGACAATTGTTAAAAAGATCTTGTATTTTTATGGATTCTTAGGCCACACCAATTTAATTTCTTGGTTAACGGATTTTTCTAGATAAATAATGGAGCGGGCGGGCGAAAAAATAAAAACAGGCCTAGGCATCCTATTATGGCCCAAAATGGTACCATAGGAGCCATGAAGTCAACACACCAGGCTGGTTCAAAATTTAAACAATGAATTTTGAAGTTTTAATGATACCATTGCATTGAAAGATGGAATAACTGCAACAACTAGGATGAAAAGGACTGTTTTCAACTGTTCAGGGCAAAATATGAGCATTTTGCAGTTGATTCTGAATTTTTACTCCATGAAGGAGGTCAGGACCTCCGGACGGAGTGTTGTAATCGGCTGATTTTTCATGTTCGCAGTCAAAACACTGGGTTCTCTTTGTGTAATCGGCACGCAATTTTATACGCCGTCTGCGGGCATGCCCGTGTTGATGCACGAATGTGTATTTTTGCCGTTGCTGCTTTCGCGGTCAATGTAATATCGCAGACGCACCCCCTACAATTACGAGGCGAATTGGAATGGTCCAGAAAAACGCGTTGTTTGGAATAGCAGTGGGGGGGGGTAAAAGGTTCATGCAGATACGGGGTGGTTTTTATAAGTGGTTCCAGATGTTTTTGCCCATGGTTAAGAGATGCCAAGTTTTTTGGAAGATGTTCGCAGCCAAAACGCATTCTTCCGTACGTCGCATTTTTGTGTAATTTCGCATGTGGTGTTGCATTATGTCCGGGATGATGCACATCTTTTTATTTTTACCGTAGCTGTTTTGATATTGGAGTAAATGGTTATTTTCGAAACATCCCCATGTCGTTGAAATGTTGTCGTCCGTTTATGTCACCGGTAGTAAGTCGCGGCGGGGCTGATGGGGCGGAAATGTGGGGTGGTCAGAGGTCAACATTAGGAAATGTTAATACCGATGACGTAATCCTATCGATTTCAAACTGGTCGGGTGTGGCGACCTAGTGGCGGCGTGTATTTAGTCACGTAGCAACTGGCAGGTCGTCCTAGCAACGACACATGGCCAATATTTTTGGGTTGGGCCGCTCCATAGTGTTAGTGGAGCAGCTCTTTGTAAACATGGACAATATTTTTGAGCAACCCATCAATGTGTTCTACCTCGTGGTCGGATGTGGTCTGGGGCTGGTAAACCGCACATACAGTACTAGTAGATCGGGTAATTTTATGATTTCCTAGTTGTAAAGGCGTTCTGTAGTATGAGCCGGTATATGAAGAAGTAGCCTGTGTTACACAATCATGCTTTCGGCCGGATTGATGTGCAACTGTTACTAATTACAGGGACTGCGCTAATGCCGACCAGTCGCGCTGTCCTGATACACCGCAAATGTGCGAGTGTTCCCTGTAGACAGTCCTGGGAGTCATTTTTTCGCACACTCCAGGAGCCAAACCAAAATACGTTCATGAACCGAGTCCACAAAAACGAAACGTGAAATCGGATGATCGGACCTGATGTACATTTCTCTTTCTGTAGATTGTACACACAATACACACATCTTTAGATAATCTGGCCATGGCAGGTAAAAAAAGGAAACCCTGAATCATACTAGATTAGCGTAAATGCATGTTTATGCGTTCAAAACAAGAAAAGAATTTGTTTCCCGGTATTAATCTCTTGAAACACGGCGCTGAATATTTACGCAAAAATATTTCGGGCATCGCGCGCCCTTCCCCGTTGTTTAGACTGTATGCAAATCCCGCGTCACGTGTCGGCATTTCGGATCTCTGATTGGTTGTTGCGTCTTAAGATGACTGAGCCGACGCGCGTTTAAACAATTTTTCTTTGTTCGATTTATCACACTTCACAGAGAATTGTCGCCAATGGCTACTTCTTTTTGTTGCAATATATAATACTTCACGGAGAATTGTCACCTATGGCTTCTTGTTATTTTTATTTGCAAATCAGAAAAGAATGAAGCGGGCGAATCCGTTAACCAAGAAATTAAATTGGTGTGGCCTTATGACAATATATGTATTCATGTCACGTTAGTTGCTATTACCTTATTCTAACAGTAGTTTCTGTGTTAACTGAATTCAAAGACTTTCTAAAAATCTAAGACAAACCAAGTTAGACTGACGTTCCTTTGTTAAATCTTTCTCAAAGCTTTGACCAGGGATTTCTTTAAGGAAGTGGTTGATTACTTGTAGGGCTTAAATCATATCTTAGGAAAACATGCCCCACCTTAGTAGATGCTACTCAAGACATTCCGGTGCAAGTTTACTTAATAAATGTACTTCAAGATGTTTAATCCCTCTTGGCCTAGAAAAAATGGTGGCTGAAGTTGTTTCAGGGATGCCAGCTGTAAGGATTATCTTAGCACTGGTAATGCAGCTGTGGTAAGATCAGATCAAAGTCTCAATTCTCATAAAGTTGACTGAGGAAAACTGAAGTGCATTCAGTGATGTGATGTTAGGAGAATTTAGCTTTCTAATCATAATCATAGTTACCTGTTTGATTCATAAATGGGCAATAATTTGGTATACACCACAACCTTGTACATCAGTTCTGATGCAAGCCAAGCAGAAATGCATACATACAAACAAACACAAAGTAGTCCATAAGTGGAAAAGCTAAACAAATATATAAACCTGATCTGTTTTAAATGCAAGATAGCACAGTTTCCTGGTATCTCAAAAAAATACTGTCGGTAAAAGCTCTTTGTTTTGAAATCTTTAGTATAAAAACATGCCTAAATGTTCCCAGTAAAAATGACCTTTGGACATTATTAGCTATAAGTACACTCTGGAATATCATCAGGGTTTTTGGCTTTGTCTCAGGGATTGCCTAATTTTTTAAGTGCCATTTTCAGCCCTAAGAACTGTGGCATTGAGTGGCGTAATGCTCAAAGTTTTCGGCTCAGAACCAGAGGTCCTGGGTTCGATCCCCTGACATGCCCAATGTTGTACCCTTGGGAAAGGCGCTTTACACGACTTTCCTCACTTTTCGGTGTAGTGGTGCCCATTGGGCCTTTCAGCAAATCATAATGATACTGCGTCCAAATAGTGATGAGGAAACAGACAGATTTGGTGTTGCCAATGTGCCAAGGTCTAAACATTTGCCACTGAGATACCTGGATGAAGGTTAGACATCCAGGTAATACGATACACCAAAAAGCAGTTACTCAAGCAACTGGATTATGATTTTGAAAATGTCAGACGTTTTAGTTAGTATCCACTAACTTTTGTCAGTGACTGAGAGACCGGAGGAGAAATGCAGGTTTATAAGCACAAACTATTGATTGATATGCAAATAAAGTGAAGCCATTTTTTTGCCACTGAGAAGCGTACTACGATTTTTTAACTGAGAAATGTGCCAAGATCTAAACATTTGCCACTGAGAAGCGTACTATGATTTTTTAACTGAGAAATGTGCCAAGATCTAAACATTTGCCACTGAGAAGCGTACTACGATTTTTTAACTGAGAACTGTGTTCTTCCACATGACTAATGACTGCAGAACGGAGCGCAGGACGTGGATCTAGCCGAGGTGGTTACATTTTTTATCAGTAGCCAACTTGTGTGTCCTTCATTCCAACACATGCCCAGCCAGTCATAGTCGAATTATTTTCCTTCACAACCTAGCCTGGATGCCAGACCAACAGCACACTAGGCCAAAAAACACTGGATAACTTTGTTTGAGCCCAGTGCTGTGGGCTGGCATCCAGGCTATTCACAACTGCAATTTAATTTGTATTTGTCAAAATTTGGGGAGATACTTACTGTTTGTGCTTCGAAAAAATACCAAAGAAAGTGACTGACTGTGTAGCATGAAATGATTACAACTGCCATATTATCATCTTGCCAAATTTGCAATTTTTTACATGGACGCTTTTCTGTTATTTGATGATAAAACAAGTTACAAAATGGTTTGACTGGTTGGCCATTGCTGGAATCAGTGAGTTCTTGTCCACCTCTAATAAGTGTTTGTTTTAAAAAAAGATTTTGTGCCCTTCTGCATTATTCTTACACTTTCTCACAATATGTAGTAGGCTTTTAGTTGTTTCATTTCCAGGTTTCCATATTTTTCTTACTCCTTTAATAAATTGTCTTGTGTCTTGTATTTATTTGTAGATAGATATTATACTTAACAACAAATTGATATCAAGAAAAAAAGTGCACTCTTTATGACTTTTAATTTCATACATGGCATTCTAAAACATAGTGTAGAATACTTGATTTTGTCAGCTTATTACATGTAAATTATGTTTATTGTAGAATTGCCCATGACACCTGTTTTCTTGTTTTTGTGTTTTTCAGTCTTCCTCCTTCAGCAGTATAACAGATTCCACAATGTCGTTAAATATTATCACAGTAACTTTAAATATGGGTAAGTACCAACTAATGATAGCCTCTTTCAACTTTATCTTCTTGCCTTGAAGATTAACAACAATTTAACTTCTGTGGAAACTGAAAGTTTGGCGCTAGTACATCTAGTATATGTAACATCTGTGTCCATAATATCACCAGGGTCCATAATATCGCCACCTTGAGAAATAGTGTGCTTAAAGATATTTTTACTGCAGCATACCCTAGGTATGTACTTTTGATGTGTGAAGGAGTGCATACCAAAAGTACAATGTATGTTGCAATAAAAATATCTTTAAGCACACTGTTTCTCAAGGTGGCGATATTATGGACCCTGGTGACACAGACGTTACATGTAGTCACAGCTAATTGAGCTGAATTCCTACTTCTTACTCTCATACTTCCTTTGTACGTGGTAGATCTGAGTGGGAACTTTCCTTGACAAAGATACATGTACAATCATTTTAATTTAACTCAATCTACGAACAATTTGACTTCTGCAGTTTGCACCAAAAATTACAAAAGATTTCAATCGTTATTTATTCATTGGTTGGAACTTTCATCTTTTTTGAGGAAAGTTTAATTTATGAGTACCACTCGGGTAGTTAGCATTGCATTCTGAGACAGTTTTCTGAATGCTGTTTCTTCATCTAATTGCATCCTCCTATTCCAGGGTCAGGTAAGCACTCTTAGAAGCATTCATTTCATTTCTCTTGCTCCCTTCATCTTTACCTATTGCTTCTGTGGTAGTATCTGCTGTTTCCAAATATCTGTGGCAATACGACTTGAAAAAAAAAAGATGTTGCAACAATTTATCAAGCATGATCCTTGTCTGTCATTCCCAGTTGAAAAAAAACATGGCCATATTTGTCGTTGGAGTTAATATTTTGCAATAAAACCTGAAAAAAAAGATTTTGCAACAATTTATCAAGCATGATCCTTGTCTGTGATTGAACTCATCAGAATCTGTAAAACATCCCATCAGTGTAAAATTACTTGCCATTTGTCTGCAGTTGTCGTTCCCAGTTGAAAAAAAAACATGGCCGTATTTGTCATTAGAGTTAATATCTGTTGCAATAAAACCTAAAAAAAAAAGAAATTCATTCTATCATGATCCTTGTCTGTGATTGAACTCATTAGAATCTGTAAAACATTCCATTAGTGTAAAATTTCTTGCCATTTGTCTGCAGTTGTCGTTCCCAGTTGAAAGAAACATCGCTGTATTTGTCCTTGGCATGTTCTTGTGTCCATGATTTTTCAGTGGTTTGTTATCACTGAACAACCTTGGGCGTGACAGATTGTTTGTTTGTCTTGTGGATTCTTGGTGTGCCAGAATGTAAGGTTTAACTTCGCTCTGAAAGTCAAGACATGTTGGCTTTGCCTTGAAACCAGCTGTCAATGCACATGGTTTACCATACCCTGTACCGACATGTACAAGATCACACAAAAGCCACTGTTTTGACAAATGCGATGTAGAAATTATGCATGATAAACAATTTTAAAAGCTTTTGTGTCAAACCAAGTCACATCATGTGATTTTTTAACCAGACTTTGTCGAATGTCAAAAAAAAATGTTTGCTGTTCCTTAATGTAAAAAGCAGTAAACCAGATGTGATCACTACCAAATCTGCTTTTCCTTCAAAACAAGATCACTCGATATCTGTTTATGAAGATACAATCTCTGCAAGGGTTTAAAGTCTTTTCGTTTTTGCCTTTGATACATGAAAACGAATCCTGTCGGAAGTGTCAAATTTGACCGTACCCAAGTATCGTTCAATTATACAAACGGGGATTCGACAAAAAAGTCCACATAAAATAGTGTCTTTCTGAATGCTTATTGTGAGAAGTCATGCACAAATTCCTAGTATTTCCGAATGTCCTGTGGACAGACATCCGGATATCGGGTCGGTCTTTACAGCTTCCTGTGTCTTGATGTATGCCGTGCCAGCTGACCATAATTTCTCCCTCTTCTCTCTCCCCTCTCCACAGATAATGTAAATTTCCTGGGTATCAGTATAGTGGGAGATGGCAAGGACGGCGGAATTTATGTCGGCTCGGTCATGAAGGGGTAAGTAAGGGATGCCGTTCAGGGCTCGAAATACTGGGTGCATGTGCACCTTAGTGCACCCAAAATTGGAGCTGTGCACCCATTTTTTTTTGCAGATATTTTGGTACATAATAAATGTATATTCAGGATATTCTTGGCATCTAAGTGTCAGAAAAATAATCAAATCTTTCTTGTACTACTTGTGTAAGAATTTGAAGTTAGCTCCCATTTCAGATTCAAGCTCAGAAGAGGAGAAGTAGGATCTGTAAATAGTTTTTTTTAAATATATATATGGTGCACCCAAAAAACTTTTTGTGCACCTAATAATATTTTAGGTTCGGTGCACCAGTGCACCTATTCCCAAAAATGTATTTCGAGCCCTGCCATTTGTTTTCCTTACAGTCTGTTTTTCTCACTTTCCCTCAAGTTGCAGGGAGCATTCTTGTAACCTAAGATGTAGTGATTAATACCTGAGGGTGAGACTCTTGACATAAATGTTAAGCCCGCTGACAGGCAGTGGCACCCAATACTCTAAACACAGACTTTAGGGTGCAGTGTCAATTAAGCCATGAAATAGGAGACCTTGCAGTTGTCAGTTTGGTAGTTTGCGATGCATGCTGGTTGCTTTCTCCACTTGTAGTTGAATATCTCTAATGTGTACCATGAAAGATGAATTTCAGTTGGCCCCAGTATGCTTGCATTCAGTTATACATTTAGGTATATACTACATGTACATGCAAGTTGATGTACTTAAAGTACATGTACACGCTTGTACTTTTATACAGCAAGGAAGGCATTTTTTTGCACTACAGATGCTTGTACTTTCCCAGAGTAGTTCTAGGTATGCTTATGCTCATTGCATTCAGCATGTTGGCAGAACATACTGCACCTGCGCGAAAATCATAGTGTATTGTGCATAGCATTTCAGCAGAACGTCTCATATAAGGACGTATTTGCGTATATACGGTTGACGTCTTGTCTGTAGTTTTCAAATGTTAGGATAAGATATCATCTGCAACAGGCAAAATTTTGATACAACGTTGACCAAACGTCCAACGAAAACCATGAAAATTTTTATGCAGTTGCAGTATGTTCTGCCGACGTGCTATTGCATTCTGTGATGGAAGTCATGAAAGTTTGACTTTGATTTTTGCAGAGGAGCTGTTGCATTAGATGGGCGGATCGAGCCAGGAGACATGCTTCTTCAGGTCAACGACGTCAACTTTGAAAACATGAGCAACGACGACGCTGTCAGGGTATTACGCGAGATTGTACATAAACCAGGGTAAGACAAACCTCGAGTTTCCAACAGGAGAAAATCAAACTAGGCTTTGTTCTAACACAAGAAGGAAACTCATTCTGGAGAATCAATGAGTGCATCATACCTCTGACAAAAGTCGTGGGGTCGCGTGGCGCAATGGCAGCGTGCGCGACTCGGAATCAAGAGGTCCAGGTTCGAGTCCTGACATGCCACCGATCTTGTGCCCTTGGAAAAAGGCACTTAACACGACTTTCCCCACCATACAAGTGAAAATTAGTATTGTCTGTCCGGTATCCGTTTCTATGTGCGGGACAAAACACCAGCAACAGCTGCCTCTGCTCCGCGTGTATTGCGTTGTTGCAATTTCAACAAAATAAAAAAAAAATGTAACGAAGGTTGACAAGATTGACCAAAAATTTATGTTGAGTTTCCTTCTTGTGTTGTAACAAAGCTTGAACTCTATAGCTATGGATTCTACCAACACAGATGAGCTTTCATTCAAACTAGGCTACTAGTTGTTATATTGTTCATATTTCTAAGGTGATGAATTGTTTCTATCTCACTTTCTTTCTGCTGTCTGTCATTTGCTGCTGTGATGTAATACAGAAGGTGAGAAAAGGACAGGATGAATTTTGGTGTACATGTTTCTTTATACCAAGTACACAATCTTACAAAATTACGAAAGAATCCTCAAGAATTAAATTGTTGTTACTTTGTTTTTCAGTCCTATCAAACTAGTGGTTGCCAAATGTTGGAATCCTGAACCAAGAGGATACTTCACAATACCGAGATGTAAGTATTACACACATGTCACCATCATCCACCAATCAATGCTCCAACACAACTTGATCTTTAACATTCACAAATTCACAAATCAATCTTTAGAATTTAGAAAATGATGACCCACTGAATTTTTAAAAGATGGCGAAGTTAGAATTTTGAAATGACCATTCTTGAAAGTTTGAAAATGGCATGATCATTGAATTTGAATGATAACCAATCAAATCTTTGAAATCTATAACGTTACTGATCCTTGACATTTGAACAATCTCCAAAACCAATGCTTGTCCAAGACTAATTCAAATCTTGCTGTTGTAGTTTTTGGAAAATAATGTGACTGTAACTTGGTGGGGAAAATCTACAGCCAGGGATGACATGTACAGATGGTCATGTTGTTTTCGTTGAATCCGTAGCGGAGCCAGTCAGACCTTTAGACCCTGCCGCTTGGATTACTCACACTGCAGCTTTGACACGTAAGTTTTGGACACACTCACAACAAGGGAAGTCAGTGGCTCCATGGAGCAGGCTGTGTGCATTTGTGTGCTGTAATAAAGGTTTAAAAAATGTGTTCCAGCATTTTGACATTCTCTACATGAAAGACTATCAAAATGTGGAACGCATCTGCCTAGAAGGCACACTTCATAAATCCTCTATACCCTGTATGGAACATTTCTGACCCACTGATTAGACAAGAAAAATGGCTCACCCCTGTGGTGTTGCCAAAAAAACTTCAAGCCAAAAGAAACATTCAATCCTTGTCAGCGCGCAGTGTTCCGTGGCCAGCCTGTTGACTTGCCAGTTGACATGTAGTACTCATATAAAACTGTGGCTTTACACGCGTTATCATTTTCCCAGCAGCGGAACCCATAAGGCCGATAGACCCTGCTGCATGGGTGTCTCATACGGCTGCTATGAGGCGTAAGTACTCTCATTCCCAAGCTCCATGTCCGTGTGTTGGTGCAGCTTTTTCTTCATCTTTTTTTTTTGTCACCTAGCGTGTGGCTACTCCCTTTGAAAGTAGTAAAACACCAAAAGCTAAAAACAAGCCTGTTCCTACCAACTAGTTTGAGTGGTTTGTTCCAATTTGTAGTACAGATTCCAGAGTTTTGGATAACTGAACTTGGCAGAGGGGGTGGTCATACAGAGTAGTGAAGTGGTGGTTTGGACTCAATATCTTGGCTACATTAAAACCATTTGCCGAACCATAGTACCCCTCCCCCATGTACATTTTTAACTTCTATTCTTTCAATCAAGACTTGAGTAGTTTCATGGTAGTCAAAGCTGTTCTGTTTCCAAGTACATGTAGTTCTTCAAACTAGTGCCTGATCCATCTCTATCCCATTAGGATACTTTTTGTAGATCTCACTTTTCGATGTCTCCCCCCTCTCTGCTTGCCTTCTCTTGTTCTTCCAGCCGGTTCCTGTTACTACGGTACACCTAAAGTCCAAAAACAGTTGCCCGCCCTGTTTCAGACTCAGTGTAACTGTCTGTGTTGCCACACACAAATCAGCATTGGTCCCCATCGATCATTGACGTATGACTCGTGCCGGGCTGGTACGTACGTACGAGACGTAACTTTCACACCACCACCCAATTTGGGGCAAAGATTGGCTGCGTTAGAAGACGTATACAAACTGTGGTATACCAACTGAAATATGTCACAGTATGTTCGAGTGTTATCAAAACATTCAAATGAGGCTGATTCTTTCACAGCCACCCCTACATGACGAATAGCGAGTTCCATTATGTCACAAATCTACTCAGATGGAACATACCATTCTCAAAATAGAGGTGGACTCACCTCTGCAGTCCCTTACTAGTTTCCAAGTGTCTGTTGGCCTGAGTTGCAAAGTGGTGTGTAGAAGAGTCCAAAACAATACAAGGGTTACACTATTATTTATCATCAGGCCACACTGACTTAATTTTATGGATGACATCTGCACTCGCATTGATTTTCCCCTCTTTTAAAAAAAAAAGATCACGTCCTCCGAGGCTCTGAGGCTATAGGCCTGGGTAGTCCATGGTAGTTAGCGACAATACGGAGTCGATGGTATACTCTTGAGGATGGCACCCAGGCTATACTGAAGCTTCAGTGCCAATTCATAAATTGACCCATATGCCGGCTTGTCGTATACGTCGCTAAGTACTGCCGCAAATTCACAATACCAGGTTTGTATTCCTGTGGTTTAGTAGCATTTTTATTTTTGGCCGGATTTTTTTTTGTTTGCCTGCGCGCACTAGTTTGGGAGTCTTCTGAGTATGTCATCCATAAAATTAAGTCGGTGTGGCCTCACCCTTATGATCAAAACATTGCAGACAAAAACGGGTGTTGTTTAGTTACGTCTTTGTACGCACAGAAACTTTGCCAGTCTTCTCCTCTCTAACAACAGAACCCCTGGGGAACTCTGACCTTATCATACTACTTTCTGAGAACAGTCTTGTCATCTTTCCCTAACTTCTCTCCTTTGCCTAACTGTTTGATAGTCTAAGAACTTGTACTGATAGGAAGGCGTGAGGACTGCAGATGTTTGGTGATAGATTTAAACTTCTGTTGGTTTTGCAATTGTGATGTGTATGATGCTGTGTCTCCAAAGTGGTCTTTAGATTTTACTGTTTTTTTTTCTTTCATTCATTTCATTTTGTCTTTTACAAGTTATCATGGAAAACAAATATGGATTGAGGCAATCTTTTTTGGTTTTGTAAGGTTAGGCTCTAGGTTCATAAGATTAATGATTGTGTTTGACATAACATCTGTGTCCATAATATCACCAGGGTCCATAATATCGCCACCTTTAGAAATAGTGTCGCAGTAAAAATATCTTTAAGCACACTATTTCTCAAGGTGGTGATATTATGGACCCTGGTGATATTATGGACACAGATATTAGATGTAAAACTTGTTAAACTTGATATTTAAAAAAAACGTTTGTTCTCCTTTCATGCTACATTATTTTTGACAAATGGTAAGTATAAAGTTAAAACTGGCTTTTTTTCTACTCTATATCATACTATGATATTTTTCTGTGAGTGTCTGACTGATTGGAGCTTCATCGACTTAAACAAGAACCCTGATAGTGTGTCTTTACTGCACTAATAATTTCACATCCACAAATTTCCCCTACATGACCCTGTTGCATGTTGTTTTCTACAGAAGACTACCCGGGTGGGCGTCCTGCCATCAGTCCCTCCATGAGCACGATGACATCAACATCATCCTCCATCACCTCTTCCATCCCGGAGTCGGAAAGTAAGTCTTTAGGATGGCATTTGTTTGTTTTTTTGTTTGTTTGTTTAAGATCTCCATTAGTGTGAATTTCACACTACTCTTCCTGGAGTCCGTACTGAATAATCAGATAAGTATTTGGATCATTGCACACCGGGGCATGCCCCTACATTCGACCAAGGACATCCTATAGAACATCCTTGATTCGACTTTGCCACTCATGGTGGACAAAACTTTTTCCCAATCCATTGTCTTTAACAGACAAAAATCGGGGTGTGAAGATATAGACAGAGATGATTAAACTAAACTTAAAATCTATCTGTCCAGCAAAATTTGCCCCTCAAAATGCAGGAAATAGCATTTCAGAGGGTCAAGATTTCAAAACTTTCTTAGGGGAGCATGAAAAAAATTCAGGCTGGCTGGAACACTGCTCTAATTCAAGACTTGTGTCATGCCAGCAAATGTTTAGAATCAGAGTTTCCTCCGTTGCCCAACCCTATGGCAGTTGGGAGAATTATGTTGCTCATGTCAGACAAAAATTTTAATTAATTTGACATCCCTGACAGTCTCAAACTAGAGTATTCACATATGCGAAATATTACAACTTGAAGCTTCGAGCTAAAATGTTTTCGCAGTATTGCTTTGTTTTATATGCCACATTGAGATGTCTAAAAAAAAGTAAGAGCTGACAAAATGAGCTGTCAAAAGAGATGAGAAGGATGTATATTTTAAGTCTGCTTTTTTTTAATTAGATCATCACAACCAAAATCCTTAAGCTTCCCACCGATATTTAGCAAAAAAAGTGGTGTTGTGGTGTCTGACTGTAGAACCATCAGCAAGTGTTGTGCATGGAAAACTGAATGAGAGTCTACTAGCTGTCCATAGTCTTTTTGTCACCTTGCTCTTAAAACACAGCAGGAGTGGACTTATTAAATGCTGGATTGTAGGGCAGCCCTTGTGGTTTTTGAGTTCTCAGCGTGCTGGGAAATCCGTGGAGTTACCCTTTGTCAGTAAGAGTGGGAGAAAGTCTGCTTTTCTCCAGTTTTCACGTTGCTAAACGCAGCAGGAGTGGACTTATTAAATGCTGGATTGTTGAGCAGCCCTTGTGGTTTTTGATTCTCAGCGTGCTGGGAAATCCGTGGAGTTACCCTTTGTCAGTGAGAGCGGGAGAAAGTCTTCTTTTCTCCAGTCTTAGCGCCACTTCAGGGTCAGGTCAAAGTACTTGGGAATAAACAGTTTCTAGGCTGCTAGTGATGTGAGACTGCCTGGCCCTGTCACTGGGCCGTGGGCCTGCCTCTCATGCAGTCTGTGGTATAGTTCTGAACAGCTCACACCTGCTGATGTGACAGGGCTCAAAATACTTTTTTTTTCTGCATTGGTACAGGTAACATTGAAAACTAGAAAGGCCAATATTTGCTTTGGAGCAAATACAGCGATGGGTTCACCACATTTTACGACATGGCAGGGAAAGAATGAGAAACACAAGGGAAAACAATGATTTACATTGATATAACTATAATATGAAGTAACATACAACTAAAACAACAGTTGGATAGCTATTCCCTACTTTATTGGTTAGGATTTTTAATTGCATAATGCAAACTGTTGATTTTAAAAATAAAAAAAAAACGTTCAATGCCCCGCATTCCAATGCTGGAGCAGAAAAGCTTGAAAATACCTACCAAAACACTTGAATAAAGACATATACTGTCAGTATGGAAATGCTCTGTGCAGGTGTTATTAACAATCACATAAACTATGAAGCCATACATTGAATAAGCTATACATATAATATGATTATCATAACCTTTATTTTTAAAATCATGCCAGTGAGCTAATTGCATGTACAGAGTGAAAGAAAGTAAAGTAAAGCAGTAGAATTTCTGTACTAGCTATGATAGTACTTCATATGATTCGTCCTCATCGTCATTATTCAATGTGGTCTATCTCTTGCTACTAGTGACTGGTAATACCTCTGTAGATTCTTCACACTGGCAGAGTACCGTACTCCTTCTCTCTTGTCAGCTCAATACTTTTGTGACAACATCAAAGTGATTTTAGTTTGTATGTTGGAAAAACACAAAAGACTAACATTCTAAGTTATTGACATTCTTGAGTAAGAACAATCAGTTTTTGAATGTTAAAAGCAAAACAACGAAAATAAAAAAAATGTTGAAATTGTTAAAATGCAGAATTGTTAAAATCGTTAAAACTGATAAAATTGTTAAAAATTATAAAATTGTTAAAAATGTTAAATTGCTAAAAATATTTATGTCCGACTGCACTGGGTTCGAACTTGCAATGCCTGGGATTGCCGCCTTGCGCGTTTCCAACCGAGCTAACTCGGTGCGATACACATCACTCACTGCATTGTATGTCATAAAAAGTAAACAGCATGGCGGTATCGATCGCCTCAAGCCACCAAGACTTTCAACTATTAACTACGGGGTTTCCTTCTTTATCAGGTTTGCTTTTGAACCACCTTGATGTTACTTAACTATCAACCCGGCTAGCAGAAGCCGCCGGCTCCTTTGATATTACAGCCGCTCCCTGTCCAATCTTGTTTACACGCCGGGCGCAGGTCATTGACCTCCAACTTGCGTTGTTCCAACAGAGAAGAGCAAAATGTCTGGCTCCCGCAGAACGTACCGCACTCTCCCGCTGGACGTACCGCACTCTCCCGCAGAACGTATCGCACTCTCCCGGAGGACGTCCCGCACTCTCCCGAGGGAAGTCCCGCACAGCGTCCTGCACTCTCCCGCAGAACGTCCCTCGAAAATTGATGCGTATTTCGTGGCCTGTGCTGTACCTACCAAAACACTTGAGTTCATACTGTCAAAATGGAATGGCTTTGAACAGGTGTTAATTGAGTTAATCCAATCAAATCCAACAGCCAATCAGCAAGAAGAAAAGATTAGGCTGCGTCAGGTTCATGCTTGCATGCCCATATATGGGCATGCCGCCGAATTTCTTTCTTATTACGTCACGCGCGTACGCCCCCGCACAGTACTTTCCTATGGGGACCGCTAAAAAAGCAAATAAAACGATTGTAAAAGCTTGTATCACAAAAATTTAAAAAACGCCTAGGGGTATTTGCCCACTGTACCTCCATACCAAATTTCAGGACCTTAGGCCCTAAAATGAAGAAGCTGAATCCATTTAAAGAAATGGCAGGAGGAGAAGAAGAAGGAGGAGAATCATGAGAAAAAGCAATATGGTTTCACCACTTTGTGGTGAACCCATAATTACCTGCACCAGACAAGTTTATCTGTACCACTCAGACTTTGAGAAGTATGGATCATACTGAAAATAATGTTCAAAACCTTTGCAATCATTTCTTTTATATTTCGTAGTTGGTAATAGTCAGTACAGCAAATAAAACTCAGAATACACCTACACGTATCTATAAACCCATGTACCACTCAGTACCAGTGTCAGTTAGGTGTAGGTAGATATCAGAAGTACCTACACAGCTCCAATTTTACCTGCATTGAAATGCATATGCACCCAGTATTTTGAGCCCTGTGCAAATAACTCTCTGTACTCCTCAGAAATCAGTGGTTAGGTTCTGCATCAGAGTTGAAAGTAGCACACATAGTCCCTTGACTAGCAGCAGTACTGTGCCCTCTCCACTTCAAAAGTCTATGGTGGGGCTGTACATCTAGGTTTTTAAAGGGCCACACCTGGTCCCTCATGACTGGCCCACTGTTGCCCTGCCCCCCTCCCCCATAATCCGTGTGCCCACCTGATAGGGGTGTTTTGTTCCCATGGGGCGAGCAGGTCACCTCACAAGGGGCGCACACAAAGGTAAGAAAACTGTTCTCCCATACACGGGGGCCCTGTGGTCTTGTACAGGAGGATTAGACAAATACTTGTCAATTTGCACATGAATGAGCATCGCTGGGAGTCTCTTCCTCAGATGGTCGCCCGCGGGTTACTCTAAGCGTTACGGTTTCATGGGAAGATGCTTTGCAAAGGTAGGCCTCTGTCCAAACTCCTGTCTGATGTGTAGTTGTTTAGTGTTTGGGTTGTAACGTTTAAGTAGTTACTGGACAAACCAAGTGAGGTAGAACCTATTTCTGTGTAAGCAAGTACTTAGGCACAGCCCATGTCTGCAGCTGTGGATGTGTTTATAGAGATCATTCTTTGGTGCAGTCTTCGGTGACATAAACAGTCTGACAATTACAGTATAGAAGCTGGTCATGTTTGGGGAGTTCCAGTCTCTAAAATATGATTTTGACAATTTTAGGTCACAAATAATTTTATTGTGGTCATTGTAAGTTCGATTGAAGTGAGTTTGAGTTAGCATTGGCAGAATAATTGTTTAACTTTAAACAGAAAAAGAAGAGCTAGGTTTTCAAGCAGTGTTGTTGGGTGTCCACAAGACCCACATTCAATCAGTTGTGACATTGGGAGGGGTCAAAATGTATATTGAAGATACCTGCACACTAGACAGTTTATACAAGTTTAGAGGAAAATATGCCCCTATTGTACACTCGTAATGAGAGGGGAGGGGCAGTTTCTTTTGTCGCTGACTACCTCATTTTCTGAGGTGTTGTCTTTGGCTCATTTATACAGGAGTGGGTGGGGGAAATTACTATTAGCACCTTGTAATGAATCGTTAATTGTTGGGAAAGGTGTGAAAAACTAATTGACGAGTTGCCCCTTTGTCTACAAGTGAATTGTCTTGGATTAGATTGGTTATACATGACTGACTGCAACTAAAGACCTAAAGCCCATGTGTGTGTATTATGTTGAAAAATAGAGCCAGATATTTGTCCACGATTTTTCTTGAAAGGAAAGGGTATCCAAGCCTCGTGAAACGTAAAAGCATTTCCAAGAAATTTTGTACAATCAGTTACGATGGTGATGAGTAATGTCTATTGCCTATTCAACTTTAATGTAGGGGAAAGTTGTGTTACCAGATTGATATCTAGCATGTTGTTCCTTGAGTTTGAACTTCAAGCTGACAATCCTCTCTAAGACGTTCTTGTGGTGTCGTCTTGGTGTTTAGGGAGGTTCCTCACCTCTGTTGTTTCCTTAGGGTCATGTCTGTTTGTCTTTGCTGCACATAACTTAGCAGGGGATCCAGCACTGTGGTTACTCAAGCCTTCTTCACAGGAAGTCGCCGATCCCACAATCTGGACTTTTATGGACTCTCACAAGGCTTAGATCTGGTGTGAAGAAACCGGAATCTTACAGGCAACCAACCACCCAGTGTTCTCTACATTCTGACATATTTGTATGATCGTACCATCATTTTGGCAGAAACCAATTGAAGAACTTGTGAGAAGGTTTCAATTTTGGTTTTCCGAGAAGGTTTGGACTCTTACAAGGCTTCGATCTGGTGTGAAGAAACCAGAATCTTACAGGCAACCAACTACCCAGTGTTCTCTACATTCTCTCTTATTTGGACGATTGTACAGTCATTTTGGCTGAAACCAAATGAAGTTGCAAGAAGGTTTCAATTCTCGTTTTCCGAGAATGTTTGGACTCTTACAAGGCTTCGATCTGGTGTGAAGAAACCGGATCCTTACAGGCAACCAAGTACCCAGTGTTCTCTACATTCTGACATATTTGTATGATCGTACTGTCATTTTAGCTGAAACCAAATGTAGAAGTTGTGGGAAGGTTTCAATTTTGGTTTTCCGAGAAGGTTTGGACTCTTACAAGGCTTAGATCTGGTGTGAAGTAACCGGAACCTTACAAGCAACCAACTACCCAGTGTTCTCTACATTAATAATATTCTGACATATTTGTATGATCGTACCATCATTTTGGCTGAAACCAAATGAAGTTGCGAGAAGGTTTTAATTCTGGTTTTCCGAGAAGGTTTGGACTCTCACAAGGCTTCAATCAGGTGTGAAGAAACCAAAATCTGATAGGCAACCAACTACCCAGTGTCTCCTACATTCTGACGTATTTTTGATTACTGGTATCAAGGTACTGTCATTTTGGCTGAAAAAGTTGCAGGAAGGTTGTAATTCTGGTTTCCCGAGAAGGTTTGGGATCTTCCATACAGTGTTCATCCCGCGTGCGTTGATTGGCAGTCTTCTAAGCAAACGAGCAAACACGTCCCATTCCAGGCATTCTTGAGCTGTCACTTGAAAAGTCTTAGCTCCAAAAAGAAGCAGGAGAAGAAGGACCAGGCTTGGATAGCTATGGACTAAAGTTTACCACCATGATCGTACTTCGGATAGTCTGTAAACTGGATCGTGAGCAGATTTTTAACCCTCGTACTGCCAACTTCTGCTGTTACAAATGCAACTTTGGGTGCATAGATGAGTGTGCAGCAGCATATTAGGAGAGCAAGGCAAAGCCTGGGTTTCCAGAAATGGTACTGAGGGTTGGATAATGGGAGCTGAGTTTTCAGTGGAAACTACAGAGGCTACCATTGGAGGTAGGGATGGGGAGGGGGGCATTGAGATATCTCTGGAACAACAAGTTGTTGTTTATCATCAGTAGAAAGTCTACTCTGGTCAGCTTGGAAGCAGCATAAATGAAGCAATGTATTATTGACCCATGTTGGTATAACTTTATGGTGCAACTCTAGTGACACCATTTTTTTTATGTACTTCTTTCTTTTCTCTTCATTGTTGTTACTACAAATGTACCTTGTTTTTTGTTGATGTTAATTTATTTGTGTCAAATTGTGTGGGGAGGGGGCTTTGGGAAGTAACTTCTTATTTTCTGCCTAATCCTCAAAAAATGAATGTAAATAAGAACTCTGGTAATATGATATTTAATAGAATGTGGCTGAAAATAACCATACCAATACCAAATGCCTTCATAGGTGAGTTAATATTCGGGAATTCTTTTTAAAAATCGGAAAAAAAGAGTTGAGTGTGGTTGGACTGTCTAACGTGAAAACTTGTTGTCCCTGCAGGGTACGATGAGATGCCGCTGACCATCAACACGGACATGTCCACCATCGTCAAGGTCATGGCCTCGCCAGACTCAGGACTGGACATCCGGGACAGAATGTGGCTGAAAATAACCATACCAAACGCCTTCATAGGTGAGACAATCTTCTGTCACTTCTGGGTAATCTTTTAAAGTTTGTAGGTTGAGCTTCTGAAAAAATGTTGAGTTTGGTTCCAAAATGTGGCTGAAAATAACCATACCAAACGCCTTCATAGGTGAGACAATCTTCTCTCACTTTTCTTGTGGGGAAACATTCAACAATAGGTTGAGCACTTGAAAAAAATAGCTTTGAGTGTGGTTCTAGAATGTGGCTGAAAATAACCATACCAAATGCCTTCATAGGTGAGACAATCTTCTCTCACTTTTCTTGTGGGGAAATCTTTAATAATTTGTAGGTTGGGCTTCTGAAAAAAAATCCCTACATGTGTAGTAGCAACTTTTAACTCTATCAGTGTGAAAATGTGAAATCTTTGTGCTACCTGAAGTAAACAAATACATGTAGTAGCACAGGATTAACATGTTTATTTCCTTTCCATACCTGTGCACACCCAGGTAAAACCTAGCACCTCATTTGGCAACACTTCATTTGTTCTGTGTAAAAAGCTACTTCTACAGTTACGTAGTAACCATCTTCAAATGCCTTTGTGAATTAATTTTTCCCCACTTTTGTATGTCTGTAGGTTCAGATGTAGTAGACTGGTTACACACACATGTGGAAGGGTTCAATGATCGGAGAGAGGCCAGGAGATATGCCTCTCAGATGCTGAAGGCAGGCTACATCAGGCACACCGTCAACAAAATCACCTTCTCAGAGCAGTGCTACTACATCTTCGGTGACCTCTCGCAGGTCAACAGGGGTAGGTTTGGAGTTAACTTCTCCCTGCTTCTCAATCTCGTAATGAGAGAATTTGTAGTCAGATGGCACATCGGCAGAATGCACCTGCTTGAACCCGTAATGCATTAACATCCCCTCTGTAGTTTCCAAATGTTATGTCAGAAAAATATTGTCTGTAACAGGAAAAATTCTAATGCTATGTTGACCAAACATCCAACAAAAAACGTGAAAAATCAGGGTTTCGTGCAGGTGCAGTACGTTCTGCCGACGTGCTTAGTCAGATGGGTACTTCAGTGTGCTGATGGTTAAAGGACCATCTCAGCCCAGCCATTATTTTTTTTCTACATTTCTGTACTAAGAAATGCTGGGAAAAAATTATTTGCTGTGATTTTTCCTGGTCTGTGAATAAAACGTGTGATGGACCTAATAACTACATGCATCGTATCAGCTTCAACTATACATAGAGGAAATAGGTGACTTACTTGACAAAGTATTCCTAGATAAAAGTAGGCATATAAGAATCACAAAAAGAACTGTTGCTGTGTATGGATCATCGTGGAAACAAGAGTTATTTTTTTTCATACATTTGAATGAAACCATGGTGAAAGTTTCATTTTATTTCTGCCTTTCAGACATGGCCAACTTGTCACTAGAGGACCGGGAAGGAAGCAGTGAAACTGACCAGGACACTCTGGCTCCCCTTCCCGGGGCACCCTGGGCGTTGGTCGGTCCCCACATGCCCATCCCTGGCAGCCACCTGCCTTACACAGGTGTCTACCAGCCCAAAACTGCGGGGTACGCAGTCCCGCCCGGGCCGTACTCCATCGACGCACCTCCGTACGCTCCAAACTACAGGGAAGGAACGACAAGCCAGCATAGCGGCAGTCCCGGTAAGGCTTCGGTGTAGCGAAAAATGTGTCAAATCATTGAATTTGATTAGCATTGTTGTATGGGAAAGCCCATGGTGATTTCTTACCTTTGAAATAAAATGCTGTAGTCTATCATTTCCTCAGCAAGTTTAAAGTTTGAAAGAAATATTCAAACTGAAATATTCTGAGAATTATTCTGGCAAAATAGAGGACCAGGTTTCTGGTTGAAGTGTTTTCAGTGGCGCTGTTAAAAGGAAGGTGGTGGTTCTCTCACAAGGGCAAGGAAAACTGCATGAAGAGGGTTTTTTAATGGAGCTGGGCCTTTTTTTAACCAAAAACACTCTGCTTTGCTAATAACAACAACTGGATGGTGTTAGACATTTTATGAGGGAAAGAAATGTAGAAACCCAAGTCATTCACAGAGAAAATTTTCCTGTAGGGGTATCCAAATTTCAGACGTCGATGACAAAGCATGGTTACGTCCTCAAAGATAAAGCAGCTGCCTCAGCATGTTACTCCTTCTTGACCAGCCTCCCTTGCCTTCGTGTCAGCAGCCTACCACCTTCCTTAAAAGGCCATCCGATACGTGTGAGTTGAACCTTCATCTGGTGGAAACATTGCTACCTGGATCAGCCGTGCCTTGGGGACTGCAAACTGTCAAGGATTTTTTCTCTTTTTAACGACAACCTCTTCCCCGGCTTGTCCGGTTTCTTACAGACACATGCGTCTCGGTGGACACTGGCTCGCACTCACTAGAATCAGGTCGCTCTATTTGCCAGGCAAATCCTTCCTTCTTTTTCCCCCCGTTTTTCGCTTGCTCCACGCATCTGGCATGTTTGCCGACTGCAGCTGTTTATCCAGAGTGGGAAAATGTTGGTCTGTGACGGGGGCGTCCAAAATAACACTGTTTAAAAATGACAACAGTGTGTTAAATCCTGACTTGACAAGGAGTTAACCCAACTGTGCTTCGACATACATTCAAACCTTGTGAAGTTTGCAAGTACGAGTTTGAAAGTGCAAAGAAATTTAGAGTCTACACATGCCAAGATCTTGTCAGCTTGCTATTTTGTAGCCAAAAACTGGCTCGTATTTTACAAAAGCAGCCAACATTTTCCACAATAAACAGCTTACATTCACAAGTCCAAATATGATGGAAATGACATGGAATGTTACAAAAGCTTCTGAAAAAAGTTGCCTCTTAAGAAAAAAGTTGTCAGTATACTGAATGATTCCCTGTGCCCCTTACTACTGTGTGGACTGTGTTACTCCATGGCGCAGAGTTGCGTGTTTTTTTCGCTTGTGAATGCGTTGTTGCCTTGTACTTGTTCTCATCTTTTACTATCTCCTACAACCTGAGCATTCTGACCTGCACACCCCTCCAGGAGCAGTGTAGTAGTCCAACAGTACCACATTTAATGCAGAGGATGCAACCAACATTGTATACCAAAGGGGGGTCATGGAATATGATCTTTCAGAATCAAATGTAGTCATGACCCCCACTTTGGAACTATCCATTTTACCTCAGTTGTCAAAGTTGATGCATTGTTGGATCGTTCCATGATGAAGGGAGGGGTGTTGCAGCAGTTTGCCCAGCGAGGGGAGAACCATGCTTGTCTTGCACTGTCTGACAATAACGTCTGTTCTCTCTGTCTGCACCCATGCTATAGAGGAGCAGTGTTGTAAGAGACCCACTCCCACCTTCGTTACCTTCAAACCTAATGATGTACGAAAACTTCCTCACTTGCATGGTTTGCACTTTCCTTGTCTAATGCATGCTTGGCACGGTCAGTAGTAATGCATGGTGGACCGCACGTATGCGTATCCTGACCATTGGGCCGCTCGCATATTGAACGATATATATATATATCGTGTGTCTGATGCATGATGGTTCTTTGAATACGCAACCGTATGTTAAAAGGCTTGGCAGCCATATCTTTGATTTTATTTCGTAATTTTTTTTTAATTTTTAAATCTGTACAATTGGGCAGTTCTGTCTAAATGAGATAAGCAAAAGAGCCAGAGATGAATTTGTTAAGAAATTGTCGCCTTTGACCCAGTAGTCTTGTGGTCAGGTGATGCTTGTCATTCTGCATAATCAGTGTCTTTGTGTGTCTCAATCTTAGTTTCTACATCTTTTGTATGTTTCAACCATTCTGTACGCAACATTCTTTGTGTTTTCTTGCCTTTTACCCTGTTTTTAATTGTCCATTGTGTTGTTACCACTTCTAGTGCTTCTTTGCTTCATCTGTCGACCTGTTTTCCCAGTGGCATTTTGTTTTGTGTGGCATAGAAGTTCTCATGTTTTCAATACATTTACATGTGTTCAACTAATTTTGCTCTGAGTTCATAGCTGCCGCAGACTCACTTACAACTTTCTCGTATCACATAACAGCTGCCTTTAGACGAAGCACGCATCATGATTACTTGCATCCATATACACTCTTTAAACCACAAATAGTAAACACAACTTGTAGTAAAAAATAATCTCACTGAAAAGAAAGAATGTACTGTGCTTAGTATAGAAGTCACCTAGCATTGGGTACTATTACTAATGTAGGATATGTAGTTACCACAGCACCTGTCTTTAGTTTCACTAAATGTAGATTTGAGTCACAGTAGAACTGAGTTTGCTGTTTGTTAAGACTAAGAAAAAAGTGAAGATTCATCTCTGGTGTCAGGTTGCTCTCAGCGCCGTGACCGTGGCGAGGATTAACGTTTGTCGTTGTTGTACGCAGGAAGCAGCGGATCCAACCGAAGTGGAAAGAGAAGCACAAAAGGAGACGGAGGCAACAAGTCAGGCGGAAGTGGAAGTGAATCCGACAGCACCAGCAAGCGAAGTCGAGCCCCCAGCGAAAGAAGCCTCCCCCCTCTCCCCCCGCTCCCCCCTCCCCCTCCCTCCAAAACCTGGCCAGCTAGCGGCCATGCCGGCAGACCTCAGCGGCAGTAGACAGTCCTTCCGCATGGCCATGGGCAACCCGTGTGAATTCTTCGTGGACGTCATGTGAAACCAGACTGGACGTTTTGTATGGTAGAGAATCTTTGACAAGGACCTGGTAGTCTTTCTTACAAAAAGGCTGTGAGTCCTGATTTTTCTGTTGACAAAAGAACAAGTTTTAAAATTTTGAGAAACAATATGCACCCGCTGTAATACTTTTTTGCGACTACTTCTTCATGAAAGCCAGCAAAATGGCTGTTTTACTCCATATTCTACAATATCTTACCGTCCAGTGTGCAGTTAACCTTCTCTCTGCTGTAGTAACCTTTTGGTACCAAACTTGTACTGGAGTTTGGGTGTCTCAGCAGGTAGAAGGTTAAACAGGGTTTCTTATTCACCATTGCCAAGAAGAAAGTGCTTTGTTGTCAGCAGGGAGGTACCAAGACTTCTTAATACACAGAACTTATAGGAACAAGAATGACTGGGGAGTTGTAGACATATTCTTGATGTCAAGAATGGAGAAAGCGGAGGAGTGATTTGCCGTAGGTTCTATGCACTACTCAGTGTGCCCTACAACTTACAAGAAAAGGACTTTGCCACTAGCCTCTACCTAAACAGTGCTTGCAAGACGTCCAGTGCTTATTGTACAAAGGAAATCCTTTTTGCAAAAAAAAAATCATGTAATTAAGAGAAATTTTTGTATTGATATCTATGTAGTGGCAGTTTGTGAAGTTGAGCACTTTTGAGCTCAGAGTTAAAATGTTGTTGGGCTTGAAAGAAGTGCACAACAGCAATGTAGAGCAGTGAAGTTAGGAGCGCATTCAGCAACACCATTCACCTTTGTACCAAGAGATTAATATTTATGTAACTAGCTAGTATATCTCTCTCAAACCAGCCAATTTATTTGTTATTGATGATTTTAGGAATACAGAGGAGTTTGTATGGTTTTGTTTTAACCATGAATGCCAGCTACACACTGCTCTGTTCAGAAACTTTTGATTTTTGTAAAGTTTTGCCAATATTTGTCATGCTAAGATGTAGCACTAGACATTTTACATTTACAGAGATGCTGACAATTTAAGATCTTAACAAATTTAGTGTCAACATTTGAGCTACCAAAATATCAGTATTGGCTCCTAAGTGTGAAATGACCAGTGCTATATGTAGGGGATGATACAACTGCTTCTTCTCTGTGGCATCCTTTGGCAAAACGGCACCACCTCGATTCTGTTGTATTAACTCTTAGCATTCTACATTCACCTCGAAAAGATAAAATGCCGGTAAGTTAGAGTGCTAAGAGTTAAGGGTGGTGTTCTATCATTTCTCTCAGAGCCTTTTTGTAAGCAGGCATGCAATACCAGTAGTAAACTGTTGTAATATTGTAGAAGACAAGCCCGGTTGTTTCGGGAGTGGGTATGTTTGACGTGTACATGACGTGCCCACACTATCACTGTCGACATGTAACGGTCAGACAGTGTTTTACCAGTGGAGGATCCCCAATGTTAGTGCCAACATTTTTTTTTGTGTAACAAATGTTTCTGTCTGGTTCCTGTACATGTATATGTGGTCGACATAATTCTCTTTTGGTACCTTTGTATCTTCTCTTGCCGCCAAGAGAAAGCCACATTTGAAGCCTATGTTTATACCTGTACAGTTTGTGCCTATGATTTGTTGGTAGTGTATGGTAGCACGGCCACTGTTTCTCAACAATACATGCCTCAGCGTATGTCAGGGAGACTAGTTCTCCCAATTTACTGTATTATTGATTCCAATATGTCTTGTTTTTGTCAAGAGTTGTTTTAGCAATTGTATGTATAATGCACTTCAGATTTGCACTCATTTAGATTCTGTAACTGTTATTAGTATATTTTGACTTCATTTGTAGTATTATTTCTGGAAAGTCTCCTTTGTAGATGAAAAGTGAATGTCAGTACAAACATGTAGTTATTTCGTCAAACCCATTTTTTGCAGGACAGGCCCTCCTTCAAGGGTAGTGTTTTCTGGGTTTTTGTTTTGCCTTGCCCTCCCCATACCATTATCACAGTCTCAATGAAAAGTTGAGGTAAAGTAGTAGCACAAGTAATGAAACTGTCTTCTTAGGACATTTCGTTGCTCTAGACCTTACACAACTTTCTTACAAGACATGTAAGACTATTCTTCCTGAAGTTCAAGACATGTTCATACTTCCTTGTAGATTATGTACAGAACAACTTAACAAGCCTGTAACTTTAAAACAAATCACACATTTGTAATTGCTGTTCTTACTGCCACTTTATTTCACTCTTTGACTTCAGTGGACAAATAGTCTGCAACCTTTGTTAGAGGTAAAGCATTTGTACACCCAGCCTAGCAATGTAATGGGGGAGGGGGGGAGTGGACTCCAACCATATCTGCCTTATGCCTTTCCAATGCTGTGAGGCCTTTATTAATACAATAAAAGGAAAACTCACAGAATACTTCAGGTGTGTGGTCTTGCTTCTTCTGTGTCTACAAATGTATGTTTTTCAGCAGTGGATTTAGTAATGCTAGTTACATGTCCTATTAGTTTAGGACCTCAAGGAATATAATTATCGAAGAGATGCTTATTTGAATACAGGTTGAAAAAAAAAGAGAACTTGTAGTTTAGTTGTGCTAGATAAGCAGGAGTCAGACAATGCCTTTCCTTCTGTTCATTAAAATTAGGATTTGGTCAAATACATTGTAAGACGTTCCTAGCAGGAGAAAATTTTGCAAAAAATTGCCACCATATTGTATATCATACAAAGCAGCTTCGAAATGAGCAAACATGGCATTATTTATGTCAAAAAATGGTAACAGCAGTGTCTTAGAATACATTTTACTATCATAACGATTTTGTGTTCAGTACAACTTGGATGAAACATCTATTTGGAGCCCTAATTACTCTGAAAGAAAGGGCATCCTGCACACTGTCCAAAAACGGCGCCACCAAGCGGCGGTAGATTTCATTGCAAGAAACCATGAATCAATGAGGGGCAAAACTAATTTGGATCGCTAGGGGTCCCCACTGACTGAAGTGTGTATTAATACACTTTACAATGCGTACTAGTATTAAAGGCTTCAATAAATGACCCTAAATTTACAGTTACTGCAGTGTAAAAGACGAAATTTAAGGTAAAGTAACATCTGGTCTATTGTCTCAAATGAACTCAAATAACCGGGCACAGAAAGTAAACAGTTTATTTCATGTTTGTCCTACATGTATGTACCATGTATGTACTAGTGGCATTTCCACAACTCATACCCAACATTACGTACATATAACCTCCCCTAGAAAACTTTCATCCACAAAAATGTAGGTCTATAAACCTTACAGTAGGAAATTTTAAACTTATATTAATAACAGTCTTAAGACCAAAGACTCTATAGTAGTACTAAAGAAAAGGATGTTGTAATATCTTCTAAGGCCACACAAATTTAATTCCTTGGTTAAAGGATTTTTCAAGAAAAATAATGGAGCGGGCGGGCGAAAAAAAAACAGGCCTAGGCATCCTATTATGGCCCCAAATGGTACGATAGTAGTCAAAATTTAGACAATGAATTTTGAACTTTTAATTTAATGATACCATTGCATTGAAAGATGGAATAACTGTAACAACTAGGATTGAAAGGACTGTTTTCAACTGTTCAGGGCAAAATATGAACATTTTGCAGTTGATTCTGAATTTTTATTTTTATTTGCAAATCAGAAAAAAATTAAGCGGGCGAATCCGTTAACCAAGAAATTAAATTGGTGTGGCCTAAAGGAAAGGATGTTGTAATATCTTCTAATCTGGTGCTTTGGTTATAATGCAGCAAAATCAAAAATACAAAAAGCAATGATTGCAATGATAATGAACACGTAAAAGCAAATAATCCAGTTGCTTTAAAAACACCATCAAGAGCTCATTAACTGAAAACTGAAAAGTGTGCCTTTCTTAATTAATAATAACCACAACCTCTTAAATGAGTATATATTTTGAGTAGTACTACACAAAAGATCTCTTATGATAGCTGTCATGGGCTAACTGTGACAAGATCATGTGAGCATACTGATTATGTACATTTTGACAATGTAACGAGCCAGTGTGTTACACCAAAAGGCGGTAACCATTTATATACTGGCTATACAGATACGGATAGTTCATTGCACAAGGAGATAGTATGTTTTGCAGAGTCATCTTCAACATTTTACATCATACTACAACCTGTCTTAACAGCCTAAATTGATACTGTACAGCATTTTATGTTTGTCATGTTGCAAAGCAGCATTTGTTGCATGTTTTCTGAGATTGTGCTATGTTGGAGAATACTGTATAATGATTCAGTCTTTTACATGAAGCGGCATTATATATATCATGATAACATAGTGGGAAAAGTGAACAACCAGTCAAAAAAAAGAGTCTACTAGTGGCTAAGAAAAACAGTTCATAACACAAAACGGTTGAGACAGAAAAAAGGGAGACTACACAGATATGCTGATATCACATATACATGTATGCATCATGTAGCATGCAACTAAAATTAGATGAACAAGAGAAGAGCCAAGAACTTGATACTAAATAAAATAAAAGAATTAAATGATGAAGACAGTGAAGAATCAAGACACATTATGATAGAGAAATCTTTCAACTTTGTATCAGTCTGAATCCCTCTGAGTTGGACAATTTATATTGATTAAATACTTTATCATCTTTATACTATTGCTTATTCATCTAGACTTTTTCTCATTTTTTTTTGCTGTAATCTACAATAATCCATTTACAAGGCCCTCTATTGAATACTGCTAGAAATTTTGTTACACAACTGCACTCCCCTACACCTCTTCAAAGTATCTTGCACTCGAAAAACAACAAGGGGTTCCATAGGAACTATAAGGTGTAAAATTACATGTGAGCATCACTAAGTCCATTAAGTATTCACCGTCCTTATAACAGATCATGGAATTATGAGAAACAATACAACCCATCCCATATTAAACCCTACATACCTCAACAAAAACTTTAAAATGCCAAATAAGATGGTAGAAATTTAAACTTGCACTGCTAATTCTGATGGTCACATGGGTCTGAAACATCCTTTGAAAGTAAGGCCACACCGACTTAATTTTATTGATGACATCCGCGCGCGCGTTGATTTTCGCCTGTTCTCAAAAAAAAAAAAAAGATCACGTCCACCGAGGTTCTGGCCTGGCTCTAGGCCAGTCCATGGTAGTTAGCGACAATAGGGAGCCGGGCACCCAAGCTCCACGACTGAAGAACTCAGTACATACGTACAGTGCCGATTTATAAATTCCGAAAAAGCCTGCATGTGCCGGCTTGTCGTATACGTCGCTAAGTAATGCCACAAATTCACAATAACAGCTTTGCGGTTTAATAGCATTTTTATTTTTGGCCGTTTTTTTCGCCCGCCCGCACTAGTTTGGGTGTCTTCAGAGGATGTCATCCATAAAATTAAGTCGGTGTGGCCTAAAACAATAAACTAATAAAGACACAGAACTGAAAATTTCTTCATGAGCACCATCAACTGAAATTTCTATTGGGTAAGCAGACTTGTCCATTGGCAAGCATCTATTTAAGAGTACTATTACTAGCTTATAACATATGTACATTTACAACATTGTCTTGTCTTGAACATTTTCATGATTGTAACAATACCAACATGTACATGTAGTAACACTTACAAGCTCAATGTATATTATGTGATGAAATTTTTAAAATGATGATTAGTGCATAGCTTAATTAATATACATGTATGTTGCTTTGCTACTGCATTCTTTTTGGTTGAATGTTTTATACGTTTTTTCAAGCATGATGTTGCACTGTCCATGCCCAATAATGCTCTCAGCATTTAACGCATCTCTAATGCTTAGAATGCTTAATAACTCTATAAAATGCAACCCCTATGCAGAGAATGGTTACTACCCAATTATACCAAATATGGACTGATTTGGACTAAAAGACTTTTGATACAGGGGTGATTGGAGAAGAAGTGGCTACTGGGTGGAATGCCATCATCTCATATGTCTGTTAAGATGTTGTGAAAGTGGTTGTCTCCTCCCAAATCCCTGGTCGTTTTGAAACTCAACTTGGTTTTCTCTTTGCCTGATGTCACCGCCAGCCTGGAAAAAAAGAGACATTCCAAAATTGTACTATATGTAACGTTACTGTTCAAACAATTTCACAATTTCGCTACAGTGGAAGTTATACAGGTCTACAAACTACAGAAAACACTTAGAAGAAAACAGATCCTAACTTTTTTGCCAGACTATCATTAGTTTATTACTGTGGTTAATGAATGATTCAGATTGGCAAGGAAGATAGATGTACACAACAACCAGGGAACATCAGAGATGCCAAGGAACTAGATACATAATCCTTGGCTAAAACCACAAGAGCAGTGGCAAAATTACAATACAAAAAGCCACCAAAGTCTCCCTCCACAGACATGCACTTTATCCAGAGACTTAAAGCAATATTATGTAAGATTTTCACTATTTTGAACATCATTGTTTTAGTACTTTTTACATGTTTCCTTGCGCTACACTGAGGAAGTAAAAGATCAACGTCATTGCGCCACAAAAATGCGTTGGAAGCTGCCAAAGATAAACGAACGTAAAAAGCTGTTTGTTTACATTCTTTTTAGGAGCCTCCTAAAAATACAGCGGGCCTGGTGCAACTTATTCTCGTGCTGTGCTGATTCGCCAGAAAAGCGAAATAGTGACGCTAATATGTTGAAAGTTATTAAAAATGACAATCGAGATGAGAAAATTTCAATTACTTAAATTTACAGTTTTGGTGCAAAAATCTTACATAATATCGCTTTAAGGTTTGCAGTTTAAGAAAGCCGTGCACCTTGACCTGGCCTATCCCATCACCAGGCTCTCTATCATCATCATCATCATCATCATCCTCGTCACCATGTCCGTCACCCACACCCCCCCCTCCTCCTGATCGTTAGCCTGATCTTCGTTAGCCTGATCTTCGTTAGCCTGATCCTCGTTACCATCATCAAAGTCCTTGTCCACGTCTTGCATGCCGTGGTTCTCGTCATTTACCGGGTCCGCCATGTTATCGGCATCTGCCAGTACAGTGTGAGCACAGTGTTATTACATGTAGCATGCATTGTGAAGCAAAGGACTTAAACATTGTCAATCATTCCTGCTAAAAGGTATTACAGTCAGGGTACTGTAGGTGTGGCATGCACAGTACAGGACATACAGCTATATTTTTCTATTTCTTGTGAATCTCCCAGGAGTACGTTAGCATATTCAAATGTAATCAACATTAGCAAGACTGTCAGAAAGATCTAAAATTGAATACTAGTATATCTAAGGCTAAAGTAGCAGACAAAAATGTCAGTGTGAAATTTGGCTAAGTGTTTGAAATAGGAAGGCACATTACCCCACACTTCTGGAGCAAAAAATTTGTGGATGAAGATGAACTCCACTTTGTCGTAGATTGTAGTTTATATAGTAATGATAGAAATAGTCTTTTTAAACATATTACATTTCCATACTTCCAATCCTTGACTTATATTGAAAAATTCATCTTTCTTATGCTTATGTGCTTTGATCATCCTGTATTAAACAAACCCATTTTAAATTATATTTCTAACATCACAAAGAAAAAAGAAGAAGCAGAACCTCTGTATTTGAGTAGTTTTAGAGCTGGTGTAGTAAGATTAGTATCAGTAGTCCTGTTTGTACTACAAACATTTATATACCTTTTCATCTGTCCTGTCCTTAGCCCGGTAGGGCATGAATGTACAATAAAAGTTTAATCTGTCTATAAACTACTCTTGAAGCCAGAGTACCACTGGACCTCACTGATTTCTAAACAGCCAGGTAGTGCTATAGGACCAAAATCGAATCTGGCCAGCAGACAGTGCCCAACCGGCTGGGCTATAGTTCTAGCTGACTGAGTAGAAACCATCCAAGTCCCACAGTACTCTGGCTTCCAGGGTTAGCTACAGACTCACCTCTGTTGTGTACTGGCATGAGGTCGGGGAGCTGGACCACAGGCTGGATGTTGTTATCTGCCACCTGCCCGCCACCTGCCAACGGGTGGTCCACCTGCACCTCATGGTCAACTGCCACCTGATGATGTCAGGATAAGATTAGGCCTATCTGGTTAAAGTTACACTCACACATGTTGTATAACCATTTTTTGGTGCAAGAGTTTTTGCGAGGCTGTGACTGAAATGACTAAAGTCTATTTGCTGTTGAAGACTGTAATCATCATCATAATCATGTACATGTATAATCATCATCTTCATCATAATCATATGTAATGACGATGATGATGATGAATTACTGTCATAAAATGGATAAAAGACATTTTTTGTTTTACCACAGTCTTCTAATTTGAACATTGTACAAAGCAACAACAAGAAACAATGCATTAAGTGTTTTTATAGGCTTGACATCAGTTGTCATTTCCAAATCTCTCACAACTTGCAGTTATTTTGACAGAGTAAGCAGCAGAGATATGGAATGGATGTTCTGACCTGTGGTAAGTTCTGGTCAGGCCTCTCCACCTGCATCATCTGTTGGTCACTTTCCTGACCACCAGGCACCAGAACTTCCACCTCATGTTTCACCTGGAGACAGCAACAAACACAATTATTCCATCATACAGGAACATGTTAGTATCACACCTTTTACCTCTGTCACTTTGAGCCAACCCATGTATCATTGTTATTTCCCAAATATTTTGGGGCAGGAAATTTCAATCAGAATATGGCAATCAATGGAACTGCCTGCAAAAGGGCATTCACATACATGTACTTGATACAAAATTATATATTGAAACACTAGAGGCGAATAGAAACAGGAAAACCCAGACTCCCAGGATGCTCCCATGACCCCAGTGTGTTAACCGTTAGGCCATAAGGTCCAGGAACAGTCAGTATGTAGCACTTTAAACGCCACTGATACATGTACATTTTGACAGAAACTTGCCATCAACTAGTTTTCTACCCTCCCTACCAGTGATTGGTCTATCCCGATAGATAGGGTGCAGCCCCCTGCTGTTCTGGCTGGTCCTGGTCCATGTCCTGTCCCAGAGCAAAAGGCCCCTGCGCACTAACCGTTAGGTCCAGGACCTTAAAACCCCCCGTTACATATTGGCGGAAACTTTCCATCAACCGGTTTTTGACCCTCCCTACCAGTGGTTGGTCTATCCCGATGGGTGCGGCCCCCTGTTGTTCTGGTTCTTCCTGGTCCATGTCCTGTCCCAGGGCAAACGGCCCCTGATGTCCAGGCTGGGCATCCTGTCCACCCTGACCCTCCTCCCCGGCCTGACCCAGCGGCTGCAGACCCCGCGCCTCAAGGTCATCCTGGGGGGCGGAAATGGGACATAATCAATAGATTAGCTTTGGTAAAATTGTAAATTCGTATTGCGAGAATCATTAAGAATTAGCTCTGTTAAAATTGTATCCTAGTATAGTTTATGTATCTATCCTTGTTATTTCTTCTTTGCCATACGTTTTACCAGTCACAGTTGTTGAGCAATAAAGTTGATTTGATTTGTTTTGTTTTTTTTCATACAGAACATCCCGTCTGTAGTTCCTAAGTGTCAGAAAAGATGTTGTCTGCTTTGCTTTACTTTATCCATCCACTTCTACCATCTGGGGTGTCGTGGAAGGGACAGTTGGCGGCTGATGGCGAGTCTGGAAGCCGTTGTTAGTGTAAGGCCATGCCTGTTCAGGGTGTCCTTCACGCGCAAAAATTCTGATGCAACGCTGACCAAAAATCCAACAGAAATCATGAAAAATCAGGGTTTTGGGCAGGCGCATTACATTCTGCAGACGTGCTTTATATACCTGATCTAACACTCGGGCATCCTCATCTTTGTGCTGAGTGTCATCTTCATCCCCAGCATCCAGCGGGTGAGGCAGGTTGTCATCTGGCTGCACCTGGTTCCCTCCGGCCACCTGATGCAGCTGCAGATTCAGCTGTTTGTCTGGGTCATCCCCAAGTGGGTGTAACCTGTCCCCCCCTCCCAGCAGTTGGTCTGCTCCATCCTGCTTGTCACCTGCGAGCTGCTGACCAATGAAGTTTGATCGTCCTCGCATATTCTATGATGAAAAATATGAAAAATAAATTATCATATTAAGAAAGTCTGATGAAAAAATAGTTACAGACAAAAGTTATCACTGGACTGATAGGCCAACACTAAACACAGTTAACATTTTAATTCGAAAAATGTTTATGATAATAATTTATACACAATCATGATACACAACATTTGCTTTCTCTAAACACCCCTAGTCTTTATTTAGAGCAAAAATAGACTTGTTGCACATTGTACAGTGACACCAATGTATTGTGCACAGTGGACCAGTCAGAATTGCCCTGAGGAAGGTGACAGACGGTCACCGAAACGTCACCTGAATAAAACACTAACGAGTCTTGGTTGTACTATCATGAAAGTTTATCTGTGTTGGTAGTTACATGTTTAAAGTTAAAACTTTTGTTCCAACACAAAAAATTCTCTCACCTAGAGCTTTCGACCAGTCACTCTGGTCTTCCTCAGTAGACTGAGTCTTGGTTGTGTAAAAACATTTTGTTCAGTGACTTAACAACCCGATGAAACTATTCATCCCATAGTTTTAGTTTGTTGATGCCAAAGTAAGAGAGATGCCTAACCTGTATGCTGTCCTGGTCATCAAGGTCTTTTCCATCTCCATTTCCCACCTTTCCAACCTGCCATGCATCTGGCAAGGAATGTACAGCGTAAGTACATGTATATTATAATATATATCCGCTTCACACCTGAGGTGTTGCCAAAAAGTTATTAGAGCATACACGTTTCTGTCACCGCTGCTGTTTGCATACAAAGAGAGATTCTTTATTGACACATCAAAAAAAGTACAGAGACTTTTGTATGGTCTTCTACAACTTAACTAAAGATCTAACAAAGCTAAATTAGTAAATACATGTGTGGATAACGTCATCTTACATACAGAGTATATGTATGATGTAACAATAAAGGTTAACTATTCTCTAACATGTGTTCTCTAAGATCAAAACATTCTTTAATATATTTTCCTATTTGAACACTGTATTGGTTATCTCCCCTGAGAATGTAGTTGCATTTATCTGTACATGATCAACAGTTTGAAGCTGGAGAGTCAATAAAAAAGGTAAATGACGTATAATTATTCAATGACAGATATGAGCATCATGTAACACACTGGAAGAAAAGTGGCAAACCTTGGTGTATAATTTGATTGTCATCTTTGTCTTTCTTGTCTCCTAGTTTGTCTTTCTGGATGGCATTTTCATCTGGCAATCCCTAAAGAACAAAGGTACATTACTTGAAATGTTTGAAGTTTATTGCAGCAACAATAATGAATTATAGTACATGTAGCTGACAGTGACAAACTTTGTATTATTTATTACTTAAAAATCAAATATCTTCCATTCACTCTTTTATATAATGGGCCAAATTCAATCATTAGCAAAAGAATTTGATTCTAAAGTATGGCATGGGCATGCAACAGCACGTCAGCAGAACGTACTGCACCTGCAGCATAGCACTTTGACAGAATGTCTCATATAAGGTCATATTCTTACATATGAAGTTAACATCCTGTCTGAAGTTTCCAAATGCCATGTCGAAAAAAATATCGTCTGCAACAGGCAAAATTTTGATGCAATGTTGGCCAAAAATCCAACGAAAACCATGAAAAATGGGGGTTTTGCGCAGGCGTAGTACGTTCTGTCGATGTGCTATGGACAACTACACTGAGTAAGAAATAGCGCCTACCAAGCCGTCCCTAAACTGGTTCTGTAGCTCCTGTCGTCTTTTCTGAGCCTCCAGCAGTTGTTTGTGTGTCTCGTCCAGACCAGGGTGGAGCCCCCCTCCCACTCCCAGATCAGTGTCATCACCACCTGCACCTGGCACCTGCACAAACAACGGCTGCTGCGCACCTGGCAGGTCCACAGTCTCCTGGAACAGAACACACAAAGTTTATTGCACAACTATTCACAAGTATGGCATCTAGTAGTATATAACATGTGTTAGATGATGTGTTATGCCGAGGGACAAATACAGATAAACTTTATTGCACAACTACAAACAAGTATGGCATCTAGTAGTACATTGTATATAACATGTGTTAGATTATGTGTTATGTCGAGGGATAAATACAGATAAACTTTATTGCACAACTACAAACAAGTATGGCATCTAGTAGTATATAACATGTGTTAGATTATGTGTTATGTCGAGGGATAAATACAGATAAACTTTATTGCACAACTACAAACAAGTATGGCATCTAGTAGTAGTACATAACTACAACTCCATAGGGCTAATCTGGTCTACGTCGCTGATAATTTTGTAGAAGAGCCATATAGTGTGGGATAAACTATCATAAAGAATGAACTATGGTTAGTACAGTCACAATATCATTGGTTAGTATGAAAGAAAAAAATATTTAGTTAGTCATGAAAGACATAAAGTGGTTAGTATGAAAGATAAAAAAAATATAGTTAGTTATGTAAGACAATAAAAGTGTTAAAGTGTTAGAAACACTGTTAAACTATGAGTTTATACAATCAATGATCAAATTAGTTATCCTTTCTATTTTGATGTAACTAGCACTGCAGTAACTACAGTGTCTATACTTAAATAGAATGTACTTTTCAAAAAGCACAAATTTTCAAAAAGTCTCAGTAGAGGATCCATAACTTTTAATGGCATATTGCCCCTCGGAATTGCTTGTTCCAGGAAGAGAGTAGATGAAATGTCTGTTATTTAACACCTTGTTGAATGTAGAGGAAAGTTATGGGTTAGTGTGTTAGTTGTGTAATGTTCTGCCATCCTTACATGCAGCTCTGCTGCCACACCTACCTTCTGCAGTAGCTGCTGCCTCCGTACCGGCTGCCTTCTCATGTACGGAGCTGCTACATGCTTCTACCAGCGCAATACAAGAACGCTCTTTCAGTCCATGTCAATGTGAAACAAGCACTGCACAATTCATGAATTAGGTGTATAACACTTCAAACCTACCACACTCATATAAAGGCCAATTTTGTAAGATTGTAATTTAGAATAGTTTGAAATTGATAGCCTGGTTACCAAGTACCGAATTTGGCCCGAATTTTAGCTTTCCTTTCTGCAAAGTCAAAGACGATCAGTAGCTACAATAGGTTTAGTAACCAGGCTATGAAATCGACAATTGTTGTACTTTGTAATTGTCAAATATTGTTGTATTTTACAGTAAAGAGAGAAAAATTGAAAGTTTCAAGTGGCATAGAATGTCTGGCAAAACTTGTAACATATTTGATAAATAATTAAGTTTTGAGAAATTCCAAAACTTTTTTTGATACAAAAATGTTGCTGTAAGATTCTACAGCCAAAATCTGACAAAGAGAGCCTTTCAATGTGGTACATTATCTATATCTGATATCATCTACATTGTAGCCGTGCATTTGAAGATCACTTTCCACGTTGACTAGCTGAGTAGCTCATGCTGTTGGAATACATGCTGTTAGAGACAGCTAATACTACAACACAGCCCTGCAGACACTTGTTGTGTCATATTGATATGAGTATTAAACCAAAGTGGTTGGCATAACACTGAACTCTTGTTACCTAGATATAACACTGAAACAAGAATGAAGACAGGTGAGTTTGAAAAAAAAAAGAATTTTTACACACAAGGAAAAACATTAAATACTAAGTGTCTGCAAGGCTGTACATGAAGGAGCTGAGAAAAAAAGTATGTCATGGTCGGCAGCTGCATCACCTGCGGCACCTGCAGCTGTTGCCTTGGCAACGCCTGCACCTGTGGCTGCCACTGCTGCCGCTGCCATGCTCCAGCTGCACCTGGCACATACCGCTATCGAGGCAAACCAAAATGAAAAGAAACCCTAAGTATTAATTCTTGATTGATTTAGTGTTAAATGTGTTAAATACCTAGAGAGAGACAATTGACTCTGAACTGAACCGAGTGTAAACCAACAGCAAGAGACCATGTCTAGCAAAATATTAGACGTTAAACAAGGACAACAACAACAACATTAATTCTACTTTTAACCCTTCAAGACAGTCATGTGCCAGGGTCTAATCTAGCCAGTTGTAACACTTGAATGGTTAAACTCTTATGGTTTGATCATGGACTGTTTTCTATTTCTGGATGTCACCCTGAATACGAATAAAAATCACATAGCAACCAACCAACTCACAATCATTTTCTGTTGCCACTAAGAAACAAAGCAGGTTCACAAAAGATGTAAATAAATATGATAAGTAGAAAATCATGCATCAAATACCTTTGAATTCAAATCTGGTTGTTTTTGAGCCACCTGTGCAACATGCTGTTTCCTATTCATCAGCTGCTGATTTTGCAGGATGGGCTGTTGCTGAAGAAGGTTTTGCTGTCCACCAGCCAACTGTTTCTGCTCAATGAGCTGTCCCATCCCTGTCAGCTTCTGCTCCAGCTCTGCCTGAGCTGTCCTGTGTTTCTCCTTCATCTGTTTCTGCACCACAGCGTGATTGTCCAGCTCAGCCTGCTGCTGTTCCAGCTCAGCCTGTTGCTGTTCCAGTTGGGACTGTGCGGCTGCCACGGCTGTCCGCTGTTCACTGATCAGCTGTAGCAGCTCCTGTTTCTCCCCCTCCAAGCGCCTTTGTCCATCCTGAGGAAGACATTTTGTTTGATCAATTATTTTTTCATGCACTCAAATCAGCCTGCAAGCTGCTTTTCATTGAGGCCAAGAGGCAAGAGATTAGGGTCAGACAAAATATATCAACAAGTTAAAGTTTACATCATTTAAAGTTGCCTCTGTCCATCCTAAGTAACATATACGGTGTACACCATTGATGATTATCTATTATCTGCTCCATCCTAAGTAGGACGTGCAATAAAAGTCATAACTTAATATCTATACAAGCAATTGCCAACTAAAGATGTTACGGCCAGTGAGTGGTAGGCAAAAAGTGATGGACAGTTGTGTGAGTTGCTTACCGATAAGTTGCATATGTCTTAAAATAACTTGCATGTATACTACATGTATCTGTATCTGTATAGCCGGTATAACCGCCTTTCGGCGTAACACACCAGCTTCGCAGGCACGCGGCACGGCGGCAGCTGGCTACATTACACCGATCGACTTGTTACACCTAACCCTTGAACTTCTAGCTCTAGAGACATTGTCTAGACATGTGTAGTATCTGTATCGGTATAGCCGGTATAACTGCCCTTCAACGTAACACACCAGTATGCTAATACACAAAATAGCGATTGCTTGTATTCTTACACTAGAAATGCACAATACGCATTTGGTGTGCTTGTTTTGTGATTCAGTTTTGGAGCAGACTTTTAACAAGATCAAGTTTGGACTTTTTTTATTTTCAATAGAATGCAGCTCACACCAACCTGAGATATTGTAATCTGTTTAACAAGTTCCTCCTGGTCTCTCGTAAGCTGTGTGTTTCTTTCCTTCAAGCTCTGAATAACATCTGTGAATGGAAAATAGTAACTTAAGTTAGTTTACAATCTCAACCTAAAGCCACACCAATTTGATTTCTAGGTTAACAGATTTTTCTAGAAAAATAATGGAGAAGGTGGGCGAAAAAAAAAACAGGCCTAGGCATCCTATTATGGCCCAAAATGGTAAGAAAGGAGACATGAAGTCAACACACCAGGCTGGTTCAAAATTTAAACAATGAATTTTGAACTTTTAATGATACCATTGCATTGAAAGATGGAATAACTGTAACAACTAGGAAGAAAAGGACTGTTTTCAACTGTTCAGGGCAAAATATGAGCATTTTGCAGTTGATTCTGAATTTTTATTTTTATTTGCAAATCAGGAAAAAATGAAGCGGGTGAATCCGTTAACCAAGAAATTAAATTGGTGTGGCCTAACAATTAGTATTTCTAATGGCCTTTGTTAAAAAAAACAGAAAAAAAAACAATGCAGAACACAATCAATGGAAAAGGGAGGAATGTATGCTGATTAAAAAAAAAGTAATGCAAGGGATAAAGAAAATGATATGGATGGGACATAATCGAACCAAAGAATAGAAAGGATGAAATTTGAATAAAAAAAGTAAATAAATGATAACATCTGACTTTGAGATTTTTAAAGATACTTTTATCGTTACATGACTTCTTTCGATAAAACTTTGCAAACATTGTTCATTCTGAAGTATTGTCACCTCTGAGTCTTTGTAGATCCGTGTCCTTTTGATCTTTTAACTTCTGGTAGTTGTCCAGATGTTGGTCCACAATTTTTTTCTGTTCATCTCCAAGGCGGACATGCTGGTCTTGTAGTGAAGAATATTCTCTCTCCAAGTCCTCATGCTGATTCTGTAGATAGCAGAATGGAAAAAAAATGATACATGTATTGTAGTATTGTTGTTTCTGTTTTATTTACCCAGGGTGGCCCAACTGAGTGTACATGAACATGTGTAGGGCTCTTCTGATTCTAAAAAAACTACCTACACCAAAAAACAGTTACTCAAGCAATTTGATATGATTTTGGAAATGATCATATGTTTCAGCTTGCATCCACTATCTCTTTTTTTTGGCCTTCTACTGAGAAATTTTAAAGTGTAGATGGAATAAGCAACCATGATCAACAAGGGATCCCACCAATGACAATTCACAGACTTCGACTTATTTTAATCAACAGTTTTACTTACCCTTAACATCTTATACTGCTGGTTCAGAGAATCATATCTGTTTTCTGCTTCTTGCTGTAAGGGACATTTTAAGAAATTAAATGCACTATCATCATACTGAAACTATTTTCAAGAGAGGATTTGAAAAAAGAAAACAAAAAATCAACATTAAAGCCATTGTATTTAATCTAAAATTGACCTTTCTGAACCTGTCTTTGAAACATAAGCTACTAAATTTAGCTACAGTACAGATGCAAACATTCATCCCCTGAAAAAAATTATTATTTTATTATAAACATACTTAGGCAACCATAAACAGCTCTCAAGAAAACATACCTTTTCCTTGGCAAGAACTTGTTCTGACTCAATCTGCTTCTGCTCATAATCTGAAAATCAGAGAATAACAAACAAAATTGATTATATTTTGACTAGGTATCATCTATCCTTCTGTTTATTGAGAGACAACACATTTTGATTACTAAATACACAGGTTTAATAGTTACTATAATATATGATCAATGCAGATAAAAGAATATACATGTAATACATGACTGATAAGTTTACCCTCTTTATCTCTTTATCTCTTTTATAATGCTATAACAGTCTGAGGCAACATCCACACATATATTCTACACTAACAATTTTACACTGTGATTTGAGATAGGAAATACATTTCTAGATACAAGTTATCAATTCCCTGATATGTCTTTATTTTTGTGCAGTCAAATCATTAATATCATTATTGCATCAGCATGCTAACCATAATGTGCAACAAAGTCTCTATAAATTATATCACAGTAAACCTCTGAGGCAACATGCACATTTGGTATTAAATTTGTATTGATCACAAGATAATCAGTCTACATCAGGAAGGTTAAGGTGCTACAGGGAGGTGTAACATCCGTGTCCATAATATCACTAGGGTCCATAATATCACCACCTTGAGAAACAGTGTGCTTTAAGATATTTTTACTGCAACATACTTTTGGTATGCACTCCTGCACACCTCAAATGTACATACCTAGGGTATGTTGCAGTAAAAATATCTGTAAGGACACTTTTTCTCAAGTTGGCGATATTATGGACTATGGTGATATTAAGGACACAGATGTTACATCAGGGCCCGAAATTTTGCTATTGTCCCAGAATTGTCCCGAACATAGATTTCAATTGTCCCGAACTGAGGATAGACTGTCCCAACCTGCTTTTCAGGAAATAAGTTTATGACAACGATAAGAAAACAATAACAACTGAATTTGTACAACTTGAAGTCCACTTCATTAGTAAATGTAGGGAAATATATGATGATATCATCTTCGAGGCCCCCCTCCCGACATTTGGAATCACTGATTGGTCAAATATTAAATGTTTGTCAGAGCATTATGGGCTGCCGGCGGTCCGCTGCAGGATTAGTGGATCGCGTTCCTAAATGACGTAGATGGTCTTGGAATTTTCCCCCGACATTGTCCCGAAACGTAATCTGAATTGTCCCGAGCTGAAAATTTAGCGTCGTTTGACACTGGGACACTGTTAATTTCAAGCCCTGGTACAAGTATGCTTTGTGCAAGAACCTATGTACACTGGGTGCCCCTTGAAATCCGGGTCAGGTCTGGTATACAACCAATACTGCTGTTTACACAATGCCATTTTCTCCATAGAGACAGACACTCACTAAATACTCACGATACACAAGGTCTTAGGCAAATCACAGGTTATAGTGCAAGGAGTTAATTTCTGAAGACATTGAGTAAGGTGATTAAGAGTAATAACATTGAAACAGTCAATATAACATTTTTTTTTCAGCTATGATCCTAATTGATCAGAATGAAGCACAATTATCATGAAGTAAACAAAGTAATTCAAATCAAATCTCTTCTTTTCAGGATAGACTCTATACATTGTATATTTACAACATGCATACAGTTGTGTCAAGATTAATTTTTTGGATGCTAGCTGTGGAGAAAGAAGTCTTAATTTGCTATTTCTGAAACCCGCCACTGTTTAAACCCATAAAATACAAATGAGTTATGCGTTTATACATGGAAAACAGCACATTTGCAATACAACTAGAGTTACTAGACATTTTTTAAACTAAAGATAAATTCTCAACACTTTTGGGGACAAGCCAATAATCAAAGATTGGACTGATTATTATTTTGTCCAAAACCTTATTACCTTCTCTTGTTTTCTTGTGCTCGTTCCTTTCTTTCTGTAGAGACTTCTCTAGTCTTGACCGATGCTCATAAACAACTGGAAAGAAAGAGGTAAAAGTTATTTTATATACAAGTAAAGTAAACCGGATAGTGGGTACTAGTATGTTTGTGAGCAAATATCACACATTCACAGAGAAATTACCTGGAAAATTATAGAGGGCCTGCAAGGGGGGTCCCGACAACGCTCTACGCTGAATTCGGAAACCTCTCGATTACGCTTTACGATAAATTCCAAGTGGCTACAACGCATTACGTAGAATTAAAACGCTGAATACGCTCATTGCAAAAATATTAGAGCGGTCCGTCTATGCTCTACGTAGAATTAAAACGGCCGATTTCACTCTACGGAAAAGGGCTTGCGGACCCCCATTATACAATGACATGGCTGTCCTGAAAACCAAATTATATAAGAAGTTGAATCTTAAATACAGTTCAAGTGCTAAGGCATTTCTTATAAGCAGAATGGGGGGGGGGGTGTTTAGATGCAAGTGTCACAAGTTTAACTTATACCAGCTGTACCCCTGGTTCTGTTTAAATTTAGAACTCAACTGTGCCCTTGTTTACGTGTTATCATGTGTTTTTCTTAATTGATGATTTCTACACTCTAAAGATGTCGTTTGTCAACTTATTTGTGTTATTCGTTACCAGCTAAAGCTGTTAGACCAACATTACTGAATGAAGCATATATATGTATCCGAAAGAGATAAACAAAGTCATATAAAATACAAATTTACTTAAGTTTTCTGAAAAACAGTATGAAATGCCATTCCCTGTTGGATAGGCATTTGCAATGAGAAGAATTTATGTCTACAATGTCTAGACAATTGCATTTGCATTATAAAAGGGTTTTAAAGGCATTTGGTACTGGAACCTTCTGAAATTCAGGAGTTAGTAGATATTGGCCCCAGAGTCCAGTACAAAAAAAAATACAGTACCATGTACAGTTGGTGCACAAGAATGATATCCCTGATGTCTTTTATAACTATCAGTATCATATTTTAGTATAATACTTCAAATATATGTATTCAATCTACTATTTAGACTACAATCGTAAACAGAAACTGAGACCTTTTAAAAAATTCCTCATTTTAGACTCCTCTAGAAATAGAAATCGTGATTGTGGAAGCCCTCAGTTGGATGAGGGTTAAAAATTAAATGTCTCATCTGCACCATATAAGATAACCTTAAGACAGCTCTCTTTAACCTCACTCATTGTACATATAAATACAGGTAATACACATTAAATCAATAACGGCTATCCACCCACTACTTGAGTGTTTACCTAGCCAGAGAAGTGATTTATCCTTTCCTAAGAAGTAAGAACACAATTGCTTCTTGTGTTTTCAAGTATGCTTGAATACAATGGGCATTGAAGACTAATTTAACTACACAAACAATATTGATTATGTGGTTAAACAGAGGAGGTTAAGTGGCATTATACACTTTGTACAGGTTTCCAAGGTTTTCGTCAAGAACTGTGATGCAAATATGTTGGTGTCTGAGCTGTACTTGTAAAGTTGTGACTAGTAAGCATCAATGACTTCATATAAATGAGGTTTACCCCAATTTACCATTGATAGTTTAGATCATAGATAAATGACAGATGGACTGTACACATATTTTATCAGGTTTTGAGAAGCATGGTAAATTTAGTTGGTATGTAACAGTAGGGGGGGGGGGTTATAGGTGCTACCAACAGATCCGGCAAACGGGTCTAGACCTTTTAGCGGAGTGGTTAGAGCGTCTGACTGGGACCCAGGAGGTTGTTGGTTTGAACCGGGACCAGTGGGTTTTTACTGGCTCCTCCTGTTTCTTACAGTGGTTCCCACACCAGCCCTAGGAGTTTTGGCAAAGTCCCGCTCCAGGGATGTCGAATTCGGAAGATTCGAGGACGAATCTTGAAAAGAAAAGGGGGAGTAGTGTAACAGTTGGGGGTTTATAGGCGCTACCAACAGATCCAGCAAACGGGTCTAGACCTTTTCGGCCGAGCAGTTAGAGTGTCTGACTGGGGCCCGGGAGGTTGTGGGTTCGAACCCCAGCCCGGGACCAGTGGGGTTTTTACTGGCTCCTCCTGTTTCTTACAGGCACAAATTATGTTGTAATATCGTCATGACAGTACTGACAGCTGTGTAAACAAGAATACAGGAAATATGAAGAGAGAAGCAGCACAGAATCTATACCGACCTTGTAGCTGTGCTGACAGAGACTCCTGTTGTGACTGATATTTCTGTGACCTGTGCTCGGCGTGTTGATGTCTGATCTGTAGTTGGTTGTACTCGTACGCACCGTACCCGAACCCGACCAGCACCAGCACGAAAATCAGAGTCTGCCACTTCCCCTGGCCACGGCGGGCGCAAATCATGCTGACGTCGTCTCTCATCCAAGCGAATCTCTCAAACGTGGACCAACAACTACCGTACTTGCACAGGTAGCCGTCAGCTGGTCTAGGTAGGGGGGAGGGGGGCGTATACAGGTGCAGTGGCGATCTCTCACAGTCCTTCCTTCCGTCAAAACCCAAGCTTGTGTTTACATGATAAAATAATTCTATACAAGGCTAATACAGGGAGGAACGCTTATGAAAACGTTTACAAAGATGAAGCAAAGATTGAAGAAGCTATAGAGAAGTTATCGGGTACTTTTCGTACACCGAAACGCCGGAATTAAAGGGAAGTGAAAAAGTTCCTTTCAGAAGTCTCGCTCTACCTGCATGTCAACATGGCGACGTGTCAGCGCACTGCATGCCGGGAGGTGGTGGGGAAGTGGGCGGGGCATTCGGAGAACTTTCACTTGTGACCTTGGGGAAAGGGAAAGTTCTCCGCAAGGGGCAAGGTTGAAGATGAAATGCACATTGTCTGTGGATGACTAGATTCCTTGTAGAGCCAATTTCATAGTCAAATCTTCAATGTCGACTCTATTTTGAGCTATTTTCACCATTTCATAAAGCATATTCGTTCTTGGATAAACCAAGAACATACAGAATGTCATTGAATAAACTTTGATTTGATTTGATTCGATTTATTAGGCTGATAACACATATGTATGCAGCCAGGACTGCCCAACTAGCCGGAGGCTATTATAACGGGCTAGCCCTCATAACAATAACATAAACGGAACAGTTAACAGTGTCAGTTACAATTCAGATAGACATACTACCGGTACTACTACATAACAGATGTTGTGGCCAAGCGTTAACAAGCTAGAATATCCGGCCTGGTCGTCGTGCGTTTACTACAATTACATTTATATGTCAGGTTAATATACTATTACATAACAGATGTTGTGCACTATATTTACATTGCCAATACAATATTATTCTATTGGACTATTTACTAAGTAGTTGTCATCAAGTATTTATCAAGTATTGTCCATAATTTCTTTTTAAAGGAGCTGATGGAGCGGGTTGTTCGAGTTTCGCTAGTGAGAGTATTCCAGATAGTTATAGCTTGAATAAACTTTCACTTGGTTAAAGTACTTAAAACATCACGACTGGCAAATTTACTTATTGGTTTGTCAGGAAAAGAGCCTAAAAATCAATCATATCAGTAAAATAAATAAGATATAATTACTTTAATTTGTAATTCACATGTTACAGAAACTGAAATTAAACAGCTTAATTTGCAAATCATTCCTTGGAATAATAATGGTAGAAATAACGAAACAAGTCAATACAAACGAGGGTCTTAGTATTGACAGTATTTACACAAGATTAAATGTATACATTAAAGGAGCTATTTTACCTTGCCGACCAGTTGTAGCAGGCCTAAATTGTTACACAGTAACCTATGTATTGACAGAGCAGCATAGAAAACTTGGATTTTACTTCTTTTTTTTTTAAATTGAGAAATTTCGAGCACATTAACTATGCATATATGGGAAATCTAGTCGGGAAGCGACTTTGATTTTAATTCAGTAGCGTGTAAAGTGCCAAAATAGTACGATCATGCCATGCTTCGATGATATTACGGTGATGCGTATGTCTTACACCGCATTATTTGCAAGTTTTCAAAGTGAATTTGCCATATTATACTATCATGGTACATATTTAGGCGGACTCCTTTATCACGAGTGTTGCCACCAGGCCATGGCCACGAAGTTGACCAGCACAGCCAGACTGACCACCAGGGCGAACACCTGCAGGGGGAGAGTGGACGTGGGCTCGTCCACAGGGGGGTCTTCCAAACCTGGAGAAAAAAAAGTAATTTGTGACTCGGTGAGAAATCATAATCTCCATGCAGATCATACGGTGGCAAGGTAGTATCCATTAGCCAGAGGAGTGTCCAAAAATATAATTAGCCACCGAGAGGTCAATGAATATAATACTGTCTTGCTAATGGATACTACTTGGTCAATTTGATACTTTCTTTTGCCGCCACCGAAAGATCTGCTTGGAGATTAAGAAATCAGTCACCCTTCCTGATTGCTACGGTTCAAGTCATTTGGTGGCATACTTGCTAGAATAAGTGGGTACCGGTGTCACAATTAGCAAGACCAACAGTGAGGCACAGTACGCTATAGCTAGCGTGCCAGGTCTTAGTTCAGAGGCTAGGGACCGTCGCCTAAGGCAAGACTTGTAAGAGCCGAGGAGCTGACCTGTGTAAGGCCCTAGTAGCCTGGCATCCAGGCTATGACACGCTGCAGTGATATGATAGAAAAAAGATAGCTACATGTATATACTAAAATCCCGATGGACCGTATGTATGCGGTATGTGTATGAGCTGGCACCTAGATGAAATGATAGAAGATTTGCAGTGCACGTAAATTAAGGCGGAACTTACAAATCAGCGAACTGTTGGGTCCTGCCTCTAACTTGAGGATGGTTCCGTTACAGTCCCTGAGAAGGAGTAACTCCCAGTCCTGGAGATAGCTGGCGTTCCACATAGTCAAGTTACCGACAACAGGCTCATAATAGTACTGTGTAGGCTCTTCATGTACAGGTTGTGCTGAAACGTAGAAGGTACATATCTAGTCAGATGTTACGTCAGATGACCCCGTTCACACTAAAAAAAAAGAGATCCGGATTGAGCGTCGATTCGGATCAGAATTCATCAATCCGGATCATTTTTTGGAGTGTGAACGAACCGAATCGGTTCAATTTTCTCCGATCCGAATCAAAAGTAATCCATCCCGACGTTTGCGGCGGATAGCGGATTTTGATCGGTTACAAAACTTAAAAAGATTGTGGTATGATTTAACACAATATGAAAACCATATGATATCGGTACTTCTATGACTCATATAGAATCGTTAGTATATATATAGCTAGCTGCCGCGGCCGCGCCGAGTGCCTGCTAAGCTGGTGTGTTATGCGGAATGGCGGTTATACCGGCTATCAGGGAACGCCCACACGTCGTTCATACAAGTTTGTGAGTTTAGAAGAGATGCCTTTTCGTTCAAAAATATGTAAAACTCATAGCGATATGACATTATTCCAACCAGTTCCTACCTGTTTCTGTAATTTCCAAAGTTCTGTTGACTTTTGAGTCGGTACTGTTGGACATCGTGAAATCGTTGTCACCATCGTTTGAATTGGCGACATTGTTCAAGGAAACGTTGTCAGTAACGACAGTATTTTGACCAGTGACTGTGGTGGTCAGAAATGTTTTAATTTCACTTCTGCTTTCTTTCGGTGGTGTTAGAACCGGGACGTCATCATCAAGGTCAACGTCGATGCTTAGAACGTCAAGGTCATCTACACTGGGTTCAATGACCTGGCAGAGGTCACCGCTGAAGCCGTGTGGACAGGAACAGGTGAAACTCGCCACCGCGTCACGACAGGTCCCGCCGTTATGGCAGGGTTGGGACAGGCATTCATCTGTCTCTGGGAAATACAGGCAGTATAGGCATTACCTACATTAGAGGCAAACTGTAGTCTGAACGCTGATGTTGTGGCGAGCAATCGCGACCCCAATTGTATATACAATGTACATGGCACACGTGGGAAAAATCACGTGTCCACAGCATTTGGGTCAGATAGCTGAGGAAGACTGAGTGATTTAGTCGAAAATTCCGATGAGTCAAAATTTGAGTTGGAGAACAGTTAAAATTTTTCATAATGTTATCTACCAACTCAGATGAACTTTCATGCTGATGTCAAAATCTAGATGTTTCCTAAAACTTCATCACTTCTTTTAACTAGCAATTTGACTAGCCACCTTTGCAGGCCTTCGGATGGGTGAAGGTTTTTGGACTTTTGGTACATGTGTTTTGTAGCTACGGATACAAACCCTTCTCTGGGCGGCTGGTTGTAGGATGGCCGGCAAAAGAACGCGTTAAAAATTCTACAAACGCAGTATCAAAACTCCCACCCGCCCGGGAGCCTGCACAGGAGCTAGCCATTTGGAACAATAAACATGGCTATGAGGTGAAAGTACCTTCCTCGCATCTCTCTCCCTCGTACCCGTCTGTACAGTCACAGAAGTATCTGTTTACTCCGTCGGTACACGTGCCATCGTTCAGACATGGGGTAGACTCGCACTCATCAATGTTTTCTGTGAGCAGAAAAGAAAAGAAAACAAAAGAAAAGAAAAACCAGTATAATTAGTACAGAAATAAATAGCAAAGTTCTTTGGTCACAACCATTTATTTTTCACGAGCCGACGTTTCAATTCTGACTGGTTTACTGTGCACTGACGCTAGATGTTACTTAAGTGCACTGTGAACTATGTAACACCTTTAGTGTACTATGCACCAAGTAACATCTAGCGTCAGTGCACAGTAAACCAGTCAGAATTGCCCTGATGAAGATGACAGACGGTCATCGAAACGTCGGCTCGTGAAAAATATATGGTTGTGACCAAAGAACTTTGCCATTCATTCGTTTACCAACCTGATGAAATTATTTACGGATTACTAAAGATAGTTACTTTGTTTCTCCTATGTTTAAGTACTACCAACCATCATCTTTCGAGATGGGAGGACATCGTACGAGTACCGCGTACGTGAAAGCAGGCCTCAAAATTAACTTTTCTTCCTATTGTCCCAGCACTGTCCCAAAAATAGATTTCAATTGTCATGAAGTGAGGATGAACTGTCCCAACCTGTATTGTATGACGTCAACTTGAAGTCAACTTTATTTTGCTTTTGTTCACTCCTATAATTGCAGAGTAGACAGGAAATTCGGGGGGACTTTTTTTTTAAATCCAAAAGCCAGGACATGTGCCTGATAAACAAAAGAAGGGCTAACATTCTGATGTTGATTATTTTTCTATTGTCCCAAAAAATGCCCCAACGTGTCGTTTTAGTTCTGCCAGTCTAAACTTTAGTGGTCAGTGGCCATTTTTATTTTCGAGCTCTGGGAAGGTAATAAGAAGCTTAAGACGGGTAAGAGAAAAAGACAGTGCACGTGTACCGAGACATGTTGGCCCAGTGAAACCCGTAGAACAGACACAGGTGAAATTGTTGACGCCATCCTCACAGGTACCTCCGTTTGCGCATGCGTCTAGGTAGCAATCATCGATGTCTGAAACAATAAAAACACATTTTAAAGAAAGTTTTCTGAAGAATCAGCCATAAATGCTACACGCTTATGCCGTAAATTGATACAAATTCTATAAGAAGACAACTCAATGGGATAAAAGTCTAGCTTGTAGCGTTTAACAATAAGTTATAACTAGCCGGGTTGTAGAATTCACTTAATTACCTTCGCCAAGAAGGTTATGTTCTCAATAGCGTTTGTGTCTGAGTATGCGGGTATGTACGATGTATAGGACGATAACTCCAGAAGCTTTAGATGGATTGTCATGAAACTTTGTAGGTAGATAGATGTTTATGAGACCTAGAAATGATAAGATTTTGGGGCCCCTGGCGGCTTTTCTATGTGCTGCAGCAGAACTTCCGGTTTTGATATCTCAGCGCAAAAAAATGATAATGGGTGAGCCATAAATTTTACTTACTTGCTGTTATTGATTGCATAGATTTTGAGGGTATTGTATGCCATAAATTTTACTTACTTATTTCACAGTCTGTCCCGTTGAACCCTGGCAGACATGCGCAGCTGTAGGAGGCCAGACCGTCTGTACAGTTTCCACCATTCAGACACGGGTCCGAGGCACACTCATCTATTTCTGTAGGTTTGCAATACACTATTTAGTCTAATTCGTAGAATACGTGAGTGTGATATCTCATGCCCGTAGCCAGGATTTTGAATGGGGGGGGTTCTTCCCACTGCTTGAGGGGACCTCGAGCGCCATAGGCGCGAGGTTCCTAGGGGGGTCTGGGGGCATGCTCTCCCGGAAAATTTTGAAAAATGAACCTTCTAAAATGGCATTTCGTGCATTTTTGAGAGGCTTTCCAAGAAAAAATCAGAGATAAATTTTTATTCAATGACAAAGGGAAGAAAAACTTGAGTGTGTCGTCACCACGTCTTGTGATTACATGTTTCGGAATAAAAAAAAGGGAGGAGTTTTTCTACGATTCCCGTCCATCTTTTCAAGAAAAATCTTGGACCTTTACATAAAAAGTGTCCAGGACCAAAAAGTGGACCTTTACATAAAAAGTGGACCAAAAAGTGGACCTTTGAGCCTTGTGAGGGGTTCAACCCCCTGGCTACGGGCATGTATCTATCAAAGAAAGGACAAATGAAGGTAAGCAATGAATCCATATAGTCGAAAAAAATGAAATTTGAAAAGGTTGGTCATACAAATTGAAAAGACGGACAGAAGCGAAGTCTACCTTCCTCACATCTCTCCCCTCCGTACCCGTCTGTACAGTTGCAGAAGAACATGTGAACTCCGTCTGAACACGTGCCGTTGTTTAGACAGGGAGAAGACGCGCAGTCGTCCGGGTTTTCTATATAAGATAAACGGTAAGCAGAACCACACAATAGGTACGGTGTAACACATGCAATATCAATACAACAAGTATAACATAACAAGTTGTGGAGTCGTGTGGCGTAACGACAGAACTTTCAGCTCGGAACCAACAGATCCCGAGGTCGAATCCTGCAATGTCACCGATCTTGTGCCCTTTGGAAAGGCACACTTTACTCAGGTGAAAATGAGTGTGTTTCTTCACTTTATTCAGGTAAAAATATCGTTCGCGTTTGTCTGCGTTGGTGGCGGCATGAAAATAAGTTGAAAAAAACTGAGTGTATAGTCGTAGTGTTTTGTAATAAATGTTGAAATAGCAAAAATACAAGTACTTGTCATTTCTCACGTCTCATTTCTTGCAGCCAATCGTAAGATTGTCGTCCAGTCCAATATGACAACAGGATCATTAGAGTTAACTGACGCAAAAGAAATACACTACACATAGCTACGTTTCCTTGCCTCTAAAATTGTGTCTTTTTATTTATTTCTTTCTAGACATGATAATGTTAATGTTGTGTACGCACTGAAGTACGATATCATAGTGAATAGATCTAAAGAAGGAAGACAACCATCACCTGTACACGTTGGCCCGGTGAATCCTGGGAAACAGAAGCAGGTAAAACCGTTGATGCCGTCCTCACAGATCCCTCCGTTTGCGCATGCGTCCTGGTGGCACTCGTCTATGTCTTAAATCATAGGAAAAGAAGAGTCTACTAAATGAACAATAAATAATTCGTGGACCTTGCAAGTGTTTACAATGGGAACATATAGTGAAGTAAAAAAAGAAATAAACTAGAGAAGCAACATTTGCAAAGCAAATGCATAATGTTTACCTTCGGACATGGTCTGCCCTGTTCATTTTTACTCAAACACATTCACATAATTACATGTACTACTAGTATATGGTGACAGGAGTAGAGCAGATCATGAAATTGCAACATTATGTAACCCAAAACTAGCCTGGGTACCATCCGGATTTTCGCTACGCATCGCTCGAAAAGATTTTTTCGAGCGATGCGTAGCGAAAATCCGGATGGTACCCAGGCTGTGATTTTTTCGAGCGATGCGTAGCGAAAATCCGGATGGTACCCAGGCTATCCCAAAACCAGTCACTATGGTGACAGACGTCAACAAATCATGTCATTGGTCAGGTCAGGGGTTAGTGTTTAAAACAGAAGAGGAGGAAGAAACTGAGTAAAAACAATATGTTTCCCTTCGGTAAACATAAAGATGCCCGAGGGACGGTCTAGGAAGAATCGTTGTTGTACTTAGAAAAAAGATGGAAAGGCTTGAATAGGTCATACAGATGAAGTAGATGTAACAAGAAATACTTACTTATTTCACAGTCAGTCCCGTTGAACCCCGGCAGACACGCACAGCTGTAGGAGGCCAGACCGTCTGTGCAGTTTCCACCATTCAGACACGGGTCCGAGGCACACTCGTCTATTTCTGAAGTAAAAACAAGTACACAAGTTATGTATCATTCACGGTCCTGTAGCGACCCCTAGTGATCACTGAATAAAATGCAGATATTTCAAGATGCTGGACGAGTGACATTGATCTTGATTGGCTAAGATATTGGCTAAATATTGCTAACATGATTGGTCAAAGTTTTTGTACGTTGGCTAAGTAAACTCTGATGGACAGGTCAATGATTTACGGTTGGTGTGCAGTTACTACGCCTCCATTGGTGGATTTATGTCTCGTTCAACCAATGGCCTTCTTCAAAATGATCATTAATTGGCCAATCACAGGTAAGAAGAAAATGTCTTCCCACCATGCCAAACTGTTGAGAAATAATTACACTACACTACAATCTGTATGCTGTCAGATGAATATACTTGAACGTTATAACGTATATTTACCTATAGAACAGGTAAGACCCATGTATCCCTCCGTACAGAGGCACATGAACGACTGAGGAGTGGTAACACACGTCCCGCCATTCCTGCAAGGATCGGAGTCACAAAAGTCCCTGTCTGGAAAAAGAGAATACGTACATTTCTGACACAAAACTCTTGAGATTTGGCATGTTTTCAACAAGTTCAAATAATACAGTTCCATTACGTGAAAGACTTTCAAACATTTCAAGCCGACGTTGTGTGCCTTTTTTTATTACATTTTCTTGATCCAAGGGTGGTCCATGAAAGAGAAAACTCCCGTAACGTTGCTCCCAAAGGTTGCATACCTTCCTCACAGTTGACTCCAGTGTACTGCTCGGGACACACGCACACATAGGACCCCACCTCGTCATAACACACCCCACCGTTCTGACATGGAGTCGACTCGCATTCGTCAAGTTCTGAAAACAAAGGTAGCAAGCGGTAGCGTTCAAATAAGTCTTAGATACTTAAATGCGCTACCCATTTGTGTTGTATTTGGATTTACTGTGTGACTGTGAACAATAAAAAAAGATAATGTTGAATGGAGAAATTAGATCTACGAAACTGTGTGATATGCTAATAATCGGGCACAAAAACTGGAGAACAACGCCCGCTCCACATACATGGCGTCTCCCCGCACGTCCAGCTTGGGGAACCCACATTTCAGCACCAAGGACATAGCCCGGCGGCGGACACTCATGTAAGGCCACACCGCCTTAATATGGATGACATCCGCGCGCGCATTGATTTTCGCCTGTTCTCAAAAAAAAAGAAAAAAAAAGAAAAAAAAAGATCACGTCCACTGAGGCTCTGACCTGGCTCTAGGCCTGGGTAGTCCATGGTAATTAGCGACAATACGGAGCCGGGCAACCAGGCTACCAAAGCTCCACGACTCAATAACTCATACGTACAGTGCCGATTCATAAATTCCGCAAAAGGCCAGCATGTACCGGCATGTCGTATACGTCGCTAAGTACTGTCGCAAATTCACAATACCAGCTTTGTATTCCCGTGGTTTAGTAGCAGTTTTATGTTTGGCCGGAATTTTTTTTATTCGCCCGCGCGCACTAGTTTGGGGGTCTTCAGAGGATGTCATCCATAAAATTAAGACGGTGTGACCTAGGCAGGGCGCCCGGCCTTATGTTCATAGAGACTTGTGCTAGTGGCTTTACATTTTTCATGGCTTTGTAAAGCATTGAAAAAACTATATTTGCGTAAGTTTTGTGACAAATGATACATAGCAACTGATGAATTTTGGACCAGATCTAAGTGAAATGTACTTTCTACTGTTCCCAGACAAAGTTAGACTTAGAGTGTAAACGGAGATGTTATACCTTGCTGACACTGTTGTCCTGTATAGCCTGGCTCACAGTCACAGGTGAAGCCGCCGGATGCAGGGTTGGGGGAACATGTACCTCCATTCCGACACGGATTTGGGATGCAGACTTCACGGAATGATGTCAACTCTAGTGCAAAATGAAAAGAAAATGAATCTGTTAATATCATATAATGCAAAGAGGAACACTTGGAAAGAAGTATGGGACAATTGCAAAACATGTACCTGCTGCAGCTAACGTCCCTTGCCTTTTATTTATGCCTAGTCTCATGTGCAGACGGTCTAGCGGGGCAGCGTTTCTTTCTATAGGAGCGGCTAGAGCAGGGGTATCTTTTCGGGGGAGGGCCTTGTTCAGCGAAGTGCTCTATCCGGCCATCGCACTCTATGGCCCAAGGGCACAAGATCGGTGACATGGGTAGGATTCGAACTCGAGACCTCTTGGCGCTGAGCCGAATACGCGACCCCACTTTGCATACGTGTTGTATGTTGAGCCTCACGTACCTTCCTGACAGTTGGGTCCGGTCCAGCCGACGGCACAGCCGTCCCGACATTCCCCGGTGTAACGGTCGCACGCCCCCGGACCAATACTGGAGCAGTGGCAGGTGGACTGGCATCCCGCGCCAAATGTACCCGGACTGCAATCTACAACATCAGTGAGGTTCTTTTAAATATTGACACAACAAAAAAGTACAGAGACTTTTGTATGGTCTTCTACAACTTAACTAAAGATCTAACAAAGCTAAATACATGTGTGGATAACGTCATCTTACGTACAGCGTATATGTATGATGTAACAATAAAGGTTAACCATTCTCTAACATGTGTTCTCTATAAGATCGAAACATTCTTTAGTGTATTTTCCTATTTGAACACTGTATTGGTTATCTCCCCTGAGAATGTAGTTGAATTTATCTATAGGATCTAACGTATTGAAATCAATTGAACAAGCGGAAAGAAAGGTGAACAGCAATAGGCGCTTATCATTGTATAGTGTACAATCCATTATAAAATGGTGCTCATTTTCAATCATGTATCAGTAGAGATGCGAAAGCTATTAACCTGTCACGCAGTAGCCTGGTGTCCAGTCTATTTGGGCCGCAAAACCCCCACTGCACCGGGCGGACGGGACTAAAGCCCCCAAGAGAGCCCGTACCAATCACGATAGACTGGATACCAGGCTAGTTACGAAGGAAACTTTAACCTTTTTTGTTTGTTTGTTTGTTTGTTTGTTTGTTTGTTTAGATCTCCATTAGTATGGAATTCAACTCCATACTATTCTTCCTGGAGTCCACGAAATACAATGAAATAACAATAATAATGATAATAATAATTGCTTTTAGCAATGATAATAAATAAAACATACAAATCATACTGAAATTATAACAACTTGAAACAGAATCAATCATAGATAAAAAAATGAATTGGAGATCAGAGGTCAAACAATAGAAATAATATGTTTAAAATGAAAGTAAATGAAAGTAATAATTCATGTACTTTCCAATAAATACAAAATTGAAGTACCAAAACAGTAAACAAATATTTGAACTGACATAAATAAAACCTTATGTGAATGTTTTATGAAAATAGCTATCTTTTTCTTTATCGTCTACCCAATACCGCATCCTCCCATATCCCAAGGGTCGCTAGGATAGTTTTCCTGGTCTCTTAGAGCAACACCCGCTCTCTACGGCGTCTCCCCGCGGCCGCACGTCCAGATTGAGGAACCCCCATTTCCCTGTCCGCCGCCGGGCGATGTCCTTGGTGCTGAAATGGGGGTTCCCAAGCTGAACGCGCGGGGAGACGCCGTAGAGAGCGGGTGTTGTTCTAAGAGACCAGAAAAACTATCCTGTCGTCTACCCAAAACCGCATCCTCCCATATCCCAAGGGTCGCTAGGATAGTTTTTCCGGTCCCTTACCTCTCTGACAGAGTAGCCCGGTGAATCCCGGGCCGCAGGAACAGCCGTACGGCTCGGGCAGACAGAACAGGTGTCCCGAGCAGCCCGCTGGGTCGTCCCGCTCTGTCTCGTCACAGCGGAAGCTGCAGTCCCGACCAAACCTGTTCCCTCCACACGCTGGTTGGAACAGTCACAACAAGTTTACAAAAGTATATCGAAACATAAAAGAGGGCGTGTATGAAGCACATGCTAAAGAGCGGAAACAGTAAAAATCTTGACTCCTTTACTAGGTCAGGTGAATGATTTAATAGAAAAGTTCTTTATTCATATGCATAACCGTTTGATTAACAAGAGCCGACGTTTTGATGACCGTCTGTCATTCTGCATACGAGTATATCTTCATCAGGGCAATTATGACAGTAACTCCTAGCTTCAGTGCACGTGTACAGTGCATCAGTATTATATAGCTTTAGTGCACAGTGAACCAGTAACACCTAGTTTCAGTGCACAATTACTCTCCAAGCAGAGGTTGATGGTGGAAGATCGTTTGTTTTTTATATATGGCCCTTTATGTCGCTACCACCACCGAAATGGTTACAGACTGGCCAATTTGATACTGTCTTACCCCCACCAAAATTTCTGCTTGGAGATTGTGCACAATGAAACCTTTCAGAATTGCCCCGATGAAGTCATCTTCGTGAGAAGTTTGCTGTGTATTTTTTTGCCGTTGCTTGTATAAATGATGGAATGAGAAAGCATATATAGTTGTACATACGTGTCCGGCAGGTTGTCCCCATGAAGCCGGGTGCGCACACACACTCCCCCGTGTCCACCTGACACTGCCCACCGTTCAGACAGACCGGACACGGCAGGTCACACTCCTCTCCCCACAGACCCTCAGGACACGCTGGACAGTGACAACGATGGTCAGTCTGTCTCCAGGGCAGTTTGTCTCCAAGCAGCTCTTTGTATTATCTTATTATTAATTAGTGGTTTTATGATGTTATTCATTTCTAGATCTGTTAAGGCCACAACAACTAAATTTTATGGATGACGTGCGCGCGCATTGATTTTGTCCTGTTCCTAGAAACTAACCCAAGAAATTCCGCTTCCTGTAATGACCAAAGAGTCACGACAGTGCCGCAAATCGTTAAATTAACGTAAAGAGCACATGCTTTGTTTCTGCAGGCCTGCAAAAATGTGAAAGAAACAGGACAGGACGACAAATGCTGTTCCACCTGATTTATTGCTGTTTTGATGTTGACTAAAAGACTTCTTGCTTGTTAGTCTGTGTCACCTCATTCAATTTGTGTCCTAACATTTGTCGTCTCTTAGGCCGTGTCTATACGGAACCACCCAAGGCGCGATTCGGGTAACTCACATTCCTCACATCTGGTCCACGTGCCACACACACCTGTGAAACCGTGTCCGAACATAATGCTCTTGCGCTACATTTATTGCTGTTTGATGATAACACGCAAGGTAGCGTGTTATTAATGTCAGATGTCAACGACATGATTGCCGATGCCCCCCTCCCAGCCTATCTCGGCCGAATGCCGACGTGGTCCCGCCAGAGGCGGTGAAGCTCGCCCTAGAACGGACACATTATTTGACCATTACTGCTCTGTAAGTTGCTGCCACGTAAAAGTTGGTATTGCATATAAAAAAAGAAATATCACTCCGTAATCCATGACCAGGCGAAGTCACATTGAAATCACATTGCGTTCAGACGCAAATCGCGATGCGGGGAAACCGATTCGAAACCACCTCTAGAAGTGGCTCCAGACGAAGGCGCTTTCAATGTGATTTCGGACCGTTCAGACGGAGCCACTTGAAACCGGCTTCGGGGTAAACCACATGTAAACCGCCTTGGGTGGTTCCGTATAGACAGGGTCTTAGTATATTTCTAATGTAGGCATCTTGTTTTTTAGGGCCCTTGTTTTTTTTCGCCCTCTCGCATTAGATATAGGGTCTCCAAAGGACGTCATCCATAAAATTTACTTGGTTTGGGAATGTTATAGCTGATTCATTCATTGTTGTGATAGGTTTTTGTTATGTATTTTACCGCTAATGACACAGATATATGTAAGATTTTATGCTAACTTTATATTTTTGTAAGAATGGGCGCATGTCGTAAATACTCGACATATTTCATGCAGTTCACCTGACATGCCGGTCGATATTCAATAAATCTGAATCTGATATGTTTTTAAGCGCTAAATTGCAACAAAATGGACATAAGCAACAACATAAGCAACAACATAAACCAAATTGCAACAAAATGGACATAAAAAATCTGTCATTTACATGTAACTTTTGTTGAAAGTATCCTGATACAATACACATCTGGTCTGCGATTCTCTGACACTCGGAACAAATACTTTGACACACAAACCTCTGATGATGAGCAGAGAAATAGCGTGGCGTTTCTCACTAAAGTCGCTAGGGTAGGAGCACTCGTACACCCCCGGCTGGAAGCGTGGGTCCAGGGACGTCAGCTCCAGAGTGAACTGATTCGGACCGAACAGCGGGAAGCCGTTTCTCCGCCACCGGACATCAGTCTGTCGGAGTAGGCCATATAACAACATTAACGTTCCGGCTATTCTATAGGTCTACAACATGTACCAGACTCTTTTGCAGGCTGAACAAGAGTTCAACGATCTCATACCTTCGCCAAATGATGTTAACCCTTGCGGGTGACGAATTATAAATTTTAATCATTGATTTTGTAAATAAGAGCCTCATTTGCATGGATTATATCAGTTGATCATATTCTCCATCCAATGACAGCCTTAACAAATGACAGCCATAACAAAAAGGCTAATAAAGCACTTCCTCATAAATTATGCAAATGAGGTCATGATTTGAATAAATTATGTTTATTGATGTTCACCTTCACTTAACTTCCAAATGTGGCAAGTATGAAATTCGGGGTGCAGCAGTTACAACTATGGAATTATAAGAATTTGCCATTAATTATTATTATAATTAGGTCCTCATTTACATAGTCTATATCCTCAGATGTTTTTCTCGTTCTCAAGTAGATGTCACAAGTGTTTCATAGTTCTATTATCGAACAAAGCAGATTTATAGAATTTCCTCATTAATTATGCAAATTAGCTCCTGATTTGCATAATTGTCATCTGATTATGTCAAGCATCACTTCAACTGCCTACATACCAAAAATCACAACAATACGTCAACCGGTTGTTGAGTTATCGTCCTAGAAATTTTTTTCAACAAATGCTCCTGCAGTTTCAGAACAAGGCGCTAGAGGACCCAAACTCATGTAATGTCTTCCCGGCCCCAAGAGCTATCTACCAACCAAAATTCGTGACCCTAGCATGTCCAGAACAGGAGATATCAAAACCGGAAGTTCAGCTGCAGTACCTAGGAAAGCCACCAGGGGGCCCAAAATCTAATCATTTCTAGGTCTCATAAAGACCTACCCACCTACCAAGTTTCATTCCAATCCATCTACTGCTTCTCGAGTTATCTTGCTAAACCACACACACACAAACACACACACACACACACACAGACAAACGCTACTGAAAACATAACCTTCTTGGCGAAGGTAATAAATGGTAGAAATCGGCCTAAAAAGAATATAGCTGGCCAGGGGGCACAGTTTGCCTGCATTTTCTATTTATTCAGCCCGCAAAAGAGTCTGGTGGAGAGTAGCTATTCTATGTGTTACAGTGGCAAAATCGTAACATCTTACGTTCTGGCTACTAAGTAGACTAGTAGGACTTAGGACGATTAGATGAATGGTTGTACTGCAGTCCGGAATTTATTTTATTTTCGGTGGGGAAAATACCAACAGCAGAGAAATAAACTTTTATTACCTGTTGCGTTTCTCCCGCAGGTTGTGTATACAATGTGACGGAGTCTCCCTTGTTCGCCGTTACTGTAAAGTACTTCGGGTAGATGTCGGCTATGTTTGAAAAATGAAAAACAAGAGTCCCGAGATCTCATACCTCCATGAAATATGGGCTTGCTTTGTCATACTTCATTTCAACATGTCCTCATTAATTATGCAATTGACATCTACATCAACATAATATATGCATAGTGGTGTTAACCTTTACGTAACTTACACATGTCACGAGGTATAAAATTCCCATCATTCACCAATAAGATGAATCACAGAATTTTCACATTGATTTTGCAAATTAGGTCATCATTAGCATAATTGGTATCTGTTGTTGTTCCTCCTGCCAGAGATTAAATAAATTACATGTATAAAAGAACTATTATATAAAACACTGTAATTATAGAATTTCCTCCTTAATTATGCAAATTAAGTCCTCATTTGCATAATTTGCATTTTATTATGTACAACTCTCTCTCAGCTACCTACACACCAAATATGATGAAAATACGTTGTTCCTATCTGAACTTATTGGCTTTTAAAGATTTCGCCAGAAAGCAAGCATGTTACTAAACATACAGTACCATGTTCAAAGCAGTATTACGTTTGGGTAAAACGATTGACATCGTAAACACGAAAATCCAAGCAATGACAGTACCACTAACATTGGTTTTGATATATGAATTATTTGAGACAACTCACCATCAGCTGACATTCCGATGGTGATGACTTTGACCTTCTCGCCGTCTGGGAAGGTCACTGTGCTTGAGAAGACGCCGACCCTGTCGATACCACCTGAAAGTTAGGAAAGGAGTTATCTTGCAGACTATAAAGACAGGTTTTGAAAGAAACCGCATTGCACCACCCGTAAGCGTTCTTGCATAATTGTAAATGACTTAAAGGGGCATTGTGTAACATCTTACATCTTCGTGTGATTGCCATATAGGTCCACTTTTCAACATGTTTGTGCAATATTAATTATCTCACATTTCTGACACTTCTTGATGGTGGGGAAATCAGCCCACCAGAGGCGTACACAGTTTATGGTACCACCATAAACTACCAGAATGTAAACAAACATGTCTGACAGCTGCGTTTTCAGCTTTTAAACACATTGTTAAGCTTCATATTTTGGCACCTGTACTTCATGACCGGCATTTATTTTGGGTTTTTTTTTCAGGGTTCACTTCACTTAACTTACTTTGTAAAGAAATGACAAGAAAATTCACTTTCAGTATCGCCATAATGTTACATAATCCAGCTTTTTATCCACCATGAACATATCACGCGCGTGGTTATGAAGATAGCGTAAGAACAAAGACAACACCTTCCGGAAAGAATGTCACCATACGTCCTGGCCATGACGCGTCGTCGATGGCTGCTATACTGCTACGCGCCGCTGGGAGGCGCCAGTTCCGCTCGGCATTGAACTCCACTCCGCTGAAGTCTCCCCCAACCACACATTTGAGAGACGTGTTTTGGCCAGTAGATGCAGACGGCACAAACTGGTACTCAGTGACCAGTGTGACATCCGGAACAGCTTCTGTAGTTTCTGAACGAATTGAAATGAAATACAACTTATTTTGCATCATATATCTTAGAAAAATCATAATCGTATCTTTGATATTGTGTTCAACTATATTCATCACTCTGGAAGATTTCACCAATCGCATTAATGCTATGCTATAGGTATTGGTGCGCCAGCCACTTTCATTTCATGTTTATGTTATATTTCATGTCATCTTTATGTTTACATTTGTATTATGTTTTATGAGCAGCGGATTCACATAAGCACAACAAGTCTTCCTTAATGCTAATGCTCAAAAATCCATGTGAATAAGATAAAGAAATTAAATAAAAATCATAATTTTAGTACCCGATACACATTAAGAGCCATGTTCGTTACTTTTCTAGCTAGCAGAGGTACGTAACACGGTTCGATGTTCATTTGTTTTGTACATGAAAAACTTTAAAGTAGGCAATTTCGTCTGCATCCTTAAAGCTTTTGAAAAACGAGAAAAAATACATCTGATGTACATCATCATTTGCCAATTTTGTAGCTCAAACAAAGTAGAAGATGAAGTCCACTTTGTTATTGATTGTAGTTTATATAGTAATGATAGAAATTATCTTTTTAGATATATTACAAGTACGTTTCCATACTTCCAATTTTGAAAAATTCATCTTTCTTATGCGCTTTGATCATCCTGTATTAAACAAACCCATTTCAAATTATATCTTTAACATTACAAAGAAACGAGAAGAAGCCGAACCTCTGTATTAGAGTAGTTTGATAGCTGTTTGTACTACAAACATGTATATTACCCATTTCATCTGTTCGCCTGTACTTAGCCCGGTAGGGCATGAATGTACAATAAAGGTTATTATTATTATTATTAAACGGTGGTTAAATGTGTGGACCTCTCACAAAGAAGAAAATGACTCTAATTCAAGTCGAAACAGAATGTTTTGCACTTGAAAACGATGCTTGATTAACAGACTTACCTATACTAAGGAGCCAAAATAACACGGATATCCACAGAGAAACCTGCACCATCGTTCATTTTGTTACTTGTGTCCATCCGGCGTCTGTAGATGTTGAACTTTCACGGATACAGTGTAACTACGTGCGTGAAGAGGGTGAGAGAGGCACTCTACGTCTAATGCTGTGTGCGTCCTTCAGACAAAAACAGTGCGTGTTCTATTCATCGCGTTTTCCACTTATGGCGAGAAGAGGTGCGATTTGGGTCAGTGAACGCTCAAATAGTTGTGACTGTTCACTAGCGCCAGCTAGCGATATTTGTCAAAACTTGACGTTACATTCAATGAAATTTTTAACCTCGTATTTCAATACTGAAGTTTAAACAGTGTAACACTTTACGTCGGTGAAGGTTAGACATCCAGGTAATGAGATACACAAGGAAATTGGAGATACTCAAGAGATACGTATACTCAAGCAACTGGATAGGTTTTGAAAACTGTCAGACGTTTCAAGTAGCCTCCACTACTTTTCGTCAGTGACTAACGAAATCTGTGGTTGAACAGGTGTAACACTTTCAAGCTTAAGATTGTCTCATAGCACCGATATCTATAGCCCGAAAAAGAAAACAGAGCAGAGGAACGATGGTAGTGCCTAGTCTCCACCAGACTTCTTTTGGCAGTTTTGCGGGCTGAATAAATGGTAGAAATCGGCCTGAAAAGGGTATTAATTGGCAAGAGAAGGTAGCCGGCCGCGAGCAAATGAAGCTTCTCTGGCCGGCTACCTTCTCTTGCTAATTAATACCCCTTTTAGGCCGATTTCTACGATTTATTCAGCCCACAAAAGAAGTCTGGTGGAGACTACCAACCAATAGGCAGTGAGTTTTCAATGACGGGAGACGTGTATAGTAAACAGGTCGGACTGGGGTGTAAAGTAACACGCTAAGCCCTGAGGGCAAGTGTTCTCTCACGGTGTTTTGAAACCCGAACTGCTGCACAGTTAGCCAAGTGGTGGGGCAAACATGTCGGCAGAAGAGAACACAGGTAGACCGAAGAGTTGGCCGAGGCCGTCCTCGACTGGGTACCGGCTCAGCAACTTAATGTGAGTATGATGACGGTCTGTTACACTGGTGTTATCTGATACTACAATGTAGGTGTCTTTTAGTCTGCACACAAATTAAGCAAAGTATACGCTTAGCCGGTCTGACTCACAATGCATTATATTCTTTGTATACAGTATTCCGATCCAGCTGTGTGAGCACACAAAAACCGGCGTTCTGTTTGTGATTTAGGGCGAATATCACAGTTGTGTTCCATATATGTCCCAAGAGTTAATCAAAATACCATTACAAAACTGCTATGTAGGCTTAATTGTTTCGTGGGAAAGTGTAGTTACAGCTCTCTATATTATCATGGGCGTAGAATGATATTATCTACCGAATTAGAACTCGGCCTACTGTTGTGGGAAACTGTAGCTACAGCTCTCTATATTATCATGGGCGTAGAATGATATTATCTACCGAATTAGAAATCGGCCGACCTGTTTTGGCTACCGTGGCAAGTCTTGATGCTAGTTCCGGCACTAGACTGAGACTTGACATGTACATGGGTTGTACCCCCTCTGTGTCATGGAAGTCTTGCATCAGAGTTCACTCTGACTCGTTCCTATTCATGTTAGCGTGTCTGTAAACATTTCACCGTGGCCTCCCCGACGGTCATGGTCATAAATTCACAAGTGGACCAGATGTCCCTGTCTTTACACTACCACCGGGTGTACGAATATGACCTCTATGTGAATTTGATGAAAAAAACTGTAAAAATGCAATATTATGTCAGTACAGTGGAAAATATGGTGAATTGTTTTGGCAATATGAATCGTGAAATCATATTGATACTGCTGATATTGCTCAACCAAATCGCAGTAAATAGTGAAAAGGGCGCGGCCTGCATGCCTATCTTTGCCTGCATGACGACTTGTAAAACGGTCTTGTCAAATACTGGGCGAATGAGACTTTCCAGGTTGTAGTTTGCTAACTTGTATATGCGTTGACACATGTACCCTGCGTGACAACATACAACGCTTGTCATGTTCCCATAAAAACAGATCATTTGCATCGCTGCTTTCTTTGAATGTGGGCATTCATGCCTGAAATCCTACATTTCAAATTAACACTGAATGTGAGGTTTAAAAGGTATGTTATTTTATTTGAACTTAATGACATGCTTTGACTCTTTTCTGCCATAATATCATTCTGAGCCATTCTATAGCTACTACATGTCGTATCAGCTACGATTTTGAATATTGTCAGAGGTTTATAATCCATCTGCAGTTTCATTTCGAGTTCAGCAGCGTTTGGATACTTTTTGTTTAGCTGCCTTTTATTTTTGTTGTTGTTGTTGACCTTGTTTATCGTCTATTTTTCCGCTAGACGTGGTACCATGGTTTTTCGAAGCGACTTCGAAGTCCAACATAGATTTAGCCTGGGTACCATCCGGATTTTTTGGTACCCAGGCTAACATAGATTAGGTCATTTGCAACTGCTCAAAAACATCTGTGCACACTAAACAAAAACAAAATAACATTACCATAGAATGGAAAAACAACGTGCTTTGTCGTACGTGAGCATCTAAACACACATTGGCATGGTAAAAAGGGACACAAGTGTTGTGTCAGCGAGTCGTTTTTATTCTCAGCGATTGTAATTGTTTCTTTTCGAGTTCAGCAGTGTTTGGTGATTTATTTTACGCCTGTTTCTTGTGTCATTATGTCTATTTATTTATTTATTTATTTATTAGACTTTCCAATGCAACAGCAAGTAGCATGGAGGAGAGACAAAACAGGTGCATAATTGCACCTCTGCCAGTTGTCTCTCCACATACAAAATACATAATAAAACAGCTTCTCGTGCTTCTCAAAGGAAAAGAAACATATTTCAACATATCTGAGTCGCACAAGTTTGCCATAGACTTAACAAAGAGTACGACGTCGGCCGCTTCTCTCCTGAATGTGAGTGGTAGCATACCAAGAGAAGACAATCTGGATTTATAATCGAGATGTTCAGGAACTATACCAAGTATATACCTGGTTGCCCGACGTTGGATGCCTTCTACAACACTAATCAGATTACGTGATCCAGGGCACCAAATAGAAGAACAATACTCACTACGGTACACTTCTAACCTGTCCTGTACGTTTATTGCACAAAAGCACATGGACACACAACAAAAACAAAATGACATGGAACGGGAAAACAACGAGCTTTTGTCATTAAGGCCGTGAGTGAGCATCTAAACATACATTGGCACGGTAAAAAGGGGCACAACTGTTGTGTCAGCGGGTCGTTGTTCCGAGCGGCTTGTTAGGGGTTGACGTGAGGTCGCGACCGGACAAACGTACCCTAGGGCATAAATACCACAATACAGCCTCTTAGAAGTACGCAAGTAGGAGGAGCCAAGCCCTATTGTTTAAGTTCATGCCCCCACGGGAATAATGAATGAAGAGATTTATTGCACATTTCTGCCACACTTGGTCACAACAAAACAAGATGAATGAACACGGTTAACAGATACAAAATTAACTAACTATCGTTATATAAATTCAACTTCTCCTCGCTTTTCATTCATTGTAGAAATAAAGGTACAAATCTGTTTTTCGATGGGTGGTTTGTCTAGTCGCATAAGGAATATGAATTTTTCTATACTACTTAAGTGCATGAAATAGGGAAATAAAATACAGTTCATTTCTCTCTTTGCTATACAGTTCACATTCTGTTACAAAATATGGCGTTTTGTTCTATTTTGTTCAAGTTACAAATATTTACATCATCTGTGTTCAAGGGAAGTGCGGGTATATGATCCACCAGATAGTGATGAGAACAATAGCAGGATTATAAACGTCATATTTCTGTAAATTGTGGGAAAAACTAAAGTAGAAAAGATCTAAAATCTAAAAGAAGTATGGGCATGTACGTGTCTGCATATTTTGACAGTCATAAAGTCATTTATATGACTAATAAATTTGCTTGAGGTACTAGTATGTTATGACCTTGATAAAAAATATATAACAAATGCGAAGTTTGCAGATAATCGGGTAATGATGCCTCCTAGCGGATTTGTTTCAACTTGAACTTCCGCACTCCAAACTTTTTGAGCAGTAACCAGGCATTATAAACTCGTGTAGTTTTCATGACGTCTTCATCGACAATATTAAGAGTCAATAATGTAGAATTAAGTCTGTGGTACTCGACAATGAGGTAAATACTCTATAGCTATAGCTAGCTAGGTGCATGTAACGTTAAGCTTGTTTTGTGATCCACATGAGAACACACCTTACAAAGAAAGGCGTTAATATAATAACCAGACGTGTATCAGTGTAGTTGCCTTACTTGTACGGCATTGAAAGACTATCCACAAGAGGACTGATAACAAAAAATAAAGGATTTTATGAATGGTATTATACGTTACAACCGGTGCAATAGCCCAATTGGTAGAGTGCTCGCTTTGTAACCGGGAGGTCGTGAGTTCAAACCCCGGCCGGGTCATACCAAAGACTTTAAAAATGGTACACACTTCTTTCTCTGCTTAGCGCTCAGCACATATGAGAAAGAGTGTGGGAAGGTCAAACACACAGCACTACCAGCAGACTAGCCCCCTGCTGTAGTGCATTGCACAACTGTGTGTCGCCCAAGGGCTACGGAAATGGACATGGGCACCAAACCCTATACTCTGCATAGAGCATAGGAGACCATAGATATATTATACGTTACAGACCTCAGGTTTGATCTGATGCGAAAGTCGAAATGAGAACTTGAGACAACTGAAGAAATGCAGCTAGTTTTACCATGGCCATGTTGCAACATGTGTGTCGATTTGTTTTAGTCTGGGTGCAATCCTAGTTAGTTTACCGGGCTCCCATACTCACACATCCCCTCATACAATGTGAGGGAACCCCCGGTAAACTACTTTGAGGACGGCATCTAGTGTTACACTGCTACAGTCAAAATTAGCAGCCAAAACGTTCTCTCATGTTCTGTCAGATTCTTTGACCCGGTTCTTGCTACCCTGGATGCCAAAACTAGTATCGGGCCGTTAGCCGTTTTCCTTCGGCAGCCAAGAGCCCTTCTCCCGCCTATCTAAATTACCGCTACGGGGAGTTGAGCCCGAGAGGTTTGTCCGGCCAAACTCCCCCCGGGCTAGACTCCCCCGTAGTGGTAATTTACACCAGCGGGCGAAGGGCTCTTGCGGCCCGGGAAACGAGTTCTGGCTTCCAGGGTAGGTTCTTGCCCACGTGAATATACCCCAATTTCCATGTTTCAACAGCGGCTAGTACTTCAAGTTAGTTAATTGATTTACCACAAGCTAGTAACGCCCTAACCATAAACCGGGTTAACCAATCAGAACACCGCGTTAAGGCAGGATGGGAGGAGGGTAAACAAACCTTAAGAGACCGTCACGGCCGTCAAATTTCCCTGTCGGAAACTTCTCGCTCCATTTCGCTCGAGGACGAGAAGCGATGCTGACCAAGGAACACGCGGGGAGACCCAAGAGTTGGCCCCGGCCAGACTCGGCCGGCTACAGGCTGGCGAACTACATGCTGTGAGTACCGGGCTGTTACTAGTTACTAAGTCTTCAGCGCCCATCTTGTAGTTGTGTACTTACAGATTGGTTGGTCGCACACGTTTTTTTAGTCATCCTGTGCAACAGTGTATTGTTATAGTTTGTTCACTGGATTCAGGTCAGTGGCAGTGACATTAAGTCGTCTGCACTGAATTGAAATTGATTTTGAATTAGAGATTAAAATGACGACTGAACATTCATCAAATGCAGTATGAAAGGAGAGTCAAAATGTAGTATATAAAATGCTTTGTGCAGGAGGTGCCATTCTATTGAGCTATGCCTAACGCAGATGAGTAGTAACTTGCTAAAACCGATACGTATTGCATGATAATTAGTTACAAATTCTCAACGTTAGATATTTACCTGATTTGTATGAGGTTATGACACTTAAATGTAAGATTTCCTTGTTTTTTTGTCATTCGTTGCTGTGATCTAGACCACAGGCCATTTGCTTGGTGTAACCCTACACGTAGGCACTCAGGGGCTATATAGTTATAAATCTGGTCCAGTATCGTATATCTTTTTGTTTTGAGTTCGTCTTGCGTTTCAAACCATTATCTGTAGAGCTTACATCGTCTTCAACACATTTTTGTAATAAAACTGTACGCCTAGAAGTATGAAAAACAGAAAAAAATTCTGTCTCTTCTACCACGTTGTTTCACTTTACTGTGCTACGTAGGTCCTCCACAGCTTTATTCGTTTACGATGTTTCTACTTGACGAATATTACAGGCACAGATCCATAAAGTCTTTTCTTTGAAAAAGTAGCAAAACACCGTAGTAAACAAACGGGATATTTTACGGGTCTTGACAAGTCCCCTTCCTGTTACAGTTACGTTATGATCTTTTAGCCTCCACCAGGACCGTGCCACCAGGCCTTTCTACGGGAATACGGATCGTAGAATTCGGCAAAAAAGAGAATCAAATTGGCCAAGGGAGTCCGGTCGCGGGGAGGTAGTTTCGTTCCCTTAACTGCGCGGCATAGTCAAAACCTCAAGGCGGCCAAACTCCCCCGGCAAATATTCTCCTATATATAGCCAGCGTAGTTAGTCTGGTAGAGACTAATGATCTTTGGAGGTAGCCTCTTCTTGACGGAGCGACTGGAAAAAATAAAAATCAATGTCTACTCTTTTTAGCCGCTTCTGAAGCCTGGAAGAGACTAGAATTCTGTGGGAAAATATACCACAGTCGTCCTTTTCCGCACCTAAACGAATAAGCGACTCATGTGATTGTACACTAATTAGGAGCAAGCATGTCACTAGGCTTTGTATATAGATTTGTCGGTAGAATTCTAAGCAAGAAAACTTGTCGTGTTACAAGCAAAATACGTATACCGAGAAGTTTTGGAGCCAATACATTCGTGCGTGCATTCACCTTACACCACTACATGCTTTCATACGGAGACCATCCGACTACAAAGTAGATGACTTGCGCTTTCATTCAAATCATGGTAGAACCACATGCGACTGCTTGTCGTGTTAACTTTGAGTCATTGAATATGTCACATTCTTTTAGTAAATCTATACACATTTCAGCACGGAACGCAGACTGACGTTCTGTACCAAAGCGCTTGTCACATGCTAAGACGTCCCGCCGGTCAGTTTATTTGAAAACGTGCGTATTAAGTCTCAAATGCCTTTACGGTTGAGCGACGGTTCCTCAAATATTGTGTTATTTGACACCCCGGTGAGGGAAAAGACAAACCAAGTGACAAAGTCTTGACTCCTAAGGCTATGATTTGTCTTGAAAAGTGTAAAGTATAGAAATACTGTGAGATTGTAAATCATTTGACAGGAATGGCCCGTTCTTGAACTTCCGTTGAGACACGCTTTCTCGTAACCTCCATAGCATGCCAAAAACTGGGGGTTTGGGGCGGTCTACAGGGTCTTTGGCAGCTTTTATGTGCTATTTTCTGATTGCATATAGACAACATAGCCGGCCTGGTTGAATTACCCCCGTTTGTAGAACTAGGCTAATCAGAAAACAGCCGAAGACCACCAAATCCCCAGTTCTATAAGCCTGCTACGGAGGCTAGCTTTTTCGTTTGTGTCATCTTATAATGTGACTAAGGAGTTGGTGCCATTTGGGAAAGGAGGAGGAGCATTTAATGGAGAAAAGCACATCGCACTTATGGAATATAATTATGCGCAACTTTTAAAAGTAGATATTGAGCAAAAATTGGACGATAATACTAAATTTTAAAGAAAGAGCTTTTGTGGCCTTTCTTCTCCATTAACAAAAGAGTGTATAGGTACAAAGGCAACTTTGTAACGTTATACAAAACCACATCATCGCAAAATCGCAACAAAAAGCTCTTCGTAGGTAAGGTATTTGCCAGTTTTATGTGAATACAAAAATATTGAAGCATATATATTTCACATGAACAGAAAAGGACAAGCAAACAATTATAGTTGAAAGAAAACTTTTTTTCAGCAAACTGAGACAGGTTATGACGTATATGCCGTGACCGGTCAGGTGAACGCAAGGTCGTTGACCCCGTCACACACCTGAAGTGCGGTGTCAGTTTCAGACGACCCCGGACCAAAGTGGCTCCTTCTACATTCCTGCACAGTTCCTGTAGTCACAAATCCTTCAGCTTCGTGCTTTATGTCGGGCTTTAAATCGCGATGTTAGCGATACCGTGACAGTCTGAAAGACTCGGGTATTGTACTGGCACAAAATAACTGAAATCTGATCAAGCGTTGCGGTATTCGATGGCGACAGAGATCGTGCTTGTGTTTTTCACCGCCCAACAGAATTCTAAAACTATCATGAAAGTCTATCTGTGTTGGTAGTTACATGTTTAAAGTTAAAACTTTTGGTCCAACACAAAAAATTCTCTCCGTCTACTGATGAAGACCAGCCCTAGGTGAGAGATTTTTTGTGTTGGACCAAAAGTTTTCACTTTAAACAGAATTCTAAAGCATTCAGCTAAGGTATAATGTAAAGTTATGTTGATGTGTCTGTAATTTCAGTAAACCTATGAATCTAACCATTCTTGTAAGAAACAATATCATTCTCTAAAAAAAGATGCATATATGATTTTACGCACATCAAGAAAGTGCTCTAGCTACATAAGTAAGCTTTTAAAATAGACAAATTGTGCGTATAAATTACCTGGCGTTATATATCATAAAAAGTTTCCTAGCTAACTTCTTTACAGCGATATAGTTAGTCATAGTAGGAATAAAGTTCAAACTTTAAGAGATGAAATTAGTGTACTGAAAATCTGAAATGGAAAAGTACAGCCAATGTTTTGACTGGCTAAAGTCGACCCTTGTTCACAGTAATGTCATCACACTTGAAGATATATGGTCAAAACATTTGTAAACTGCTAAAAATTTGACTATGAGCAGCTAATGTTCTGAAAGGCGCCATAGTTAGTTGGAAGGGAGGCGTGTCCGATCGTCGGCTCTGTCGACGCTGTAGTTATACGTTGGCCACCTGTCCATATTTGCACTTTCCCGCTCCGACGAGCACGAAAAATAGCGGTCATTTGACAGGTCAATACCTTTCTGAATTTGTCATGAACTGGGAACTTTTTTCTTTCTGACAATAGCGCGTTTCCACCTCTGTTTGCTGAGCTGCACAATAACCAAATTACAGATGTACTCTCTTTCCCGCCAAATGTCGACTGACCGGTCACCGTCCGGGTGTCGTTTGATTATGACGTCACAACATGGCGGCTGGGGCACGACATGGCGCCGCGCGGCACAATCAAGGTGCAATTACGCGGTTTGGAAATCATAAATTTGCTCTCAACTCCCGCTCTCAAGAATACCTCCTCTCTCAGTGCACCATGAGTGTAGACTTAGCAGAGGTGTGAACCTCTTTGGCACTATAAAATTCTCAACTTTCCAACAACAGGTGGCGGCGCGACGCCCAATAAAATATTGTCCAACAGCCTGCAATAAATACTACAGAAACTATTGAATTCTTATCATTGAAAATAAAAGACTTGACTCCTGGTTTTGTCGTCTTTTGAGGTCGCATAGCCGGGACACATTCAAAGGTGGTTGATAACTAGATAACGTCATTACCTTTTATGATGACGCTTGTACCTGTACGTGGTCCGTACGCTTGCATAAAGTAAGATTCAAACGCCACAAAATTCTACAAAATTCGGTTCTACAAAATAGAAAGAAATCTGTTAGTAGAATACTCTTTAACGTATTTCTACCTTTCAAAAACAGCCACTGATTAAAGAATATTCTACTAACTGTTAATTTACGTGTAAAGAATATTCTACTAACTGTTAATTTACGTGACTGATGAACCCCTTTCAAAGAAAGAAAGCTCCTTTCAATGTAAATAACATTGCGATTTCCCTGTTCATTACATCTTCCGTTACTCAAAATACGTTCTACAAAAACGAAACATTAATAAAACTGTAACATCACTCATGATCACTGGGTAGCTTATTAAATATTGTACAATGAATGCAGTGGAAAATGAAATACATTTTGTTAGCCAGTGTCCTCACTATGAGACCGAAAGAAACAGATTATTTCGGACAGTTACAACAATTTCTACATCCTTTCGTCATTTACAAGATCACCAAAAAACTGCATTTCTACTAAGATCACAAAACCCACTAATTATGCAGAATGTGGGACTATTCATTATCCACTGCCTTCAAAGAAGAAGTCGAACCCCATAATAGCTATCGTAGTAGTAGAAGTAGAAGTGTTTTTCCAGGCAGTTGTTACCTGTCTCCTGTTACTGTACTGCAATGAGTATTATACTTGATTGTAAAAGCAATTAGCCTACGGGCATGATTTTGCGAATAAAGTTGTTCATTAAAAAGTATACTGCTCGTTGCTTTGTCAATACCAAAATAATCTAAGTAGTAGAATTACACTCGACCTTACGTGTACTATGTAAGTCTCATTTCTGTCGGACAGTATGCACACTTGACTATCATTTATGATACCGGAATGATATAAATCACACTTAGAAATGAAATAAAATCATCACAGTTTCAATGTACATACTCGTACGTGCTTCAGAGAACTCTTCACCCTTGCCCATGTTTACAATTTATGGGTATTTACTACATTATGTAAGTGAAAGCATCGGGGTGTGTGGAGGATACAATGTCAACAAATAAACCCGTTTTAAAGAGGATCTTTACGGTGTTTTTTTTTTCTCGTAAGACTCTTTCTACCCAAGGTTAAACAATTACAAAGTGACAAAATGTATATTACACATGATACATTTACATGTACTATATACGCTTTCCAGTAATATCGTTTCAGCATATGTGTTGCCTTGTACAAAATAAACGTCGGATTCGAAAACATAACCATTTTTTTCTTCGCTTTGCCTCCTTTTCTAGGAAGTAAGAAAGGATGTTATTCTCCGACAAACACAATATATTAGTACTCTAATATTCACTGTGAATGTTATCTTTCCCATATATAGAGAGAACAACATGTATCTGCCAATCGAAGAGGGAGGGGAAGGGGAAAACGAAACAACGCCCTCTCTCGTTCCGCGCGAGAACGGCATCAAGAGAAACGCGTCCCGCGGCACGAGGGTGGTGTGGCGAGACGTGAAGGTGGTGGTGGAGGACAAGGTAAACGATATTTTTTTTAAAATAAAGAATGGCTTACTACTACTACTACTACTACTACTACTACTACTACTACTACTACTACTACTACTACTACTACTACTACTACTACTACTACTACTACTACTTTGTACTACTACTTTGTACTACTACTACTTTGTACTACTACTACTACTACTTCTACGGCTACTACGGCTACTACTACTACTACTACGGCTACTACTACTACTACTACTACTACTACTACTTTGTACTACTACTTTGTACTACTACTACTACTTTGTACTACTACTTTGTACTACTACTACTACTACGGCTACTGCTAATACTAATACTACTACTATTACTACTACTACTTACCTGTTCCCACTTTGTTAACTGTAGAATGTATCTTGTACGTACCTTGTGACTTAATATATAACGTTATATGTTTTAACTACTACGACGTATCCGTCCTACAACCTACCTGTTTTAAGGTAGCGTTTCTTGTGTTTTATATTGTTGAATAGGAAAGATAAGATAAGCGCTAACCGGTAAAGAGCCCAATGCCAACATTTCTTAAATATGTAAAAAAAGTAGTGCACAATTTAACCCATGGCTGCAATGTACTTTACCTGATCAAAATGATGAAATAAACCATTCATTTATTTATTCATTCATTCATTCTTTCAAGGTACTGTTGAAGGACGTGGCAGGCCAGGTGGAGCCGGGAGAGATTCTCGCCGTCATGGGGCCTAGTGGTACGTTGGGACGATTATTATGATTATTATAATGTTTGTGATAAGATAAGTGCGATCAAAGTTTTCAGAGTACTAATCATAACCGTACTTGGCTAATCACAATATCCACTATTGCACTAAAAATCTGCTAAAGGTTTTATTGTCATGGACAATGTCCGAGTGTCCATGTTGCACTAGATATTGCACGATTACAGAGACGAGGACTCACTCTTATGTGTAGGCTCAGTCACGTTTGAGACCACATTTTTATTGTTACAACGCCACCAGGCGGCAAGGAGTAGCATTACACACTGATGAAAGCAGTCGAAACGTCGGGGAGGAAAATGACGGCCACTGTGTTAAAAACTCCAAGGAGAGGTTTTGGCCTCTGCTTATTTTTGTCGTGTTTTTAGGCGTTTTATCGGGCTCTGGTTTTTGTACTGGCATCCTTTTTTACACCAGCCTTGGTATTGGATATTATAAATGGCCAATCTGATACTGCATTGCAGCCACTAAGATCTGCAATGAAATTAGTGTTAAACGAGCATAGTACAGGACCATTACATGTAAGAACCTTTTGTCCTGAACAGGTGCGGGAAAGACAACCCTGTTGAACACGCTGGCCGGCAGGATCCCCGACTCCAGCCTGGACACCGGCTCCATCACGTTTAACGGCGAGCCGCTCTGCAAGAGACTCAAGCGGCGGATCTGCTACGTTCTGCAGCAGGATATCTTCTTCGCCACGCTCACACTCAGGGACACGCTCATGGTTAGTTTTCTAGTCATGTTTACCGAGGGAAAACATACTGTTTTTGCTCTGTTTCTTCTTCCTCTTCGTCCTCTTATTCTCCAAAACAAAAAGGTCAATGACCTGGACCAGACTGTCTGTTACCATGGCGACTAGTGTTGGGTTACATCATGTTGCAATTTAATAGCAGGAGGGATTTAGACTCCTGTCTGACCATATATATGAATGTGTTTGAGTAAGAATTAACAGAGCAGACCATATGGGAAGGTAAACATCATGCATTTGCTTTGCAAATTTTACCTTATTACTGTAAGCTGCAATGAGTTCGCATTTTGGATACGTTCGTTGCAGGTGATTTGTGATGGTGGATATTGGGTGCTAGCGAACAGCGATTTATCGAGTTTTACATAGATTTTGGATGTGTGAAGAGTACTTTTAAGTTAGATTTAAAAATTGAAACGCATTGAGTATCGGAAACAACGAGAAGAGCAGAGAGAACCACAGAGAACAACATTGAAAACCCGCCTTAAATTTACTTTGGAGAAGAAGAGGACGAAGAGGAAGAAGAAACAGAGCAAAAACAATACTTGCCCGGTGCCCATGTCTATCGTGGTTTGGGCCGGATCTCTTCGGAGCTGCAGGAGATCTTCGCCGCCCGACTCAGCTAGGTTCCCCGGTAGGTTTTGTACGGCGGGTGCTCAATTAACCCATTAAACTCCTGCCGTGCAAAACTCCCACCTGGCCGCTGGTTAGCTACTAGAGCACCGAACAGAGTCCACCCCAACCATGATAGATGGTTGGTGGGAGCGACTGTGGGAGCGGACTTATTCGTCCAAAGTAAACTAACCAGGATGGTACCCAGGCTAGATAGACTGGACAACAGTCACGAAAACGATCAGCAGACTTTTGAAGTCTACAAGCCTTATTTCACGCAACAACTACAATAAGAAAACTGACAGATACCCAATGTTGACATGATTAGTTCACAGCCATGCTGCGGCTGCCAGACGCCATGCCGTATGCCGAGAAGGTGAAGAAAGTCGACTGGATTGTGGAGGTGCTGGATCTCAAGAAATGTCTGGATACGAGTGAGTCAGCATTACTTTTGTGCCCTTAGTTACAGCAAAAGCATAAATATTTGGTAGACATGTACTCATTTTGTGATGTGAAGTGAAAACCTGGGACATTCCTTTATTCGTGGCAAGATATACATGTACGGACAACAATGGATATCACTGCATAGACCATATGTCGAAATGCCTGTAGGTGCATTAGAGACAGACTCACAGTTATATATATATGCAATGTATGTTTTGTAAACCACAGAAATAGTTTTTTTTTATTCTAACATGTAATCACCAGACGTGGTGACCGCACACACAAGTTTTTCAATTTATATTAATGCCGCCACCAACACAAGGGACAAATACATGACAGGACAGTACTCATTTTCACCTGAGTTAAGTGAGGAAAAGTCGTGTAAAGTGCCTTTTCCAATTGCAGGGCACAAGATAAGCGGCATATCAGGACTCGAACCCGGGACCTCTAGGTTCCGAGTCGCGCACTCTGTCGCTACGCCACACGACCCACCACACACAGAAATACTTCCTTCATATCTCTTATCATGAGCCTGATGTATTCACCTATTTATAACTTGGTTTATTTGTGTTGTTTTTTTTCTGGCAGAGATCGGAGATGACCTGTCGCGGGGGCTGTCGGGAGGAGAGAGAAAGCGCGCGAACATCGGGTGTGAGCTGCTCACAGACCCGGCTCTCATTCTGCTGGACGTACGGTCAAGTTACATTTTGTTTTCAATACAAACTATAGCCCTTCTGCTTAGTAGTCTACGAAGTAATGTTAACTGCAACATGTGCAATTTTGGCATATACTAACCCTTCGTGGTCCATTGTGTTTTGGTGTGGCATACTGCTCGCAAATATGATTGTGGGGAGCTGTATAAAACGATATCTTGCTATCATTTGGAAACATAACGTGAACCGACTTAATTTTATGGATGACCTGAAGACTCCCAAACTAGTGCGTGCGGGCGAATAAAAAAGATTCCGGCCAAAAATAAAAATGCTACTAAACCACTGAGGAATACAAGGCTGGTATCCTGAATTTGCGGCAGTACTTAGAGACGTATACGACAAACCGGCTCATATTGGCTATTTGCGGAATTTATGAATCGGTACTGTACGTATGTGCTGAGTTCTTGAGTCGTGGAGCTTCGGTAGCCTGGGTGCCCGGCTCTGTACTGTCGCTAACTACCATGCACTACCAAGGCCTAGAACCAGGCCAGAACGGTGGACGTGACCTTTTTTTGTTGAGAACAGGCGAAAATCAATGCGCGCGCGGATGTCATCCATAAAATGAAGTCGGTGTGGCCTAATGAAGAAAAAAAATATCTGTACCTTCCCAGGAGCCGACCTCTGGCCTGGACTCCAGCACGGCCCTGAGTCTGATCCGGACGGTGAAGCGACTCGCCCTGTCCGAGAACAAGACTGTGGTCACCACCATCCACCAGCCGTCCTCTCAGATCTTCACGGTCTTCGACAAGCTGTGCCTGGTTCTTAACGGAGAGGTAGATACACATTTCTGCTAACGTAATACATAGGTTTCTAACGTACAATACTTCTGAGGGATGCTTTGAAGGAGGACACTATGCTAGCTAGCATGGAACTACAGCAGTGTTACAGTTAATACAGTATTAAAACAGTTGACACAGTAAAATGAAATACTGTACTTATTCATGATATCATTTCAATAATTCTATGGTGGTCAACTTTCAGCTGGCTTACTTCGGAAAAGCGAGTGAAGTTTTGGACTTTTTTGAAAATCTCGGCATGCCGTGTGAACCTCACTACAATCCGGCAGATTTCATCTGTAAGTAAAATTCTTTTCATTTTCTTGTTAGTTCATGTATAAGGAGGTTATTTCTGTCGTCTGAACCACGTGTTTCATAATCTTAGGACATTTTGTGAATATGTTTTAATCACGTCGGTCATTAATGTCTCACCATTTCACCTTTTCAGTGGAGAAAATGAAGGAAAGCAAAGAGGTTGAGTTGAAGATCCTAGCTGGCTCGTACGAGAGACGGTATGGCAACTTTGATTTCAGCTTATTGTTAGTTATCAAACTTATTTCTATGTACATGAAAGATTTCATAGAAAGTATCCAACATGCTTGAGGTTTTGCTGTCTTCAAACAAGGGTCTTTTCAAAGGGCTACAACCCCTTCTAGCAGCATGCTTTCGTAAAGATGAGGCAAATATATAGATTATCAAATGTTTTAAGTTAAAACTTTTGTTCCAACACAAAAAATTCTCTCACCTAGACCTTTCGACCAGTCACGCTGGTCTTCCTCAGTAGACTGACCCAATGAAGCTTATCACGTGGCTTCTTTGAAGTGTGACGTCAACACTGGGTCAAATGTATCTGGTAGACGATGTCGACCCCCGTCGCGGTTCAATGTAGGGTGATGGGCCTTGATGTATATGGCTTCCTTCACCCCTCTCAAGAAATAGTCTTGTTCAGTGTCTAAAATCCTTACAGTGTCAAGTGAAACGAAATGTCCTGGTGACTCTAAAAATGTTTTCCTCAACAGGAAGACGTGTAGACTGGCACCGTTAGGTGAGAACGAAGTGGTGATGAGAAGGCCTAGGGAAGAAGAGTCGTACCCGAGCAGCAGCAACGGAGGGTCGACCTACGTGCGGATGGACAGTGAGAAAGGCACCGCTACATACTGGGCTGGCGGCTCGTCAGGTCAGGACCTATAGGAGTTGCTAGAAAATTGTTACCTCCGGGGGAGGAGACATCCTTCCGCGGAAGGGTTTTGTGAGAGATTTAGATTTTCATGTTCGCAGCTGTTTCTCGCGTTTGGGTGGACGGATTCTTTTGAGACTCGGTATATGTTTTGCTATTAGGCTGCAGATGATGCACGTTCTTTTGTTTTTATTGTATATGTATTTTCGGGCGTGCCTTTTGGTGGCCACAAAACACCCCTTTGAGCGTGAAAGTGGTCGCGACCGTTGTCCTTTGGCGTGTTTAAGCTATTCTCGGTCTGGTCCACGTATATGACCCCTCACCAAAACCCTATATAAAAATATACAATAAAAAGTCCGGAGGTATAAAATCTCAGATTTTACTTGTTTTTTTAAACCAGGACGTAAGTGGAGTTCTGGTGATAAGGACACCCCAGAAGAGAAGCAGGGGAAATGGCCCACCGGTTTCCTGACTCAGTACCGGGTCCTGACGCAGAGAAACTTCCTCCAGGCCAGGCCCAAGATGCTGAGTAAGTGGAACTTCATCCAGACCTTCGGGATCGGCCTGATCATCGGACTGATGTGGTTCCAGATCCCGCACACTGAGGATAGGATCATGGACGTAGGAGGAGTGGTGAGTAGATTTGTATTCTACCTACTATATTGAGTCTTCAACTTCTTCAGTGGCGGCACACCACAGTGTATGGCGACGAAAAGCAGAACTCCAGTCTCTGAGAAGATATCTGTTTGACAAAACGTAAGCAGGGGAAAAGAAGTACTGGCTTTGTATAAGAAAATGATCAATATCTCAAACTGTTTTGTAGTCCTGTTATTGTGTGGGTTGGACTTGGTCACAGGACTGGTTTGGTCATAGGACTGACTCTAAGACCAATGCAGCTATGGTCATACCATATACTTATACTGGTAATAAAGTGTATACGGGTTACGGTTGGAAGAACACATTATCCTATATATACTTTACTAAAATACCATCATGATGGCATATAGCGGGTTTATAAGTTGAGGTGGCATCTACATGTAAAAATGCAACACCTAGCATATATATAAATAAGAGGAATATGATTACATAATAAGACGGTAAATATGATAGCTTTTTGTCAGAATGAATTATTAACGTGTTCGTTGTTTCTTCTTCAGCTGTTCTTCTGTGTCATGTACTGGGGCTTTGTTTTCGTCATGGATGCCCTGGCCGCATGTAAGTTTCTTTCCTTCTTTTCTTATCACACATCTGAATTGTTTATATATGTGGCAATAAATTCAATCATACTATAAGACACAGATAAACATAATATATAAGCTGACATAAAGATAACTAAAGATGTATAGACTGAATGAAACTGAAAACGGATATTGTGACAGTTCTTTAATTGTTTAACCAAACATGCATTTTGTTGTAAATGAATGACTGAACGAATACATTAAGCCATTAATGGTTCTTTCGTAGTTCTTCCGTAGTTCTTCAATAGTAGACAAGACACTTCGAAAATATGAACAAAACGGCCGAACCAAAAATGTACATACATGTAAGATCACATCTAACCCTGTACCAATATGTCGTTTTGCCCATCCATTGTTAATATTACATTTGAACTATGTGACACTCTATTACAGTTCCCATGGAGCTCGTGGTACTAAACAAAGAGAGAGCGGCTGGCTACTACCGTCTGTCGGCGTACTACCTGGCCAAACTGACCAGTGAGCTGCCCCTGACCCTTCTACTGCCTAGTGGCTTCCTTACACTGTGTTACTGGATGGCCGGGCTCAATACGGTCGGACCCTTCTTCGCAACGTGGGCGGTCCTCATGCTCAGCTCATTGGCTGGACAGGTAAAGTCATTAGAAATACATGTACTCCATTGGTTGAAAAAGTAAGGCATTAAAAATACTGGTTCACGTTTAAAAGAAGAGCAATGCTGCTAGTCCATTGGCTGGACAGGCAAATCCATTAGAAACACTGGTTCACGTTCTAAAGTCAAGAAGAGCAAGCAATCCGACTTCTCCATTGGCTGGACAGGTAAATTCATTAGAAAAACGGGCTCACATTTAAAATAAGAGCAATGCTAATACTACATTGGTTGGAAGGGTAGCCAAGAGCCATACAGTACAGATAAAGGCATTTGCTCTGCAGCGAGAAGCAAATGAACGCTTTTCAGCACCAAGGAGAGGACTGAGTCGATACAAAACAGTTAACCGTGAAAACACCACTGTTACCCTCGGTTCAATTTTTTTTCTATAAAACTAGGCACCGTGTGCCACAGGAATATGACAGCAACATCAAACAGTAGCTTTCACAGTACCAGTAGCTTTTTTCTATCATTGACTTGACTTACTTACTTGACTTATGCCGAATCTTGGTGTCCCTGGCCTCGAGTCAAAATGGCAGCCCGACCTTACCCAACCTATCGTTAATTCTTGTCAACTTGTTAGGCCACACCGACTTAATTTTATGGATGGCATCCGCGCGCATTGATTTTCACCTGTTCTCCAAAAAAAAAAAAATCACGTCCTCCGAGGCTCTGGCCTGGCTGTAGGCCTGGGTAGTCCATGGTAGTTAGTGACAATACGGAGCCGGGCACCCAGGCTACCGAAGCTCCACGACTCAAGAACTCAGTACATACGTACAGTGCCGATTCATAAATTCCGCAAAAAGCCGGCTTGTCGTATACGTCGCTATATACTGCCGCAAATTCACAATACCAGCTTTGTATTCCTGTGGTTTAGTAGCATTTTTATTTTTGGCCGGATTTTTTTTTTATTCGCCCGCGAGCACTAGTTTAGGGGTCTTCAGGGGATGTCATCCATAAAATTAAGACGGCGTGGCCTTACGTACGCGTGTCGCTATGATGCTAAACGCTGTAGTTTTAACCCTAGCATCTTTTTTTTACCCCCCACAGTCCCTGGGCCTGTTCATCAGCGCTGCCTGTCTGGACTTCCAGCGAGCCGTGACAGTAGCCTCTATCTTCATGATGGGCTCGTCTCTCCTGGGCGGGTTCTACACCACACAGGTTCCACACTGGCTCGCCTGGGTCAAATTTACTTCATTCCTCAACTACGCCTTCCACGGGATGCTGATCATAGAGTTTACCCCGGAAAACCCTTTCAGGTAGATATTTTTTCCATGATGAACTTTTTTGTTCTTTGTATAACAAGCCAATCTAACTATGGCCACAAGCGAGTTCCCCATTATGCAACTGTGGTTTGTAATGAACTAAGAACTATTTGGGGCGTGAGTATAGGTAAACATTCTAATCTTTTAATTTAGGCTAGTTCAATCAGTTTCTAAACACCGCCACTCCGTAGGATACGCATCTCTATGGATGGTCAATTGTTTCAAGCAAAATCTTACACTAATTGCACACACTAATTGCAAACTACAGCCTAGTTAGCCCAAGCAACTTTGGCTACGTGTAAGTCAAGCTCACGTCTGGCTTAGCTTGGGCAAATACAATACAATTTTCAGAAGGTGCGTGGTACTAAGCAGCTTTAGCTACATGTAAGTCAAGCTCATTTCTGACTTGGAAAACTTACTTACTTTTTTTTTACTTACTTAGACTTGGGAAAATACTAGCCTGGGTACCATTCGCATCTTTTCGAGCGTTGCGGAGCGAAAATCCGGATGGTACTCAGGCTAGGAAAATACAGTCCAGACTTGGGAAAATACAATATAATTTTGAGAAGGTGCGTGGTACTAAGCATCTTTGACTACATGTAAGTCAAGCTTATTTCTGGCTTGGAAACTACGATATAATTTGACAAGGTCCGTGATACAATGGCTCTTAAAACCGTCTCTCCTCTCCCCCAGTTGTGCCCCACCGGCGACGTCTGCCTTCGAGCTGTGCCGCAGTAACGCTACCGTGAACGGCACGGTGCCTGTCCTGCCGCCGGAGTACATCCTGGGCGGGCTGAAGGTAATTATGTATCTGTATAGTCAGTATAACCGCCCTTCGGCGTAACACACCAGCTTCTGTATCTAATAGCCGGTATAGCTGCCCTTCGGCGTAACACACCAGCTTCGCAGGCACGAGGCGGCGGCAGCTGGCTACATTACACCGATCGACTTGTTACAACTAACCCTCGAACATTAACTCTAAAAAGCCAATGCCAATACCCCTACTGTACTTGGTTACAGCGAGTTCCACTCTGTGATAGTTCTAGGAAAGAATGAATTCTTGAACACCTTGGTTAATAACTCTTCCATGTACTCTCTTCCAAGGTGGAGCTTCCCCTGTACACGGACATCGCCATGCTGATCGCCTTCATCGTGGTGTTCAGGGCACTGGCCTACGTCATTCTCCGCTTCATCTACAAGCCCAGATGAGCTGCCTGCTTTCACTGAACCCCAGGCTTTTCTAGCCTCCTTCGCAGTCTTGTTGGACGTCGGCGTTATATTTTTCTGTAAGCGACGCGAGTATATAATATGCCACCGCGAGGGACGATTTGCTTCCGAGGGAGTTTTTGCCGCGGAGAGAAGGATTCTCGCTCCAACACAGAGCGCGAATTTTTTCTCTCCGCGGCCCTGGGCAGCAAATCGTCCCACGCGGCGGCATATTACTCCCGTCGCTCACAGAAAAAAATAACACCGACACCCAACAAGACTGCGAAGGAGGCTAGGGCTTTCAATGCTTACTCTTCAAGCAGATCTTTTGGTGGCTACAAGGCAGTATTATTACTATCAAATTGGCAAGACAGTGTCAAATTGGCAAGGCAGTATCCAATGCACAACCGGCGAAAAAGGGTACCGATACAAAAAGAAAGCCAGAGAACAACACCTTATAATACGTCAAAAATAAGCCAATGCCCAAACCTCTTCTTGAAGAGTATCGAATGTTGTACATTACCATTCCAACAATGCAATAAGTCTTTTCAAAGAAATTTGATGACCTTCATATCGTTCAAATAAAACTCACGTAAGTATTGGTTTTTGTGGACTCTTTACTATCACGTGTTATACGGAATGTAACCATGAAGAATATGTCTCGATAAATCTTGAATGAAAACAATTGACAATTGCCATGCTTTGCTTTTCTTGGCTCATTTCATAAGAAGCCATATTCAATTCTAATCTTATTTGTCGAAGACTATGACCAAAACAACTATACTTTGTCTTTTTGCAAGCAGCACAAATCATTTGAAATGTTTGAATTGCTATCATATGGATGGATTATTGAATTATTACGATATATAGCTAAAAAATTAGCACAAGTATATGAAACATATACAGTTCACATTTAAGCCACAGTATAGTTTAGCGTTATACTTTTAGGAAATGTTTTGTAGAACACAGGAAAAATAAAAGTTTGAAAAAAAATAGTGCATGGTGGTGCAAAATATGTTAACGAGAAGAATGGCACCCATTCTACATAATAGCCCAGTTTTGTCCTATGAATAAATGTTTTGCCTTATTACCACATTTTAATAAACATTTTGCCCTACTCTCTGACAAGAGTGGATGAACTAATTTATCAATTTTGTACATATATCTTCACTTAATGTAAGAATTTGCAATGCAAATTAATCAGTTCATGTTGTTCTTCAACAATTTGTTACATTCATTTCATACCAGTTGTAACAAAGTGAGTTGTATATCAAATGTTAATGTGTGGATACTAATAAAACCAATTTTCGTATACTTATGAATCAGATGCAAACATGATGAAAACATATTATATTCCAACGTTGTATATGCAAGACGGAAATGTAAAGAATGGAAGGAGCAAATAAAATTACAATGAAAAATTTAATATAGCCTTGGTGCTTTATTCACTGTAGATCTAATCTTTTGTAGCAGGATACTTGCAAAGATGATCTTTAGGCCACACCAATTTGATTTCTTGGTTAACGGATTTTTCTAGAAAAACAATGGAGCGGGTGGGCGAAAAAAAATGGCCTAGGCATCCTATTATGGCCCAAAATGGTACGATAGGAGCCATGAAGTCAACACACCAGGCCGGTTCAAAATTTAAACAATGAATTTTGAACTTTTTATGATACCACTGCATTGAAAGATGGAATAACTGTAACAACTAGGAAGAAAATGACTGTTTTCAACTGTTCAGGGCAAAATATGAGCATTTTGCAGTTGATTCTGAATTTTATTTTTATTTGCAAATCAGAAAAAAATGAAGCGGGCAAATCTGTTAACCAAGAAATTAAATTGGTGTGGCCTTAGGAAAAAAAGAAGACCATAGAATTTTCACATTGGTTCTTCTTTAATACAATAGTCTATGAATAATAGTCTATGAAGAACTGATTGAAGACAAGCATGGTAACAACATTGAAGTTTAATCAGATATCATAGGTTAAAATAGATTGTACATTTTCCACTATTTTACAACAATGAAGATACATATATGTCTGATCATGATGATTATGTTATAACGAATTAACTTATTTGTCTGTAGGAATGTGTAACAAAAGGACTAGAGCAATTTTTTGGTCTAATGCATTTTACAATTCTTCATTCATTTATGCCAGAAATGGTAGAAATAAATGTAGTACAAAAGGATTGAGATGCTTAAGTGCATGTATGATACACACAAAATTAGAAAGGGGATACACCTATTCCCCATTCCAGGTTGTATTTTGAGTAACATTTTTTTTACCTTAAATGTACATGTATCTGTAAACAAAAATAGTTCATAAATATATACATAATCACTTGAAATGGTTGTATTTTCATGACAAACTTGAGTGATTGCCAAAATGATTGCCAAATGTAATCATAGCAAGAAATCAGATGTTTCAAATTATTGTAAAGATTCTCTGAAAGAGGAAAAAAAAACTCATGCACCAATCTTCAAAGATCAAGATGAACACTTGCGGGTGTTCCTGTTTTCAGTTATGCGGTGTCCTAAGTGCCTTGACTATCAGGAATGTGTGATTTTGGAATGCAGTGTACAAAATACTTTTTTGAACCAGGTTGCCCAGTGGTCAACCTACAGCAAAAATTAGGTTGCCCATCAGAATTTTAGGTTGCCCCACCTATAAGTTACTACTTTCCTCAAATTAAGCTATGTTACATACATAAGCCTTTGACAATATTTCTAACAGCCTTTAGTTAACTGATACTAGTAATAGCCATTAATACCTAAAATCAATAAGTATCTGCCGGATACAGTGGTGCAAGCCAAGTGGGCATGATTTTAGGGAAGGGGGCATTCTCAAAATTCAGGTAGCACACTGGGCTACCTAGGTTCAAAAATAGGTTGCCTCACGTAAAATTTGGTTGCCTGGGGCTTTTGCAGGTATTTTGCACGCTGCAATGTACCATTTCAAGAGTCTTATAAACAGTCTGTGTAACTTAGGCCACAGCAAGTAATTTTTATGGATGACATCCACGCACGCATTAATTTTCGCCTGATTTTGGGGAAAAAAGACAAGAAATTTTGTTGCCTTCTGACAGTGGTCACCATGCCGAAAATAGGCCAAGATGTCTGTTGCCATGCCGGAAGGTAGATGGAAGATAACTATAAAGAGAGGAGACAAGACAAGGCTCTGATGTTTTGTTTCTTACTTTGATGCAGTGATATGTGATGCTGGCTGTGTATATGTGATGTTCCCATTGAATCAAAACCATTTGTACAATGATTGAGTCAAAATTTCAAAATGTAGGAACCTTGTTTTATTTGGCCCACCTTGTTTTTTTTCGCCCGCTCGCATTAGGTTTGGAATCTGTGGAGGATGTCATCCATAAAATTTAGTTGCTGTGGCCTTATGTATGTAGTTTGGGGACGGATCATACTGCAAAACAACTGACTTTGCCAATGACTTCTCTCTCCATAGTTTTCAATTAGATGACAACTAACATTTTTCCCACGGAGTTAACATTAAACCCACAAGGTATTGTAGCAGGAAGAAGGCTAACCTCAGTCAAACACATACTTCAGGTAGCTTTTACAAACTATTGGTCAAGTGTTTGACATTGTTTAAAATCAATGTCGTCTTATTCACTATTTCCTAGGCAGTAACAGAGCTACATGTACATGTACATTAATATCACACATTGTACCCCATGCTATGCTCTGTTATTCCTTAAGCCAATGCCAAATAGAACTGGACATTGCAACTGGCCTTGACACTGGCATGTTGAACTCTGGCCTTGTGAGAGTATAGCTGATTGTTGTGGAATCACTAGGAATTTACAAAGAAAAGATCAACCCACAGGACAGAGAGAAGTGGCGTGCTGCCATCAAGCCCCAGTTGTACGGTGCAAGCATGTCTAACCCTCGGAAGACGGGGAACAACAGACGATAGACCGGACAGTGAGTGTGAGTGAGAAGTTTAAATTCACATTGGCAGTGAATGAACAAAACAGCTTTGGCACTATGATGAGGCTGACCAGGCAGACAGTTCTTTGTTCTGTAGCTGTTTAACAGTGTTGGCCCTTAGCTTCAGCCATATCAACCCGATGACCAGGCATGCCGCACACTCTATGTAGTAACCATCCAGCCAAGTCACACAGGTCCCACCAGCTGACTCACAGGCCTGGAACATGAAAAAAAGTACATTAAAGTTGTCTAATGCAAAAACATTACATTTAAGTTCTGGGGTACTCCTCTAAATTATCTGTGAAAGATGCTCATGTCAAGAATTGGGTTTTACCACCTGAGTAACTTTTTTTACAAATTGGGTTTGAATTTGAAATTTTTACAAATTGGGTTTGAATTTGAAATCTGGCTCAAAGCTCTTAATTTCATACAGCAAGTGTGTGTACATGAAAGAAAATATCTATGGATATAAAATTAGCTAATCTTCACAATTCACACGGTAGTTAAGGAAAATAATGAACTATGAACACAACATCCTACAAATTCAAAAGAAAGCGTGTCTGTGTTGGTAGAATCCATAGTTGCAAAGTTCAAACTTTGTTCCAACACGACATAAATTTATGGTGAGTTCCTTCCTTGTGTTGGAACAAATTTTGAACTTTGCAGCTATCCTACAAATTCATCTTAAACTTTTTAAAGTTAAAGTAATGGGTTTGTATGGTAATTTTAGATGAAAATGATCATTATCATACCTTGTTTAGGTCTGCACTTCCACAGGTTAACCCTTCCACGCCCTCACATCTGGACCAGGTGATATCGTCCACCAACCACAGGGCGAACGTGGAGGGCCAGTTGCCGCCCAGGTTAGACAGCGTGTTGAGCAGCGTCATGTACGTCCCGCCGATCACCGGGTCACTGATCTGCGCGTGGAACGCCATGCTCGACACAAACATGCTGTACAAGGTCACCTGGACAGGGAAAGGTTGAACAAGTAGTCAGCATAGAGAATCATTATAGAGCATCAATCATAAACCAGGGCTCCAAATACTGGGTGCATGTCCACCTTGGTCACAACCTGCCGTATATGCTTTTTATACGTACGTTTTTTTTTAGGCTACGTCTGCTACGTTTTTTTTAAAAATGTGGGGAAGGAGTGGCATCGACACACGTCACTTGCACGGTTTTGCAAGGTGTAAGAGTGTGGTCTGCACGCCATGCCTGGCCCTGAGCGGTTGCGTGCATCATACGTTGCGTAAGTGGTAAGTGAGTTGTACGTGCTTACAATGTACGATCTCTGTGCAATTGCAACTTTACCGTAAGGAGGCCGTATTCACACGTGCGTCTTTCGTACGATACGTACGGGGCATGCGCGTCACCCATACACACACGCACGGGTGGTGAATCCGTAGACCGCACGCAGAAAAGGTTTTACATGTACTTAAAGTTCTACGGCGTGTCTGCGTGCTCCCAAATCCGTAGGATTCCGTACGGAGGCGGTACTCACCACGCACGGATGCCCTACGTTTGCCCACGTTTTTGCACGTAGACAGCACGCAGAAGCACGTATGGCGGGTTGTGACCATGGCTTTAGTGCACCCAAATTTGGCTGAAATGCTACTTGTGATGGAGAGTCAGTATTAGTCTATATAATTACAGAGCTGCTGGGGAATAAGCAGAGGTCAAAAATTCAAACTTCTAAAAGATCCATCTCTGTGAAATATATGGACTTGCTAGAGCCTTCTGGATACTCAATGTAAAATTTTTGGTTTGTCCAGGTTACATATCATTTTTACAACTGTTTTTACAAGTGTCTGTGAACATTGGGAGTGGTGTAAAGTATCTGTCTGTACAGTTTACCTGATGTAGTGAATAGCTGGCAACAATCATGATGTAGTAGTAGAGTGGGAAGGTGCCGTCATCGTTTCTAAAGTACGGTGTCAGGAACACCATGGCAGCCAGCTCAACTCCCATTAACAACCTAGGGGCACAATCAACAATTAAGTGTTAATGACCCGCCTGAGGTAAATATGGTGTGATAAAGCCTTGTCAGTTGCTATCACCACTGAATAAAGCCACTGAGTGAGCGCAGCACCCGAGGTCATTGGAACACAAAGTTATTTTTGGATTTTTTATGACAGAATCATGTTCTATATGGGTCACCCGAGGTCATATGCGGGTGATTATTTAGTTGTTTAATGTATGGATTGGGATGAATAAAGACCCGGTTTTGACTCTATTTGTGACATTACGGAGTGATAAGGAATGTGGAATGGAGCCTTCTGATTGGTCAACATCACCCGGCTATATGATAATATACATACATAACAGATTTTAATAAAGTAATATGAAAAAAAAACACCTTTCAACTCTATTTCTGTCAAAACTCAAACACTGTCATCATTCAACAAGTTGTTCCATCCAAAATGTATACAACATAATATTGTTGTACTGCTTTTCTTTTATGTGCAAACGTATCCATTTTTGTGGTTCAATAAATACATGTACTCTAACTTACAATAACTGTGTCTGTGAGGTTTATAAAATTCTAACTAATGGAAGACAAAAAATGGATAACATTGTTTGTTCCTAATGACTAGATATAGAATTTGGACAACCAACCAACCAAACATTAATTAATATCAACACTGTATGATATATAATTCAACTACATACATGTAATTTTTGAAAATCAAATACAGCTAAAAAAAAATCAGACATTGAATTCTCTCTTAAATTTTATGGATGACGTCCTTTGGAGACCCTAAATCTAATGCGAGAGGGTGAAAAAAAACAAGAAGGGCCCTAAAAAAACAAGATGCCTAGATGAGAAATATTGCACTGCTGACAGGACCGTCCTGTCTGTTAATAGTTCCAAAAACGGCACTGTTTTGGAACTATTGACAGGATTTTTTTCAGTGCCATTTTGTTAGTTTTTTTCATTTTTGTTTTCATTTTTAACCAGGCACAGGCTTTCGGCATAACGGGTTTCACATCAATCTGACGATTTGCGGCACTGTCGTGACTCTTTGGTCATAGTTACAGGAAGCGGAATTTCTTTTTTTTTTTCTTGGAACAGGCCAAAATCAATGCACGCGCGGACGTCATCCATAAAATTTACTTGGTGTGGCCTTACCTGAAGGGCATGGCTTTCAGGAATGTGTCCATGGGCCGTGGGCCTGCAGTATACCGGCTGATCACTAGGGGGAGCAGGATCTGGATGGGAGTGAGAGGGACAGCCAGCAGGGCCAGGTTTTCCCTGTGGACTCCTTTTTCTATCAGCTTCAGTCCTGTCACTGCATCTGCTGCTGCAAAACCTATCTGCAAGGGGAAAGGAAATTATAAATCATACTAACGATTAACTGTTTTTGTAGTTATATAATTTCCCCCAAAGTATATTCAATATGCCTTTAAATGCTCTCTTGGTTTATATGACTGGTTAATTGATGACAATGTAAAACAGTTTTGTAGAACCCAGGGGTTCTGAATTGCACTGTTACTCACAATTACAAAGATTAAGACTAGAGACGTAGCCCATCCCATTAAAAGCTTTAAAATCAAACATCTATCACAACATATACACATATGATAAAATCTAATAATTTAAAAGTAGAGTTTATAAGTGTTAATAAGTTTGCATTGCTGAATAAAATACTTATTAAGATTACGAATTCGTAGGTAAAACAGTGGTCATAAAGACGGTTACTAAACAAAACGTGTTATTAAAGCATGACAGTTACCCCTCAATGACTGGAAGGTCGTTTACCGAGTACGCTCGATTACTTATTTAGTAGGTTAACAATATATGGGATGGAGCTGCTGTGGTAGCGCTGAGTCTTTGCAACAATACAGTTCAGTTCAGTTTATGCTTGTGTGTGTGTGTGTATGTGTGCTTTAACTGTGTTGCACTGACTCAGTCCTCTCCTTGGTGCTGAAGAGCATTCACTTCTCTAAGAACAATGAAGAAGATGACATTTGATGAATAATGTATGTACCCCTTTAATTGTTCTTACTAGTAGACAAATGAGCGCTCGTCAGCACCAAGGAGAGGACTGGGTCAATATCTTTCTCAGCACCAGTAATGTTAACTAATGTTCAGTTCTTGCATAATAGGACCTGTAGTGAAATAGGCCTCAGAAAATCGAAACACAAACATGCAATGACACAAACTAATTTGATGTAGCAGTAGCATCTACTTTTCTCATCCTACTCCCCTCCTCAATTTGCGGAGAGGATAAAGACTCGGGAACTAAAATAGGTCTGGTATTCAGGCTAAGGCCACACCAATTTAATTTCTTGGTTAACGGATTCGCCCGCTTCATTTTTTTTTGATTTGCAAATAAAAATAAAAATTCAGAATCAACTGCAAAATGCTCATATTATATGCCCTGAACAGTTGAAAACAGTCCTTTTCATCCTAGTTGTTACAGTTATTCCATCTTTCAATGCAATGGTATCATTAAAAGTTCAAAATTCATTTTAAAAATTTTGAACCAGCCTGGTGTGTTGACTTCATGGCTCCTATCGTACCAGTTTGGGCCATAATAGGATGCCTAGGCCTGTTATTTTTTTATTTTTTTCGCCCGCCTAGCTCCGAGCCTACCTTGTGAGTAAGTAGGATGATGGCATAAGCCTTGACTGCGGGTAGTCTGACCACGTCCCACAGGTGCAGGTACGTGGACACGATCCCGTGTTGCTCGTCCGGCACCTCGCTGGGCCGTGGTTCCCGCTCGCGCTTGAAGATCCACACTATGGTGGTAGTGACCAGAAAAACTATTCCCCAGAAATACAGAAAACCTGCAGGAAAAACAAAACATTTTGTTAGATTTCAGGGTTCTAGCTAGGATGTAATTTTAGCGTAGTGGCACTGGCCGCCTGTCGATGGGCCCTCCTTCTGCGGTGCAGAGCTTTTAAAAATGTGAGCTAAAAAAGGGGCCATTTGAGGGATACCCAAAGGGAAAAAAATGTTATTTCTAAGGTATGTACAATGTATCCTTGATTGACATTTGATCTGGCATTCTTGAACAAAGAAATACAGTCACAATGCCCCTATGCTGTATGTGTAGGGGGGGAAATTTAGCGTAGGGGGTCAAAATTTTAGCGTAGGGGGCCCCTTTGTGCTTTGTGCTAGCTAGAACCCTGATTCTATCTTGCTAGGAGCATTATTTCAATCTCTAATACCTGAGTAGCTAAAGCTGAATATGTGTACCTACATGTAAAGAGCTGTAAAAACTTTCGATTCTCTAAGTAATAATATACTAGTAAGTGAACTGACACTGATATCCATGCCTTTCTTAAACTCTGAACTGTTTTGTTTTAAAAGAGTAAATGTAATTTGATTACAGATGATCTATACAGTATTGTGACGTCCGTTCGGTTTTTGTGGTTCAAATTACATCATGTACAATTTTTTTGCATACGACGTTAAGTAACATTACCTGCAAGAGTCATGATGCCTTCTGTGTGTGGTTCACTGCGGAGATACTTGTTACAGAAGTCAGCAGACTCCAGAGCAAGGAACAGCACATAACCCAGAAAATATCCCGCCGTCTGTCCAACACTATTGCACGTCGACGCCCAACCCACGTTTCTCCGAGACAACATTGTTAACGCCCATCCGTCTACCGCTATGTCTTGTGTGGCAGCCAAGAAGTTCAACATGAAGAAGAAAAATGTCAACGTCTTGACATCAGCTGGACTGTCTTCATCGCCTCCCAAGAGACTATCGACTTTGGTGGACAGAAATAACATGAAAATTCCGATCAAGTACTGGGAAGGTACCATCCAGGTTTTCCTTCTCCCCATGCGTTTGGAGTATATCGCATCGACGATCGGCGCCCACGCTAGCTTGACGCTGAACGGCCAAAAAACAAAGCTGAACACAGCCTGCTGGTGGTAGCTAACTTGTCGACTCTGTAACAACATAGGAACCGAACCGGCAAGTCCGAGAGGTATCCCCTGCAGTATGTACAGAAACAGCAAGAGGGCAATGTTGTGGCGGTCACCCTTTAAGTCAGGTTTGCTATTTTCATCCATTTCGCTGTCCGAATCCGAGGGAGCGTCGATGTGATTCTCTTCTAACCTCCCGCCATTTCTTCTACCGTCTATGAGGATTTTTTCTGAATTTTCGTCCAGGGATACTTCTTCGAATTTCCGGCTGCGGGTTTGCATCGGATGTTGGCTTCGTTGACGCGACATTTAGATATTGCAGACGAGAAGCCCGACCATACAGCAAGGTCCACAGCACGGCAATGTTAGATGGCAGGTCCTGAAAATAGAGACGTGTAATCACATAAACATTCAAGGAGATTTTTTATAAAAAGTATATAACGTTACATACATAACATACTGCCAAACAAATAAATCAAATCAACTCAGTCTCAAGCATACACTTTAGATATACCAGGCTACTATGTTGGGCAACATATGCGTTTGGGCCACGTATTGGGCCACGTCTGGAGTGGTACCCTTAGGGCACTTCCTGAAATGAACTGTGTGTGTGTGTGTGTGTGTGTGTGTGTGTGTGTGTGTGTGTGTGTGTGTGTGTGTGTGTGTGTCGTGTGTGTGTGTGTGTGTGTGTGTGTCTGTCTGTCTGTGTGTGTGTGTGTGTGTGTGAGTGTGTGTGTTTCTGCACATTTGTAGTCAGCATAACTTCATAACGCCTTTATGGATTATGATGGGATCCTTTGTTGAGACTCCAAAATTCTAAATGTACTAGTATTCTTCGCAGTGAGTGCCTCCATAAATTGTAGTGCAAACAACATCTAGCTACTATAACTTTATAGCCATTAATGTTACAAGAGGGGTTGTTACTGTTACTATGCTACTGTAAGGTTTTCAGCAAATCACCAAGCTGAAACCTCTTTGCCAAATGTAAACATATGGAAGGAAAGCATATGTCTCTACTACACAGTATACTGCTGCTTTGCGTCCCTCCCCCCAAGGTGCTATATGACCATGAGTAAACATATGGCCAGAATCTATGATACGATATTTTTCCTGTCAAGCTACAGATAATTAACACATTAAACTGTGCACGTACCAGTATTATCGGGTAAATCAGGACACGTAACAAACGGAAGAATGGAAGATGACTGTGCGAAAATAACGCAAGGCCACGTCAGGCAAATATGCCCCAGGGGTCAGCGAACGCCGGTAAGGAAAGGTCGCACCGCTAGCACACGAAAACAAAACAAACCTTAAATATCACCTAAAACTATGACAATTGAACAAATTTTCGTACTTAATTTTGTAGATATTTTAGTTATGATGTATTATTATTCATAGAAATTAATTACGGTTGGATGTGTACTGTTTAATTGTTTTTTGGTGTGTTATGTTGCGGTGAATTGCAGGTGTGAAGAAGAAACAAGATGGCGGACGCTCAGAGTGGGGAGGGCGCACAGAACAACCCAGACTCGGACAGCGGCGCTTCTGATCAAGAGGAACAACGTGAGTGGTTCTTCAAGGGTTCTCAACAAGTTTGTGGTGAAGGTCGCGAGGCTTGGCGCTGCATGGCGTCGTCTGGTCGCTTCAAACGCTGTTGGGAATAGTTGAAGTTTACGTGGAGTCCAAGTTTGATTGAGTTAAAATGTGTATAAAATCGATTGAAGGCGTGGCAATATACAATAAGATTGACTTGATATCTTTTTAAAGCAGTAGTGTTAGTTCGTGAAGAGATCTGCTTGGTTCAGTTTTCAAGTACCGGCCTGTCACAAATTATACAAGTACATGTTTTAGTAGTACAAAACATGTAGTACATGTTTTGCAATTTTGTAGTTAAAATAATTTAACTCAGTCAGATCTAGCCGTGGACGACTCTGGTACACCTTTTTGCATGATAATGCCGGTGACAGAGACTCTGTCACCGGCATTATCATGCAAAAAGGTGTACCAGAGTCGTCCACGGCTAAGTCAGATCATGACCTCCATGGACATAGTGACAACACGTGGTTTTAGCATATTTACTAGACTGTCCTATAGTGGTTATCCAAGGAGGCAATTGGGTTGTCTGATTCATACTTTGTGAAAAGGCAGCTGTGAAAAGAAATCAAATACATTTGTGTACATAAACTACCATCATGTGTTGATCTTGTAAAACACATCTATGGTATATTCTCAACATCAAGATACTATATAAATAGTTGTAGGCCTGCATGAGTTCATACATATATAGTGAACTTAAAGTTAAAGACAAAATCTTGCTATTTTCATCAGTGATAACCTTTTGATGAAGATATTGTCTGTCCATCAGGTATGTTACCAGGAGGAGGGGCACAGCCTGCTAACACCAGAGTCCACAGCTACGCTGACGATGCTGAGGAGAGAATCCGCACATTGCCAGCTGATGCCTATGTGAGTACTGAGTAAAATGTTTTTAGATCATATTCCCTATAGTCAGCACTAGTCACTAGTGTATGTAGATTGCAAACTCTGTAGTCTCCAAGCAGATTCAAGGTGGCAAAAGATAATCTCCAAGCAGATCCCTTTCGGTGGCAAGACAGGCATTAGCCAGAGAAGTTTGTACGGCCACCTCTGGCCAATGGATACTGCCCTGCCACCGTATGATCTGCTTGGAGATTAGGCAAAAGGCAGTTTAAAATTGGCCAGGCAATATCCATTGGTCAGAGATGGGGCTTTTGCCACCCTAGGATCTGCTTGGAGATTACAAAGTCTGGTCTTAGTAGTACCCCTGTGCAGTCACATGATTAGTCATGCATGAAATTTAGAGATTTGAAATTTTAGGAAAATGCTGCCTTAGAATTCCTGCAGTCTCTAATGCTGAATATGACAGAGGCTAATCTTCTGTATCTGTATCTGTATCTGTATAGCCGGTATAACCGCCTTTCGGCGTAACACACCAGCTTCGCAGGCACGCGGCGCGGCGGCAGCTGGCTATATTACACCGATCGATCTTGACCATAAACTAATGAAAATGTTTTAACATCTCATGTTATTTGAGAAAATATTCATGTTTATTGACAGCCATTTTTGTCCTGTAGGATGTTGACCTGAATCACTGTGGGATAGAGGCCCTTCCTGACGTAGGGTTGGACAGACTTACCCAAGTGGAGGTAAGTCATTGTCATATATGATCAGCATTTGCATGGACAGAATTGTAAAATTGTTTTATTCTCTTTCAGTTGATTCTTCTTATTGAAAAGTTATACCTAATACAGAATAAGTTTTGGTCTTGCATTTTTGAGGTCTTTGGTCTATTGTTATTGTAAAATTCTTCTAATTGATCCATATTTGTTCATTCTGAAACAATATTCATTCTTATGCTAAATCATTGCCATATATATGTACATTGTATGTATAAGGATTGTATGTCTTTCGCAAAGTTACAATATTTGTTATATTGAATAAAATATTTACTATGATCTACATCTAGACCCTGTGTCTGAGATGGAACAGCATCAAGAAGATAGAAAGTCTGGACCAGCTGACTTCTCTAGAAGAACTGGAGCTGTACGACAACCAGATTAAACAGATAGAAAACCTCAGCACACTTGTAAATATGCGGTAAGTCATCTGGAGTTTAACCTTCACCCTGCTATGGTAGGCTGTCAGCTACAAAATAGTACAATACTGCATTGGTTGTGGGTCAGATAGCAAGGAGATGGTTAAAAACTATACTATAGCAATTTGTTGGCAAGATGTAGGTCAATGTTGTCAAGTGTGTTGCATCTAGGTGTCTAAAATTGTTACAAGTTCATTCACTCACTATCTGGTTTAGCATCTGTTGTTCCCCATTTTCCAAGTGTTAGATGTACTTGTACTGTGCCAAATCTGAGTGTCAAAAATTGAATTTGTACTGTTCTAAATTGGAGTGTCAATCTTTTTCATTGTATCATTGTGTGTCTCTTAATGTCATTCTTATTTTTACCCTTCCGTCCGCAGTATCCTAGACATATCATTCAACATGCTGCGGAAGATAGAAAACTTGGAAGCCCTGACCAAGCTGCAGAAACTCTTCCTGATCCAGAACAAGATCACCCAGATAGAGAACCTAGGGCACTTCAAGAGCCTGACTATGCTGGAGCTGGGGGCCAACAGGATTCGTGTAAGCTCATGTTTTTATCTAATATAATGCCACACCAATTTAATTTCTTGGTTAACGGATTTTTCTAGAAAAATAATGGAGCGGGCGGGCGGAAAAAAATAAAACAGGCCTAGGCATCCTATTATGACCCAAAATGGTACGATAGGAGCCATGAAGTCAACACACCAGACTGGTTCAAAATTAAACAATGAATTTTGAACTTTTAATGATACCATTGCATTGAAAGATGAAATAACTGTAACAACTAGGAAGAAAAGGACTGTTTTCAACTGTTCAGGGCAAAATATGAGCATTTTGCAGTTGATTCTGACTTTTTATTTTTATTTGCAAATCAGAAAAAAGTGAAGCGGGCGAATCCGTTAACCAAGAAATTAAATTGGTGTGGCCTTAGTAGAAATACATGTATTGCAAAACATTCTTCCATTTGTTGTAATGTATTTACATGTATTTTAGTGTTAACTCTAGATTTTTCTTCTCAACTTCATCTTTCTGTTAGCCGTGTTCAATAAAATGAAAAATTTTTAGACTCGTATCTTGCAAGGTCCTTCATCTAAGTGTGTTGCAGTGCAAGTCAATTCTGTTAGGGGGCACTGTTGCGTGGTCTCATTGCATGTTTATTTTCTGTGTAGGTAATAGAGAATCTTGATGGCCTGGAGAACTTGGAACAATTGTACCTGGGCAAGAACAAGATCACCAAGCTGCAGAACCTAGATAAACTCAGCAAACTGACAGTTCTTAGTATACAGGTAAGTGAAACCTCATACTCTACTCCTTATAACAGTAATTAGGCCACAGCAAGTAAATTTTATGGATGACATCCTCCAGAGATTCCAAATCTAATGCGAGCGGGCGAAAAAAAAACAAGGCGGGCCAAAAAAAACAAGGTTCTTACATTTTGAAATTTTGACTCAATCATTGTACAAATGGTTTTGATTCAATGGGAACATCACATATACACAGCCAACATCACATATCACTGAATCAAAGTAAGAAACAAAACATAAAATCAGAGCCTTGTCTTGTCTCCTCTCTTTATAGTTATCTGCCATCCACCTACTGGCATGGCAACAGCCATCTTGGCCTATTTTCGGCATGGTGACCACTGTCAGCAGGCAACAAAATTTCCTTGTTTTTTTCCAAAATCAGGCGAAAATTAATGCGCGCGCGCGTGTGTCATCCATAAAAATTACTTGCTGTGGCCTTACGGTAAAATACTATAAATTCAGCTCCTGCAGATTTCATCATAGTCTTACAATGCTTTGGTCTATGCATTGTAAGTGCACTGCAGCTCCAAGCTATTCTGGTAGAGGGCGATGTTACTTGGTCATGATTCTTCCCTGCTGTTTTCTTCAGAGTAACAGAATCACCAAGCTGGAAGGTCTGACGGGGCTAGCCAACCTGAAACAGCTGTACATCAGCCACAATGGTATCCAGAAACTAGAGGGTCTGGAAAACAATGTAAGCTTTTTCCATTTCCTTTCAAAGTATTGATCACAACTGCTGGTATGATTCATGTAATGTGTTTGTTTGTTTGTTTATTTGTTTGAAAGTTATTCAAGGACTAATAAGCTATATTTTTTAATGACATAATTATGGATAATGCAGTGGTCAAGAAACACATATTAACATATCTTGTGTTGACTCTTGCATTATAATACTGTAATTCCTGATTTTTTTCATGGTAGTAGTAGTCTGTTATGTTCACTGTTTTCACTGTCACTTCTGTACCCTGAACTTATCATCATCAAATAATTCCTGGACTTTCTTTTTCCTGCACTTGTCACCACCGTGAATATATAGTTCCGTGAACATGTCCATGTGTCTCAGACTGTTTACTTTTGTTACTGTGAACAAAGTATTACAGAGGGATCTGCAATATGACCCATGACTGAACTGCAATGAATGTTGCAAATGTCTAAGATGCATGTTCAGCGTGCAAAATACCTGGTTGCCCTGTTGCCCCGGGCAACCAAATTTTACTTGGGGCAACCTATTTTTGAACCTAGGTAGCCCAGTGTGCTACCTGATTTTAAGAATGCCCCCCCCCCCCAAATCATGCCCACTTGGCTTGCAACACTGTATCTGGCAGATGCTTTTTAATTTTAGGTATTGAGTAAAGGCTGTTAGAAATATAGAATTATGTATGTAACATTACTTAATTTGAGGAAAGTAGTAACTTATAGGTGGGGCAACCTAAAATTCTGATTTTTGCCGTAATTTTTGCCGTTCAAAAAAGTATTTTGTACACTGATGTTGGAACCTTTTGAGGAAAGCTAGTATTTTGATGTTTGTGTGCATTATCTTCCTTTGACCTACATGTAACAGCTGCAGCTGGACACCCTGGACGTGGCAAACAACAGCATCCAGAAGATCGAGAACGTCAGCCACCTGGTGCACCTGGAAGAGTTCTGGGTAAGGACTGCTTAGTAATTGTTGGGTCTTTGGCCCAGAACCCATAGCTTCTGGGTTCAAATCCTCCTAGTCTGTATAACGCAAACTCTGCCGTCCGCGGCTTTACTGGCCCCTCCCCGCAGGCCGGCTGGATGTTGGGCAGCCAGCAACCGTAATGCAATTTAATCAGGCTAAAATCCTCCAACACACCCATGTTGGAGGGTTGTGGCGTCTGTGTGGTGTAGTGGATGGAGCATCCGACTGTCAAGCAAGAAGACCCAGGTTCAATCCCCAGGGCTGGACCCAGACATGTCCGGACATGCACCCAGATGTTGTGCTCTTGGGAAAGGCACTTAACACACATTTCCCACCTCAGTTTAGAGGGATCCTGGGCCCTACTAGGGTTTGGGTTGGCGTTAGGAAGAGCATTCAGCCGTAAAAATCCTGCTTCAAAAAAAGACTTGTACTTGGTGCAAGCAAGTCTAACCCCTGGTTGGGGAAAAATGATGTTAAATTCGGTTAAAAAAAAACCCACCCAGATGTTGGGAAAGGCACTTAACACAAATTTCCTCACTTCACTAAGGTGAATATGAGTACCATATACCTAGCTCTGCCTCTGGTTAGGATGTTAGATGGAGGTCCACACCCCACACGCAAGAACCCACCACACCTTTTGAAAAAGAATAGGACATGCCCCTGTGTGCGATGGTTCAAATAGTCTACAATCTGGGAGTTGGTGATTCACTATAAATCACCAGGATGGAGCAGGGTTCTAGCTAGGATTTAATTTTAGTGTAGTGGTACTGGCCGCATATCAAGGGAGCGAAGCAACTGAGAGGGGGGATGGGGTGGAGCTTTTAAAAAAATTAGCTAAAAAAAGGGGGCCATTTGAGGGATACCCAAAGGGAAAAAGTGTTATTTCTAAGGTATGTACAATGTATCCTTGATTGGTAATTTTTCACATTTGATCTGGCATTCTTGAACAAAGAAATACAGTCACAATGCCCCTATGCTGTATTGAAAATTTAGCGTAGGGGGTCAAAATTATAGCGTAGGGGGTCCCTACGCTACTTCACACTAGCTAGAACCCTGTGGAGGCCTGGCTAACCCAGTCTTACATTGTATATTAGCCACAAGGTGATTTAAATCATCACCATTATATACACGAGCCATAGCAAAGCCACATTGCATATTATTTAAGTATAGCTACCCAAAAATGTCTATAAAATGTCTAACGTACATCAGACATTCTCAAAAGTTCCAGACATTTTTTTGGCGACGCCTCAGGGGCGGAGCCGTTAGTATAGTACTGCGATCGAGTTGAAAATATTCTAAAAATTCCGTCAATGCATTCCCTAGGGAATTACTTGTTTGAATGACTCTGTGTTTGTACACAGCAAGTAGGGATATCTAAAGTGATGGTTGATCTTTTGCAGAAGTCTTTTGTGTAAAGTTTAATGGCTTAGTTGTCAGTCGATAACTGGATACTTTATAAGTAGGAAAGGCCTATGTTACCATGCATGCATAAGGCACCTTTTCCGGCCAACTGTGGCTTTTTGCACACAGAATATTAATGATTGTCTTTATTGATATTTCAAATATATTCTCTTCTATCAAGAGAGAAAAAATAGAATAAAATAAAACAGAATAATTTTGTTGCTCATAAGAAAGAACAAGGAGCAGCATATTCAAGCTTAAAAGAATAATGTTTTAAGTAAGTTTTTAGCTTCAACCATATGATGCTGGGCTTTTATTTATAACTTAACTGTGTGCTAATGATGATGTTTTGTGTGTTTTCCACCATGCGTGTTTGTGTCAGTCTTGCTTTTTTTATTCATATTTTTTCTTTGCTTTCACGATGCTGCTGCATTCAATGCTTGTTTTTTCAATCTTCTTGCGTGCAAATCATGAATGCACACCCCGATCCTTCCTTGACTGGGCTTCGTGCTTGCCAGTGAATCCCTGCTGTAGTCTGCATCTCAGGGTGAGACATGGCGAAATTTACCTGTGGACACAAAAAGAGAAAAGCAAATGAGGTCCATATTTGAATAAGTTATGTGATTTAATGATGTTTACCTTCACCTAACTTTCAAATGCCCTAGGTATGAAATTCCAGGCAGTTACCATTGCTGAATTACAACATTGCTGAATTTCTCATTAATTATGCAAATTAAATCTTAATTTACATAATATCTGCCTGTGTTTCTCTCGTTCGCAATTACATATGCCACATGCTTTAATAGTCCTATCATGTAATTTAACTGAATCATGGCACGGGGGCCTGGCACCCAGGCTACATTGTTTTCCCAGCAATCATTAATCATAGAAAGCATGGTACTTTTCAAAACTCACACAGCTTATCGTGAAAGAAGTACTATAGAGATGCGAACATTGCCTAACTATCGTGATTATTTACAATATTGCGTATAATAAGGATGGTTAGGCACTTACCTGGTATTTTGTTCCACTTCTTCTGTCTTGTATTCTTGAGTAACTTTTGTGTTTGTCGTCATGTAGAGCTGAAAGAAACAGTGTAGAACAAGTTAACGAAGTTTGTTATATTCTAGGGTTGCGTTATTCTGCATAGTTCGACAGCGTTCAGCGTGACCGCGGAGGAGAACATGCGTACAGAGCAGCAAAGTGTAGGTGCATCAATCATCAAGGGTTAGAGTTAGGATGTACCGGATTGTCAATAAACAAAAAATACATCCACGTCGGGTGTGTCAATAAGAAAATAATTTTTTATATCCACACCAAGTGAATCGATAAAGAGAAAAAATTCCTATCCACACCGGGTGTGTCAATAAGGAAAGAGAAATATTTTATATCCACAACGGGTGTGTCAATAGCCACGTACTTTCTTAATATCGTACGATGATGTAACCAACAGACCCGTATGGTTTACCGCTTACTGGCCATCGAATCCGCATTATGCATTTCTAATTATAGCGAACTCACCTTTCCTATAACCGCTGATATTATAAGCCGACAAAAAGCAAAAGTAGGGAAAGTTCCAAAAGATTTAATGAGCAAGTACCCTATTCTAGTATATAATTATTGTACAGACAAAGGGCGAATTTTCTTCTATACTCTCACCCCGTCCAATCAACCCCGCCGAGACAGCAGATTCGAATCGCTTCCTTGTTTACTCAAACCACAACATCAGTCAAAGCAAAGTTGTTGTTTTAAAGTTGATAGTTGTGGCTGTTGGGAAATGAAATGATCCACGCGATGTACCATGGTGATAGCAGGGCATATATGAATGTGACGGTACAAGGCGCGGATTTTTCTGAAAACGATGAACTGTCAGTCTCAAAACGTATGAAGCAGAGTCAAGGAACTGATTGTAAATACAACGGAACGATTATTCGCCCTAGCACCGTATATACGTAGCCTCCCCGGTATATCTACGGTCATGGACGCCCGCCTGCGCTTCTTCTTGTATAATCTTATTGAGAAACCAGTTCTACATCCTCAACAAATGTAAAGGCGAATGTTTTCATCTTTACTCTGTGACCCAATTTCCCCCAAACCACTAGAACTTTTCACGTTGACATTGTCGGGAACTGTGGGGAAAATCACTGTTGTCAGAAGCTGGGGGCAACACTTACTTTAAGCCAGAGAATCGCAACAGGCTAAGTTTAGTGGGTACGTCATTTAGAATAGTATAAAGGGTTATCATACGTAGTGTAGAAACGAAATTAATGAGTTATTTACGCAAGCTTTACAACAACGATTGACAGCGAAGGAAAACATTTGGACGAAACGGTATCAGAACCGTCAGGACGCCGGTGTGACCAACAATTCTTTAAATTTCAAAATAAGAGACGGTACCCGAGCAGAACGTGGGGCCGCTCAGAGACAATGTCACCTAGCCTGAACGACTGCATGGAAAAACGGACTGATCGAAATGGAACAACTTACATGTTACATGCACACAAAAAAATCATAACATTACACAAAAAAACTTTAAACCAAAATAATACACCGTTTGATGGTACACGTAAGAAGGCAACATGAACCAAGACCGTGGACACAAATACACACTACATATGGCATGGTTCCAATAATTAAAAGAAACAGTCTCAACCTACTCAAAGTTTGGGCTTACCTCCGTGCCTGC